TCAGTGAGAGTACACTCGAGCTGAAGGTAGAGATACTTTCAACCGCTGTATTCCTCTCAGGGCCGAACCCAGTGGAAGGGTTGCTGGTGGGTTAGTCCAGCTCTCTCCCGTCTTTCAAAGTCGAGTTCATAAGTCTGATTGGCGATTCCAGCTTCAGCTAACTTGACACGAACTGTTTGCCTCAAGCTAAACAAAAGCAGGGAGTCTTGAACAGCAATTCGTATCTCTCTCTCTCTCTTCTCAAGTAACTCATCATAATAGTCACAAGATGAGGTCTTACTTGAGCAAAAAAGCAAAGAGCAGGGTATGTCCATGGCGTTGGTTACCACGCTTCGTCTTCACAAGCCTCGATCGGTACACAAAAGTATCGAGTACCCGCCGTTCATCCCTCAACGGTTCAACCGCTCGGCCCGCGTCGCATACAAAATATCCCCTGCAAACCCCAGCCATTTGCATATCCAAAGGTACTCTGTACCTGCACCTCTGCCATGCTTTTACGTTGCAGCCAGAAAACCCGCCAAAAGTACCTACTACGTAGCGCGGCACACTCGAGTCAATATTCGTACTGATTTTCCTCTGTTGGGCGGCGGAGCTAAGGTGGGAGTTCTAGAGTTAATGCCCAGTTTTGTCGATCAGAGGGGATATCTTGGGTATCAATTCTGATAGAGTTTTTGCAATCTGATCAGAACGTTCCATGAGGGGATTTTCCTGCAGACGTTGGTTGATTGAGGGACTGTACGACAATTACTGCACTATGACTACAGGCGGGGGTTGAGAGCGAAATCGTTCCAGAAAGAGAATCCCATGACCGAGGATGCAGCGCAGCTAATGCATCATGCATGAGCCCATCACTTTTCTACTCTTGGCGTTAGTATCCGTGTGTTTTTATCACAATCAGTCACTATTCTCTCATCTGTTTTCTTCCATCTTGAAACTGACAACATTTGAGAATCATTCCATTTCTCTCTCGCGCGATCTGATCCTCCCTACACGTGCCATGCATCCATGACAAGGCATGAGATCCTTGGAAATCAGACCAAGCCAAAAAGCCTAGGCCGAACTTTAAGCTCTGATTCGACACCAACTGCTTGGGTGCCCGGGGAAGCATCCGTGGGTCTTTTCCTGTCTCGGTAGTCAAGGTTCAGGTCTCGGTCTAACGGTCTAGGGTACAAATTCCAACGAGGTCGATGTCGACTTTAATGCAGAGAATCAATTGTCTTGAAGTTGACGTGTAATTCTGCAGCCTTATCAAGGTCTCACTCAACTTCTCACTCAGCCTTTGTCTTACTTGAAGGACCCGCATCTCGGTAGAAGGTGCATGTTGTGGCCTGTAAATATGCAGTGCTACGATGAATCGCCTTGCATGAGGCTACCTAGTTCGCCGAATAGAGCAAATCGCCGATGCTATTTATTACAATACAACATCCACCAGTCCAAGAGCCATTCGTCACGATATCGTTTTCAGCATCAACATCAACGATAAATATGCGCCAGATCAAAGAACCCATATACCTGCATACTCACTAGCACAAAGAGCCTCCAATGGCCACTCTTGACTCAGCAAACATGCGGTGTACCCGTCCCTTCAACCACTAAATATCCATCACCACGAGTCAGTCAAAGCCTCAATATCCAACCATTTGCCTTGCCGCGGGGTTCCCGTCCGACACCACGCATACAATTCTCTCTTTCAGTACCTATCGATATATTCTTTGTCGCCTCCGCTGCCTCGGCCGAGTCAGGATCTGGAAAGTAGTTCGTAAGTACACTGTAGCTTAAGGCCCGCGCCGATTCCGATGAACCGCTCCGCCCGAGCCCAGCCACTTTTTCTTCTTTCGACTGGTTCATGCTGCTTCTGCGGAATGCGGCATAGTTATCGTTACTTGGCAAGTGGACGAGTATCCATTCTCGCGTGCGTGCTTCAAGGTTCCCATGCTCACGTATTGCCTTTCAGCCGCTTGAAGCGATGGCCATGTGATCGGCTACCTACCTATGTAACATCGCCAATGAGCTACCCTATTACTTTGGATCGCCAACGGAACACAGCAGAGCACGACCGATCATAGCTGAACCCTACCACTGAATGTTGACGGACAGTAAGCAACCTGATAGCAGCATGGCCACGGTATATATGCAAAGAGAACCATGGAGAAGAACATGCCAAAAACACATGGCAAATAGTCAAAGTTTAGGACTGATTAATACTAAACTTGTGTTAAAAGTTACCGAACATAAGAGTACTTCGCAGATATGTAAGGTAGTCAGAACCTGAGCTTTTGTTATACTAAATTATCTAAATCTAGTCTAATTATGTTATCTCTTTAGACCACTAGTCTACCGAGCCCATGAGCCCTGCATCTTGGTCAACACCAAGTTTGAAAATTTATCCGCAAAGGCGGCACTGTCTTGATTCATCCTAGCCTCTGAAATAAATGCAATGATAGGCTTGATGCCGATGCCAACATGGTCTCCTCCTGCATGCTCATGAATACGAGCCAGGGCTTGCTCGATGCTTCCGGCCGGGACGCCGCTCGATGAATGCAGCACTGTTTGCAATTCACGAAGGTTCGAAACTGTAGGCACGCGCACGTCCTTTTCGAAGTCCTTTGCAATATCGAGCTCCTTGAGAACATTGGGTTGAGAGGTCGTTGCTAAGACTAGCAGACGGTGCCCCTGCGTGAGTAGTTAGCTAAAGTGAACGTTGCTACCATATGAATAAAACTTACGTTGATAGGAGGGCTTGTAATCAAAGCAGACAATGTACCGAGGACTGTCATTGAGAAGCGAGGCCCAATAGGGTTCCATCCGATCAGTTGCTCAATGCTATCCAAGATCACTACACTGACAGCGGACTTTTGTGCATCGCTGAAGGTCTTGTGAATAAATTCAGACTTGGCGAAGTCGTCACGGTACCCGGCGAGCTTTTGTGGCGTGATCATTCTGATAAATGGGATGTCTGACAGCTTCGCGATGTGTGCAGCTAGGGCTGTCTTGCCGCTTCCTTGGGCGCCATGAAAGATGATCGAAGAGGTTAGTTTTTCAGAGTCTTCCTTGACCATGTGCGCAACACCAAGCATGTCGTTCAGGATACGTTGAATGTCTGGTGAATAATGAATGATATCCTGAGAGAGAGCCGCCTCTAATTCTGCCTCCGAGGCGCCGTATGCTGGCCTGACCTCGCTGAGAGCCAGTAAGAAGTCGCTCCACTTGACTTTCATGTGCTCGATATCCTTTGTAACAGTGATCTGGTTGGCATCAGTGTGCCGAGAGAATGCACTGGCTGCTGCTGCCTTGACCAGACCAGCAATTTCAGCACCGGAGTAGTTTTTGGTAAGGCGAGCAAGCTCAGCCAAGTCGACGTCGTGGTCCAAGATGTCGTTCTTGGCAAATTTGGAGGTGTGAATCTTGATGATACCAAATCGACCCTCTTCATCAGGAAGAGAGATCTCTAGCTGGACTTCTAGACGTCCGGGTCGTAGCAAAGCCTCGTCGATCATATCCTTTCGATTGGTCATGCCGATCAAAAGGATATTGTTAAGTTTGTCCACACCATCGAGTTTGGCAAGGAGCTGGTTGACAACAGTATCACCAACACCTGTGCCGCCACCAGATCCGGAACCTCGCTGCTTACAAACAGCATCAAGCTCATCAAAGATGATGATGTGAAGACCACTCTCGTCTCCCTTTTCCTTGTACTCTTTCTCTGCATCTGCGAACAGCTTTCTGATGTTCTCCTCGGATTGACCAACAAACTTATTCAGCACTTCGGGGCCATTGACAATCTTAGGTGGATGGGCGTTTAGAGTTTTGCCTAATTGTCGGGCAATCAGTGTTTTACCAGTTCCTGGGGGCCCATAAAGTAGTAGTCCCTTGACGTGATCGATACCCATCTTGGCAACTATACCAGGAGGAAAAATACGAGACGCAAACACACGACGGAAAATGGTAGAGATCTGAGTGTCCAAACCACCAATTCCAAGATCATCAAACTTGAAACTGGGAGCGAAGATGGCGCTGGCGTTGGGCTTGTTCACCGAAGGCTTGAGTTTGAAGCCATCTCCTGTTTTGGCGTGGAAGAACACCTTGCTTTGGGGAATCAGGATACCTCTGGCATTGGGGTCCTGGTTCTTTTGTTCCGCTTCTGAAGACGTGTCCAAACCCGTGAGAACCACGGACTCGACGACGACGAGAAGAGGAATGTTGCGATGGTCCATAAGCATGCGTTGGCCAGGAGCAAGCACTTGGTTCTGGTAGGAGTCTATGAAGAGCTTAGAGAGCTCTTCCTCATCGTAGGGAACGTCTGTCTTCTTGTTTTGGGTTCTGAAAGTGATCGAAAGCTCGACCGTGCCAAGGTAGGCGTCGGAACGAGCGCTGAAAGGATTGTAGATCTCGCCGATGAATTCGTCCCTCATGGTGATGCCGGCCCATGTTCGTTGAGCGTCTGTGAGACTAATACCGCCTCTGGGGAAGCCAGGGATGGGCGTAGCAGTAACGACGTATTCGCCAACGGGTTGGCCTCCACGGATGAGGATGTGATGATCAGAGCCATCTCGGTTGGGAGGGAAGTCTTCGGGTGAGACGGCGCATCTTCACTAGTCATTAGCTTTATCCAGGCTGTTATTATTGCAAAGAGCGGACTTACTTGTTGTTGTAAACGAACTTGGTCCTTAGAGTCTTATCTTCGATTGTCTCAACGTGCAGTCGCGCTGCCCGAGGCTGAGCCCCCTGCTGCCCTGGATGGGGACGATAGGGACGATTCATAGCTAGTAGGAGAGCGAAGTGATGAAATGGTTAGGGAGGTGATTACAGTTGGTGGCGATGTTAAAAGGAGGGACAAGTTTGGGTAAGCAAGGTGTGTTGTTACAATCCCAAAACGCATTCGATGCAGGGGAAGCTATCCACCTTAAGTAAGTCGAGTCCCCTAAGGACAGTTTTAGGTGGCGATCGCAGCTCAATGGCGGGGTCCTGCCTGTGACACAGCCTCTGACACAGGCGGGTGACGACACGGCCCCCACTAATGGAAGTTACCTAGAGTTACCTAAACTTGGGGAAGGGTCCTCAAAGGAGGTCTAAAGTTAGCTAAACCTTGACTTCCATTCTCCTAATATCATCAAAATGCCACTGTAAGTACATATTGCTCAAGTACCTACTTGACACGTAAGCTAACTCTCTATAGACACTTACTAGGGAAGAAGTCGTGGAACGTTTACAATGCCGACAACATCGCCCGCGTCCGTCGCGACGAAGCCGCCGCAAAGGCAGCCGAAGAAGCTGAGGAGCAGCGCATGCAAGAGATAGATGCGCAACGGCGCTTAGCTATTCTTCGAGGTGAAGTACCACCGCCGATCGAAGACGATGAACCACCAAAAGACGAGGAGCCTCCTGTTCGTGATCGCGATGCATTGCAAAGAACGAGTATGCGACGAAAGCGAAAGCGACCAGGCGAGGACGATACAGACTTTGAGATGCGGCTAGCAAGGGAGAATGACAACCCGGCACTTGTTAGGATAGAGTCTGAGAAGAAGAGCACAAGCTCCGCGCCCATCGTGGATCATAATGGACATATTGATCTTCTGGGCGATGAGAAGTCAAGAACTCATGCTGAGAAGAATGAGGAGGCTGAGAGGGAAGCCAAGAAGAAAAAGCAGAGCTACGAGGACCAGTACACAATGCGCTTCTCGAATGCTACGGGAAAGGATGGCGTTCTTAAACCATGGTACTCTCAGTCTGACGCTGCAGCCCCTGATGCCTCGTCAAAAGACGTATGGGGAAACCAGGACCCTAATCGCAAAGAACGAGATGCCAAGCGCATAGTATCTAACGATCCTCTCGCTATGATGAAAAAGGGAGCTTCCAAGGTTCGAGAGATCAAACAGGAGAGGAAGCGTTTCCAGGAAGAAAGAGAAGAAGAGTTGAAGCAGATGCGCCGCGATGAACGACATCGTGAGAAACGGCGTAGAAGGCAACATGAAAGGGATAGGAGTAGAGAGCGACATAGGAGTCGCGAACGTGGTGAGGAAAGGTCTCCCAGTCGTCATGAGCGGAGACACAGATCAAGAGAAGGAAGACATAGCCATAGTGGTCATGCGGATTCACGAAGTCGAAGACATGAGCGCCACGATAGAGAAGGGTCACGGCACGAGAGAAAGCGCTACGAGGAGAGTGAACAACGAAAAGAGAGACATCCGGGAGATGACGAGCCTCATAAGAGAGACTCGCGATCTTCAGAGGGGGTTGGTCATGAACGACGACGACACCATTCGAAAAACTAATAGCTTAGCATAAGATACCCTTTCAATGACTTTCACGACTTGTACCCTTCGGCATGTTCGTATTAGGTTTGGCTACATGCTGGTTAGGGAGATACTAACTCTCACTCGAAGGCTCTGTGCCCTTTGACGCACGTCATGAGCCTTACCTGACATCGTGACTAGGACCGAGGCGCCATGTTTATGATGATGATTTGTTGTCGATAGTGTATTGGAGCTCAATTGGGAAACACTTCTGTCCTCACTGTTGCCTATCTCGATGATTTAGTTGAGAACTTTAAGACAAAGTTCGTAGAGCTCACATGATGTTGGAAAGATCGTATAATTATGTGATCTGCACATGTCCATTAGGCAGCATCTCTATTTCAGGCGATGGGGTATATTACATCAAATACTAAAAAGTCAAACTAAGAAGCTCGTCCAAACACGTTGCCTACTCATTGCTTCCCTCTACCCACGGCAACCTGATCTCAACAGGCTGCATGTGAGCCTCAACCATCTCAGCCACCTTCTTCGTCTCCAATCCTTTCAACGCCTCTCTAATCCTCACATACGTCTCCTCACTCAGCCCCTCCTTACGATCACAGTAGATATCAACACCCTCCTTCGTAAACACCGTAGGGGCAAACCACGTAACAGCCCATCTCTCCTTAACGCCCTCTGAAGTGACTGCCTCGCCCCAACCCAGTAGCTCCCAGTGCGTGTTGACAAAGACAAGCCATCCTTTACCTCGCCAGTCCCATCCGATAGACGAGGCTTGTGTGTCGATGCCCTGGACTGTCTTGAGCGTTCCGTCCTTGGAGAGCGGCTCGTACTCGACGAGGTCGTCGATACGGGGTCGGCCATCTGCGGTTCCGGGGAGGAGTTTGTATGTGATGCGGACGTTGCGGGCATCGCGCCACATGCTCAGCGTCGAGTGCGTGACGCTCCATGTTGTGGTGATCCAGTCAAGCGTTGGAGGGTCCACGGGAGGTGAGTTTTTGGTAGATGGTGCATATTTGGTAGGGGGATTGAGCTTGATGGGCTTTGGATCGGCCATGGTGCTGTTGTGTAGTGGTGTAGATTCAATGACGTGTGTTCCAGTTGGCAAAAAGAAGCAACGAAAATGTTAGTTTAGATGGGATGAAACTAGGTAAGGATCAGTATATTAGACTACTTTCGTGAGAAGAACAGATGGATTCACATGAAAAAAATTGCAAGGTTGATTGATAATGAGATGGCCTGCTTGGTACCTAATTTCTTCACAAGCAAGAAATGAAACACGCCAGGCTTCGGGTGGCCGCAGATCTGTTACACAACCACCAGGGAAAATCCATCGTCATTCGTCGACCTTCGTTAAATCTTCCGACTGCATAACTTATCCTAGCCTATTTGTTTCTAATTAAGTCTCGTCGGGGCTCTTTGATCATCAGTCTGATGTCACTGATATTTCGTTTCCCTCTCAAAACATTGGTTGCGATACTGTCCAGCTTCAAGGCATGAAAGGTATTGCGCCATAGTCTGGTATATCTGTATCAATAATTTTGATTTCATACGTAAAACCAGGAGCCACGATTTATGCCATGATCATAATTTTGTTCTTACATATTTTCTAATCCTTGTTATTTGTAAATGCCGACGGATGCCCAGACGGACGGACAGGCGCAAGAGTCAAGCCACAATAGCTGCCCAACAGCCACAACTCCACAATCAGCCTCAACCCCAGATTCCATTTGCACCAGACACACCTCATTCTTTCCACCGTCTCACTTGACTCACTTGACTCATTAATCTCCTCATTTCACTCACTCAAGGGGACGCTTCCTGCTGTCTGCCTTACTATTCAAGTGAATCACACTCAAACACGTTCCTTTTCACGCTTTCAAGATGGACGCCACAGAAAACGACGTGGAAGTATCTGATGACGACCTCATGGCTCAGATGGGCTTCTCATCCTTCGGCGCTGCATCACCACCTTCCAAGCGCCGTCGCTACAATCCAAATGCAGATGCTCTACTGCCGTCCAAGTCATCGGCAACCGGCGCAAACTCCACGGCTTTGGGAACCGGCTCAAACAAGGATGAGATTTCGCTGGACGACGACAACGAAGGAAATGCCAACCCAGAACAGAAAGTGCCAGCGCAAGCGCGCCCGGCTAGCCTACCCCAGAGACCTGCTCCGGCGCAAGCCACGCCTCAAGGCCAGCACTCAGGCGCACATGGGGCCAGGGGTAACAAGTTCACTGGTTACTACGACCGCCTGTCTAACGAGAACCCCTGGGAAAAGATCGAGAAGGCCCGGGGCTTGACGACAAGAGGAACGTGGATCACTCGAAATGCTGGGAACGCTGCGACGACAGGTGATGCTCCTGCTTGAAGCATCGACATCGACGGACAACTGCTAATGCACATGGATTATACGAACTGAACGTTGTCAAGATGCAAACCTCATTAGCATGGACTACCTCGGGAAGCGCTTGACGCCGTACTGCGAGGCCGTGGCTCACATTCAACCAGAGGCAGATTTTGATATCAAATATCGTGTCACGTGGTACATCATGTGATATATGAACAGGGGTCTAACAACCTCCGAGTACCATTACGACGGGACTTCAACTCACTACGCCAATATGCCTCATATCACATGCTTGTCCTTACTCAGACTGGCTCATCCATGGTCTGGAGGGGCGTGGGGAGCAGGTCAATCACATCTACGGGGGGGTTATCACATCAATTGGTCCCAGGGCTATGCCTTCAGTCAACGAAGAGAAACGAGATATTGCTTGCTATGAGACTCCATACTCCAGTCGAGATATCCACAAAGAAAACCTTCTTACAGATCCTGGCTCCTCCCAAGATGGTCCCATCCGCTCTCCAGGCTCGCCGCGTTACCCAATGGAGCGATATCATCGTCGCTGCCTCCCCTGATTGGGGCAAGCGTCTTAAATATACTGCTTTGCGAGTCCGCTACTTTTCTCCATCCTGTCATCTTCTTGCTCCAGTGCTTTCCAGGGTTTCTCACTCAGTACACCCCCTCGGTAAATGCCACGAGCAGGACGACCTTGCAGCCCTCGGCTGCTCCCGCGTCACCCATACCCAGAGAGGTTTCCAAGCACGTCTCCCATGCAGCAATCGGTTCCGACACATCATGTCTTGCTGCAAACCCGCTGACGCTATCCCCTGGCACCCCACAGGAGCTGGGGAGGAGGTGTACTTTTAACAACCGCCCCTAGATCGTTCAGTTCATCCAATCATAAGCCATAAGTCGTGAAAAAGCCGCCCATCTTCGCCCTCTCCGCGTGTTTTCCCCCACACCTGCCCCAGAAGCCACGAGGCTGGCGTCCCTGGCTAAGAACTGCCCACACGCCTGCCTTGTCGCTCTGCTTAAAAGCAGCAAGACACCGCGCGCCAGGCGGCTCAATTGCCGCGCTTAGTGACCCTGATTTCAACGTCACCTCACGCTCCCCTTGCATGAACGAGTAGTTCATGCAGGTCGGGATTGAGGGTGGCATGACAAGCGTGAAATACTCACTAAATACAAAAACAATTAACCTTGAAATTCTGGGGATCTGATTATCGTGTGTTCCTGCATTTTGCAGTGAAACTATGTGCGCAAGTAGGAAATTTTGGTGAATCGTATGGCCGAAAGTTGCTCGCTAAGTAAAGTTTTTGGTCGTAAAAGTTCAAAATGCCGCTCCAAAGAAAGTTCCCAGGAAACAATCAGTTCTCAGGGGATGGAAAACGGGCGCGGGCCTTGCTGTACTCCTTGCCATGCTTGCGCGAAGCTTTGGTCTTCAGCGAGCTATGATGGTGGGTTAGTCTCAATTCGCTTCACTTTAACTCTGCGATTTGATCTTGCCTCGCGTAACAAACTGCAGTTGCGTTTGCCATACGGTGCAAAAGAGTCGCGAAGTTTGTTCGACTTACCCAACTTTCTTTTGTGTCCACTCAAGATCGCTGCGCACCTCATGGGCATCTCGCATACCCTCCTGGAAGCGCTCACGAGTCTTCGCAAGACGAGCCTGCGCCTTCTTCTGAAGCTCCATAAGCTCGCGGTGCTTGGCATTCATTTTACCAGATCTGCCCACATATCGAGTCAGTATACATACTGGCCAAATGTCTTTTGCCGCTTACGGCAAGCCTGTGTAACCCTTTGCAAATATCGTCGAACAAACATAGTCTGCGTCGCATCCGTGGAAATTGGGTGGGAGATCCACTTACGTCTGAGCTTGCATGGCCATACTACGGTCAAGGGGGATTGGGTCAAAAGAGTTGGCAAAGCGGTCTTGCATGTACTCCTGGAAGTCAACGCCGCTAGCAGAGCGAGTGCTTTCATATTCGCCGTATCCGCCAGAATATTGGTACCCGGACGAGGTAGCCGAGTATCCACCATTGCTGTAGGAGGGGATGCCTGAGGCGGAGCTAACCGAGTCATCACATTCCGGAGGCGAGACGGAATACTGGCTGTAGGTGGGGTATTGGGAGCCCTTGGAGGGAACGGGAAGAGGCATGGAGTAGCCCACAGGAGTGTAATGAGAAGACATGGTGATTATTTGACAGAGAAGAAGATGTGTGTATGCCAATTGAATACTTCGACAAGTGATCCGAGTGATGGTTCAAGGTTGAGTAGGCTGAGGACAAGTGAAGATCAGTTGAAGTATGAGAGTCGTGTATCAAGACAACAAGCCAAGGAGACTATGTATAAGTGCTGGGCAATTTGGGACTTCAAGTCAGGAGCTGGTTGAAGAGTGATGAGAAAGGAAGAAGAAGAAGAAAGCCTCAACAGCATCAACTCTGGCCTTTTTATACTTCTTCAGAAACCTTGATCGGCCAAACCGGAAGAACTTCAGGATAACTCATCTTGACACTATTCGTCAATGAATGACGATTAACCCCGCCCATGAGGGCGTGCCATAGGATATGACAGGATGATGGCATGGTCCTGAGGGTGATGAGAGGCTAGACGAGACGATCACGACGAGATGCACATGTGTGGGCCATCACGGACGGCAACGATATGACAAGGTAACAAAACTTCAAAACTAGGACTACTAGGAGGGCGACTAGGGAGGCTAGAAGCGGCAAAGAGCCTTGGAAAGGTAATGAAATGTCAGAGAACTATCCGAGATGTACTGCCGTTTGACATCCGAGCCAACGAAAGAGAAGAGTAACGGAACATGCTCAAGATAGGGCTTTTGGGGGAGGGTGAAGATAGAGAAAGACCAATCTTTGAATAAGACGCAACCTAAAGAAAAGCGTGGCTTTAAGATACTTCGAAGGACACTGCTTTGACAAATGCAGTGCCGTTGAAATTGTAAACGCCTTTGAGCTACGCCGTTGGCTGGGTGTAACAAGACCAGCCTAGGATGAGCATGGACATGTGCATATGCCGAGAGTGAGGACTGCAATCTTAGATGTCAGATGTAACAATTAAGAGAGTAAAAAAATGGAGACCGTCTTGGATCCAAATCGATATTTACCGGGCAAGTTTAGGGGAAAGACTGGGGAGAAGTGCTTGACAGGGCAATGGATATGTGTCAAAGATGGCGCCGGGCAGAACATGACGATACCATGTGCCAGTGGGCAATTAACAAAAAGAGAAAAAATGCGTCTGTGTGCCAGAGCGGAGACCGAGAGAAGACCCGGCTTGGAAGGGACCGAGCCAGACCGTATGGTACAGCAGGAGAAGGGCAAAAGAAAGTAAGATGCTGGTAAGATGCCATGCATATCCGGGTCCATCAACGGACACAAGTGGCTGCACTAGCCCTTGGGCCCAAACGTTGAGAAGGGATAAGGGCCATGTGTATAATTTGTCTTGGGGGCAAAAGTTTTCCCACCGATATTTGCTTGTCTGGAGCGATTGGAGACCGACGGTGTTAGTCGTCTGAGCGTCACACGCTTGGTCGTTGAGAAGCGGAGGAGGCAAGTCGAGGCCAGGCTTGGATTGGGCTCTTGGTCGAGTGACGTGAGGGACATAGCCAATGTAAACTAGGCTGGCATGCTGCTTTTTTGGTGATAGCTAGTTGCGGACAGAAAGCAGGTAAATGGATCGCAGGTAAGAAAGGACCAAACGGACAGCGCAACGAACGACCTAATCAACGCTGACTGGTTGGAGAGTTGGCTAGATGGACCTAGGTAAGTAAAGTAGACACCAATGCCCACACCCTCACAAAGGCATATCTGTACCATAAAGAGTACATCTCAATCGGCCGGGTTCCGGTACCGTTTGGAGTAGCGGGTAACATTGGTGGTGGGTGTCTGAAGAAAAAAGACATTGGTTGCCTCACCGTGTAAATGGATATTCGTGAGGGATCACCAACCGCTGGTTAGACCTTTGGCATTCCATCTTCAAATCCAGCTCAAGCGCTCTGGGCAAGGAATAGCAAGATGTCTGCGCGGAGGAGCGGATACTGGAGAATGCAGGCTTCCTGAATGTATCCGCAGTGTAATTTTGGGATGCATTAGGACTGCATCTTGTTCCTTGCTGCAGGGGAGTAGGCAGGACCATGGAGAATGGAGACGGAGGCGGAGAGAGTTGCAAACAAGCGCGCTGACGCTAAGCAAAGCCAAAAGACGAAGTTGATGGAAAAGCAGCCTTGGATTTCCAATCTCGCCCACACCCCCCTCCAATTGCATCTTGCTCGCTGGCGGCGTTTTAACCAAAAAGCCCAGACATGTCTGTCGAGACAGAAGGAAGAAGTAATGATCAAGATAGACCTTGCAACGGTCTGACCGAGGATTGGCTCTCAGCGTCGGTTGACAGGGTGTGAATTGAGAAGCGAACGCAAGGCGGCGGGTCGGGTAGAGGTGCATCAAGCCGGGCAATTTCTGGCATTGTTCTGTCCTGTAACTGTACCTTTACAGGAGAGCACAGGAGGTAAGGTAATGTAGTGATGCGTTGTCAAAACGATTACCAGACGTTGCTGTGACGGTGGGTTTGATATGCAATTGTATGGTTAGGTTGTATTGTATGGGGTGAAAGACAGACAAGACAAGGTCCGGTATTGAATTCCAGGGACCCGATCGAGGGGTCACCTCAATCGACAGGTGTCTCTGACACCTTCTCTACGAAGATGGTGTGCCATTTGCAGGTGCGTGCAATACCTTACGTAGTGGAAGCTCTCAAGAAAGGATGAAGGATCCATTCATCAGATGAGCTGGACGCATCAAGTTGGTGGGATGGTGGGGGAGGAAAGTGCGTGCGTGCGCAACGTACCTTCCTGGTATCTCCCATCCCATTGATGATGACAGCCATTTTGGTTGGATTTGCTTTTTCCTCTGCTTGATTCAACCTTGAATGTTCCACGTGCCATAACAAGTTTTCTATCACAATCACGCAGAGCCTCATTGACCATATCTGAGATGTCTTTTGTTGACAGAACTCAATTGAACTCGTCATGAAGCAATTGACGGGCCATGTAACACAGAGAACCCATCGCCTGGATACAACTCTAAGGATCCACTATCACGACTTCAACACGACTTTTGAGATGCTTCATGTCCAAATTCTCGAGCTTTCGACTTCACCACCCTCGATCTGTTCAACCTTTTGTCCAACGGCATTCCATTGGCGAAAAGAATCGGTCAAATTCTGTCAACAATTGATTGGATAATGCTTGGACAAATGTAGCATGATTGCATCCATTGCAATGGGTCTTTTCAGTGCATACGGCATTTCTTCCTTATTTCTCGCCCCTCCCCCGCTTGCTACTACCGACCAGTCACCACAAGGTACACCGCAAGATCCACCATCCACCATCTCTATCTACTTGGTGAGCATTGGCACAGTTAGCTCAGACTATCTGTGACAGGGTACATGCTTGGAGATTTGTCCTAGATGGACTCTTAGCTTGCGAGCTTTGTCTGACGAATCTTGAAGAGAATTCGCGAGGACCGTTGATCTAATCGTTGCGTCTGAGCCGATATGGTTCATCGAAGACTATCGTAGAGACCGATATGGGTAGATTACGAGCCGAAATGAAATGCCCAATCCTGATCTTCGGGTTGTCCAAAGTCTTTGCAAGGTTGACATCGACTAAGAAAGATGCTCTCTCGAATTTCCACATATGTCTCATGGTAGCCTGAGCCATGAGGGAAACGACCAGCCACATGAGCACTCGACATTGGGAAAATATTCATCACTGATCATATCAATACCTTCTTCGCCTGGCCTAAACCCCTACACTCTGCATATGCTGCACAGCCGGACCAACGCTCGTTGTAGGAGGTCCCTTACAAACCCGGCCTGTCAACCGGCAACCACGAATGGAGACGTTACCCCGGCTATGCGCAGCTTCTGGGCTGCAGCTATGCTGTATGGTGACAGTTCTGGAGTCTGCGACAACGGCGCCCCTTTGACGTTGCTATCATGAGCCACTGTGACACGTCTTCAACGGTTCCTGTCGCTACCCGCCACTCAGAACCTGAAGTCGTCACTTAACTCTTCAAGAGCTGTCACGGTTTATGCACATCCGATACGGGTAGTTGCTTCTTTCGAAATCCGTTGTAACTTTCTCTTCTGTCTTACTGTTACTGCGTCCCCGGACCTGGGATGTCCTTGAGCGACGTCCGATCAGCGTCGGCATCAAACGAGCACCATCCTGGCTCATCCACCTCGCGATCTTGTTAGTTGCGCATCACTTGCGATGATCGTGTCTTGTTATGCCTTGAATGGCAAGTCCTACCACGAAATCCGGGGGCCTATCACCTAGGTGGCATGACTTGCGAGCCCTGCGTTGCGAGCTGTGCGTCAGATTTAGTTCAAGCTGCTGTGCTTCAATCATTTAGTCTCCTGGAGATCATTAAGTCGACTGATCTCCCCGCCTCACATTGATCGATTTGAGGCCATGAAAGCGAGATGAACCGGTGGATGATGACCGGAACCGAATACTGACGCGAGATTCGTCGAGATTGGAAAGAGATGAAAGATGACTGACTTGTTTCTCCACAAGAAGCCAGGTGCCTTTGTTTTGCAGTACATTGCATTTGCATTGCATGACAAGGCGGATGTCGTCCTCCAACAGCGCATCCGCTTGCCCACTCACAAAGCCATCAGGACTTGACTCGGACCTTTGGTTCGTTCTGTGTGCTAAACTATTCGGCGAAAGACGAACAAGTTGCGAAGGCACAGTCCTGACTGCAACATGACTATCCAAGCGTACATATCTCGGAATACTACAAATAGTACGTACTTATCATCTACACGCCTCCCCTGCCATGATACCCTCCATCACGCATGGACAACTCAGCGCCGTTGCGTGCGGTAAGGCGTGGCCCAGGCACACGGAGGGGAAGATGCAACTTCGTGCAGGGGGGTTCGATGATGGGGCACCGTCTAATAGGACGACAAGCTTAAATAGAGATGCAAAGTAGATGGATTTTTTTCTTTTCTGCGAAGATGGTGTGAATGGTATGCGCTGGACTTGAGGCTTTGCCGACGGAACGATTGATATCCAATTAGCCAATCTATCTCGCAACTCCAGCCATTTACACATACCAAGCTATTTACCCAATGCAGAAGGAGTTCTCTCAGGAAATATCTCAGAATATCTCACTTTTGATTTGCTAACATGACGTAGAGAGCCTTCCACCGTGTAAGCAGAAGTCGCCTCTGAGCTGAGCGACTAATCCCGCTGTCACGGACGCTGTCGTGTAAGTCCGCCTTCAACGACCGGACATAATCGAGAGACAAAAGCCTCCATGTCCATGTTAATTCCCCTAATCTGCCAAAAAAAGGAACGTTCAAACAAATCTGGACAACTGATTTGACCCCGGTTGAATGACATCCGAGAGTATCTGTTGAACACAGTGAGCCTCTGAGGTCGTGTATCATTCTGCAGCCCGAATGATGATTATCACCGGAATTCCCAGCTCAGACACCTCGTGGCACGGATGTATCATCCAGACCGTTGAGCAGAAGGTGAGCAATACGAATGCTGTACGGCGTTCGTACAACAGACGTCAAAAGTCGCGCAACCAGCCAATTTCTTGCAAAGGTGTCATGAAGAGTATGTGAAAAGGGAAAAGGAGATGCGTTTCGTCTCGTTATCTAGATACCTCTGTGGTATCGTTCTGTCTACATGGTCCCTAAGATATCGCACCATATCATGCTGTCCCTTTCCATTTTCTATTCCAAATGTTCCACCGTGGTTCAGGAATAGATGTACATCATCCCGATGTAATACCGCATGGCACCTAAAAACAAGGTTCGCAGCCAGGTACCCAAACCGGAGAGCCGTTATGTTGATTTTTGGTAAGGGGGTTTCATGTTCGTCCTCCTCTTCCGCACGCCGTTCCCATCTCGCAAGCCTAGCAAAATAAAGTACAAACCCAAAACAATGCCCTCGATGCCGAGAACATATGTAAAGACTCAATCTCCAGCAGACCCATTTTCAAAAGACAAATGCTTTCACAAAGAAGAAGGAGTAGGAGAAAAAAAAAAGATGGGGATACGAGGGGAGAGTAGGGTATATACATAAACCCCCAATGCATGCACAATGTCAGACTAATGCGTTGCATATACGTGATTGCTCAGTGTCTCATATGCACCGTGATCTGGTGGAAATGGCAGCTCTTTATGCTCATAAGATGCCGCTCCCATCCTAAGACTTGTATCGTCTAAGAGAAGATCTTAAGGAAACCCCAAATACCGAAACCGCTGAGCACGGGAATTGTCAAGTTGTCGTCCCAGCCGAAGATGTCGACCACTTCACTGGCGGAAGCGACAAAGCCGGACCACACGCTCATGACACCCAGGGCGAGGGCACCTGAGATGGTAGTCTGCTCCTTCGAGACACCGACAGCCTCGCAGATGGTCTTGGGCAGTGAGAGAAAGCCCTTGAAGAGGAAGTTCTCGTCACCAGGGAAGGGACCAACTGTAGGGACGAGCCAACCGTAGAAGAAGTACGATGTGCCGACGCCAACGAGGAAGGCAGCAGTCGAGCCAGCAAGAGACTTGCCTCTGCGAAGACGAGGGGTATACCGGCCCCAAAGTCGGCCGAAGGTGCTGGCGGCGGTGTCACACCAGCTGAGCAGAAGAACGCTCATGATACCCACATCCTTGGGGAAGCCATAGAGGACGATCCAGGCACCGAGGAGGTAGAAGATCACACCGTTCCAGCCGGAGTACTCGCTCTCGCGCATCAAAGCACCAAGGACCTTGACATAGAGGCGGTTGACGGACGCATATCGGTGTCGGAGCCAGTCAGTTGCGGCGATTGGGATGAGCGCTGACATGAGCCATGGTGTGACTGATGTTGTCTGAGTTCCCGTCACGTAGAGCCAGATAACGAAGAAACCGATCGACACGTGGAGAACCTTGCGGGGTACCTCGTGCTTGTGTACGAAGGTTCTCCAGTGTCGGTGGATGGGAATAAGGCCCAAGGGACTGGGACTTCGGCTAAAGTCACGCCAGGACCATCCCACCGGTGTTGTAGGTTGCGGCGGCGCAAGGTGACCATTTGATGTCGTGGACTTTCCGTTGCCGTTACTGCTGAGCGCCCCATTAGACGTCGTCTGCTCTTCTGGGATAGTGTCCTTGGACATCTTGCCCGCCTTAGCAGCAGTGCTCGTGCGCCTCGTCAAGCGTGTCACGGCCTGTGTATCAATCGGCGAGCGGCTGCGGGTTCGGGCGCGTCGAAACTCGGGGGGCTCGGGTAGATCCTCATCGGGCTCCTCCTCGAGCGGTTGCGGCGTGGGTGTCCGTCTCCGGGCTGCCGAGCGTGTAACGGGGCCCATGTAATCGGCGGCATCGCGCTCGGATGGGGTGGGACTCGGCGAGATGACGCGGGGCGTCTCTGGGATTTTGGATCGGAAGGACATGGTGAAGGAGAATGGTGGGAGGGCAGAACAGTGGACGGCGCCGACTACTATGCGACTGAGAGGGTTGAAGCCGGAGGGCCAGAAGGTATTGGGTATTGTAGAGTGGAGATGTTTATCACGGCGCGATGAGCGCACCGTTGTGATGGGTTCTGACGGAGATGAAATTGTGAAGGTGTTGGGGGTGTCGTAGTGAGAGGATCCGTTAGTGGGAATATTATGTTGCTTTTTCCCCAGATCTAAAAGATGTTGCTCGTGGTCGTCGTGGTCGTGGCTATGTCGTAGATAGATGTGGCGTAGACCTTGGCCGTTATGTTCAAGACCAAGATTCTGATGATGATGTAGCTGCTGGTTCTGGCCGTAACCCTGACTCGGGCTCAGGCTCTGACTCGAATTCCGTTTCGGGGGACTCGGGCTACGTTTTGGCCGAGACTTGTGAGAGTGGTGAGAGTCGAGAGTGTTTATTGAATCCAGATTGATTAACAAGGGTGCAACGGAGGTTGGATCCCCCGCCGCATGTTGGGTTCGGAGATATAAGGTATTGATGACCGTGGCCGTGACCGGGGCACGCACACATGTAGTATGGACTACCTACGGTACAGGTCTTAGATGTACAGAGCCAGGCTTGTGAGAGACTGGGTCGAGTGATGGATTCGGGGTGGACTCGACGGGCGTGACTAGGCCGCTGAGACAAGTAGAGAACAGAAGAAAATAGAGAGTCGTGTGACACTGGAAATGGAAAAAAAGAGGATACTTGCTAAGACCTAAACGAGGCTTTTCTTCAGGATCGTTATGTCGCTGGTTCTTGATCAAGTTTGGCGTTGGTTGGTTTTGGCTGCAACGGTTGGAGATTTTTCGTCTGGGGCAGACTCGGAGCCATACAGATACGTACCTATCTGTGGCGTTGATCTCAGTTCAACCCGCACAAGACACCGCCTTTTTCCATGGATGTCTTATTCTAGCATGTGATGATCTACGAGAGGGTCTGTTGAAACACAACACCTCGGTCTTGGAGATATTATCATGTAAAATTTGGTAAAATATTCGTATTGCAGCAGAGTCTGATGGCTTGTGAAGGACCATATAAAATTAAAAACAAGATTATATGTTAATCCTGGCACTCACCAGTCTCCGGCTCTTCCGTAACTGGCCCAACTGCTTCTTGTGCAATATCTGCCTATCGAAGTGTCATGTCAGCTGCCACATTTCAGCCAAATTGAATCATCCAGCTCAGGGACCATCAAATCCCACGTCATCCAGATGGACAAGACATCATATCTCAGTGAGCACGTGCCGTGATAGACAGAATGCTACTTCAGCCACATGTCGCATTTGACTGCGCCACAACTCGATGGCCTCACGTGGTGATAAGATAAAAATTTCGAGAAATGTTTCGCGCAAAAGATGCCAAAGACGGCCCCTCTATGCGCTTTGGATCTGTAAAAGACAGACCATATAATAATTCTTTTATAATACCAAGACTCGGTCTCGTTTTGTAATGGCTTCAGAAAAGGTCAAAAAGAGAAGCCCGAGAGCTTGGGATGCTCTTACTCCTCCTCTTGCAGAGTGGATTCGCGATGCGGTCGCAACTATGGGCTTCAGCCAAATGACACCCGTCCAAGCTGCAACACTACCACATTTCCTCGGAAACAAAGATGTTGTTGTTGAGGTATGATTCTATTGCTGTTGAGTATGCGATTAGCCATCTAACTCCTTTGTAGGCTGTCACTGGCAGTGGAAAAACCCTCGCCTTTCTCATCCCTCTTGTACAAAAACTTTTGCGACTTAGCGAACCCACGAAGAAGCATCATGTTGCTGCGATAATCGTCTCTCCCACGCGCGAATTGGCCGCTCAAATTCATACTGTTCTCGTCAACCTGTTACAATTCCACGAAGCTTCGGCTGAAATCCTCCCGCACCTCAAAGACGACGAAAAGCGACCTTCTACTACCGTGCCCGCCATCGTACCCCAGCTGCTCGTTGGAGGTACAACGACCACCGCGCAAGATCTCAGTTTCTTCCTTCGACATAGCCCAAATGTTCTTATCTCCTCGCCCGGCCGACTTGTCGAGCTCTTGTCTTCACCTCACGTCCACTGCCCTCAATCCTCTTTTGAGGTTCTCGTCCTCGATGAAGCCGATCGACTTCTTGACCTTGGCTTTAAGCCTGATCTCCAGAAAATTCTATCAAACCTTCCAAAACAAAGAAGAACTGGTCTTTTCAGCGCCAGTGTTAGTGAGGCTGTTGGAGAGATTATCCGAGTTGGTTTACGAAATCCCGTCAAGATCGAGGTTAAGGTCAAGATGAAGGATGGAGGAATTCTTGAAGACAGAAAAACACCTGCCAGTCTCCAAATGGCATATATGGTCAAGCCTGCTAGCCAAAAGCTGCCTGCCTTGGCAGAACTTCTTCGACAATTACCTATAAAACCCCAACGAAGCATTGTCTTCCTCTCCACATGCGCCGCGGTCGATTACTTTCAACACGTTCTACCTGCGATCCTACCAGAAGGTTTTGCGTTGGTGCCTCTTCACGGGAAGCACCCAGCTAAAGTACGAGAGAAGAACTTCAACCGCTTTTTGAACTCTGTTGCCCCCACAATACTACTTACAACAGACTTGGCAGCTCGTGGATTGGATATTCCTCAGGTTGACTTGGTGGTTCAGATCGACGCTCCTTCAGATCCCAAGGCGTTTATCCACCGTAGTGGAAGAGCTGGTCGTGCAGGCCGAAAGGGTTTGGCGGTGGTTATGTTGCACCCCGGGCGAGAGGAGGACTACGTTCAGTTTCTGGAGATTCGCAAAACACCGATTTCCAAGCTTGAGAAGCCAACTGTTTTTACATCAGAGGAGGATGCCGTGGCTGCTACAAAGAAGATGAGGGATCTGGTGTTGACGGATAGAGCACTTTTCGACAAGGCTCAGAAGGGATTTGTGAGTTGGGCTCGAAGCTATGGCGCCCATCAGGCAACATCTATCTTCCGCGCAGCTGATCTCGACTGGGCTGATCTTGGTAATGCATGGGGACTGCTTCGCATGCCCAGGATGCCTGAGCTCAAGAGCTGGAAGGGCGACAAGATGTGTGGTCTCGAAATTGACTGGGACAATTACGCCTACAAGGAGAAGACACGCGAGCAAGCACGAAAAGCAGCTCTCGAAGAGGAAAAGTCTGGAGAGAAGAAGGACAAGAGCGACGAGACAAAGCGAAAGCGAAAGAACAACGAAGCATGGAGCGCTAAGCACGAAAAGGAGGATGAGAGAGTTGAGCGCAGGGAGAAGCGACGTAAGCGCCGTGAGGCTGAGGCTACGTCTAAGATGACGGACGAAGAGAAGTTCAAGCAGATGGAGCTAAACGAACTCATCGCCGAGGTCCGGAGACAGAACCGCGAAAAGGCTGCTGCTGAAGCTGCGGCGGCTAAGAAGGATAAGGAGGATGAGTTTGCGGGCTTCGATGATTAGGTAGACGAGATAGGAATATACCCCGTTTTTTGGCTAAGACATGTTTTGGGTTTGGTGTACCTGAGGGTAAGGCAGAATTGGTGTCTTTTGGGAGTGATTTGGTTGAGGACGACGTGGACATTGCGTGGCTTGGCTGTGAGAGCATGGGTGATTTATAAGACGTAGGTGACTATACGCGTATAGGTTTTGGGAGATGAATACGAAAATTGAAGCTGAATCCGATGAACGCGTATTGTATTTCCTTTGTAGATGACTCTTGTATGTTTGTTACAGAGCATTTTAGCAATAAAGGACAAACCTAAATGGATTGTAGAGGTACTCTTCTTAAGAGATACCAGATTCATTACTGTACATCTCTTTTGGGGGCAATATATGATGGCTTCGTTCCTGGTGTTATGATAGTGGCAGCGGCAGTCCGGCATATGCTGTCTTGGCATCACCACCAAAAAGGTAAGATACCGATTGGAGGAGCGGAAATATGAGGCCAAAACATTTCTAAAACGGTTTAAGTCTATCCAAATCATCAGTTACCTACGCAATAGTCCACGTAACGTGGCCCCCTTGTAACCCTTCTAGTTTATTACTGTAAGGCTGATAGAGGGAACGAGCTTCTATTTTTGAGATCGACAGAGCGCTTGGTACCGAAACCGACTGCCCGTTAATTATATCACCAGTTTTGGAGTTCAAGCCACTAAAGATGTCGTTCATTGCTCTTGATAAATTGGTTATGTCTTGATGCATTCCTATTCACAAGATGGGCCATGCTGAGCTAGACCTTACTTGCCTGCTACTTCGGCTGTCCACTTGCATGACTAAAGTTATTGACGGTTTCGGAATTATTCCAACGTCAACACTCCGCTTTGTCAACAACACGTCCATTGATGATCATCACTGAAGCCACAAGAAAAAAATAAACCCTCCACTGGGGCAATACGACGGGGGATACGATTAAGGTCTCCAAGCTAAGCTGCCAACCAATCAAGACGCTTCAATTAAAGCAAAAACACATCAGGACTAGCCAGGACAGACAACCTACCATGACTTGTGCCTGCTGATCGAGAACAATTCTTTTCGCCCCCTGATCACTCTCACTCCCCCTACCTCATCTATACTTCCCTCACTTCTTCCGATGCCTCCGAGGACCTCCGGCTCCGGTTCCGGCTCCGGCTCCGGCGCCGCTACTGCCAAGCTCCGCCGGGCACATCGCAAGTCCCGGAATGGCTGCTGGGAGTGTAAGAGACGACATATCAAGTGCGATGAGAATCGTCCTGCGTGTAGTAACTGCGTCATCAGTGAGAGGACGTGTTCGTTTCCTGCTCAACCGACTCCAGCCGCTGCGCCAACTCCGCCAGAGCAGCCTGTGTCTTCTTTCAATGAACCTCTGAGTGCTAGTCAGGTTGAGAGTCCTGCTGATAGCATCTCGAGTACTGCAGCCTCTCACCGGCCTTCTTCAATACCGCCTCCGTCATATCTTGCACCAAACTCTGGCTTCACATCGAATATCGATGACGGCGCGCACTCGACTTCTCTGCCATCTTTCACAGAATCGTTCGCTGCTGCAGACTTGTCTGAGTCGCCTCTATCAACTCCACTGCCAGACGCTCTTCCTACGCCATACTTTACCAATAAGCACCTCATATTGTTGCATCACTTCCGCAAATCTCTACTATTCGATGTCGACAACGTCGACATCATCATAGACCTCGCTCTCGACTGGTCATCAGAAGCTCCGTACGCTCTGGATCAGCTTCTTGCTATATCAGCAGATCACCTTGCCATGACTCAAGTAGAAAGTTCAGCTGAAAGCGCAGCTTCTTGGAGACGCATCGCTACCGAGTTGCAGACTCGCGCCCTTACACACTTTAACAGGGACGGTCAAGACACTGCCAATCACGAGTCTCGCTTCGTCCCTCGTTTCCTCTTCTCCTCCTTGTTAAGCTTACATATGCTTTACGACACACTCACACAGTATCGAGCCACATTTCACGTCTTTATAGAGAGATTCTGTAACTCTGTCTGCCTTCATCGTGGCGTGAAGTCAACTTCCTCGCCAGGCTACCAAACTCTTATCAGGTCCCCTCTAGCGCCATTCTTTCTCGGTGTCAGAGACGCAGCAGAGCTCGGTGACAAGGGCGATGAGTGTGCCCCTCTCATAACTCTCATCGAAAACTCTGATTTGAGTCCATCAGCTGTGGAAGCCTGTAGCACAGCCGCTCATACACTGCAATGGGCTTTCAATGTTCACAGGAATCTGCCCAAGAGTGTAAACGTACAAGCTGCCTCGGCATTTCCGGTTGTGTTGAGCGATAACTACATAGAGCCTGTTCGAAAGCACCGCCCTGAAGCATTGCTCGTATTGGCTTATTATGGTGTTCTCCTCCACCGATGTCGACATGTCTGGTTGTTTGGCGATTCAGGCGCGTTTCTGATACATTTGATTGCGGATCATCTTGGAAGCTATTGGAAAGATGCCCTACGATGGCCACTCGAAGAGTTAGAAAGAGATCAAGGATAAGAAGGTTGGCAGAGGACAAGACTTTAGTCCTGTACCGATGACATCCAGAGCGAAGACATCGACGTGCTTTCACATAAGCGATGCTATATGCAAGCTCGTTGAAGCACAGCATTCGAACACATTAAAGGCAACAAAGCTGTCGCCGATCTTAGGTCACAGACCTCGATGCTCGGAAATATCACCTTTTTTATGATCCAGGCCTCAGAACTGCAAAACACGCAGAGGTCGCACCACCACCCAAAGAGTCCGATCAGTCAAGCGTCAAGATATGAACATTCAAGGACATGATCCTTCAGAAATCCTTCGGAGGTGCTGTCAAATACCGACGAAGGTTAAGCTAGCCTAATTCAAGCTTGGCCTAAATTATCACAAACTTAGAGGAGAAAGTGAAGGCTTCAGGCTGTGGTTATCTGTTATCAGGCTATCATTTATGTTTGCACCTGTCATGAAAAGGATAGAGTGGCTTTGGCGGCAAGAAAATATACCATTTAGAGGGACGATGTTTTAAAGTCTATCAATAAACAAGTTAAATACTTCAAACACTTCCATCTGTGACAGTTTTATCAACACCAGTGAATGTCTCAATTCATTTCACGGACAAGAGCACACACTCAACTGATGAATGCCATCTCATCTTCTCTGTACGATTATCCATAGTGTAAGCTATAACGATATCTACATGAGCCCGGCCTGTTTCTCTTCCTGCGAACACAATACAATACTCTGCATGTCAATTCTCTTTATTTTTATTCATAAAAAGGCGGAATGGTAATAGCTCGAGCGTTAACGTCGTTAAATCAAAAGTCAAACAACCGACAGTAGCGAAAACTTCAACCAGGGCTCCTTGATCTTTCTCTCTCTCTTTTTGTTTTTCGAAGTTCCCCTCTTGAGACTTCCAGGGGCAGGACGGATCCAGACAAGGGCTTTTTTCTTTTGCGCCGCCGGGCAAGGCGGATGGCCACTCTTCTATGGAAGGAATATGGTATCATAACAGGAAGGAAAATGGGCGTGGACGAGATGTCAAGACGTGCATGAGATGGAGAGATAGGCCGCTGGGTTGCAGCTTGAGTGCAAACTCTCAGAGACCGTAGAAGTCCCAACCATCACCAGCTGCATCCGTCGGTCCCGCTTCATCGGCGGCATTGGGCGCAAATTCTGTCCGAAGTTCTTCGTTGAGTCATAGCTCCTCATCGTCCAGCTCAGAGGGCTTGAGAAGACCGCCAACCTTCTGTCGTCGTTCCATATCAGCGGCCTTGGCGTCCTGCTCCTGTTGTTCCTTTTCGACAATGAAGAGCTCAGCGTTGTCGCCAGCAAACTCTTTGAGGGAGACGAGGAAATCACGGAGGTTAAGTCGGAACTTGTCGTACTGCGTGTTAAGCGTGAACAGGCCTTCGACGAAGCTTGTGATTTGGTTCCTATATAAAGATTAGCTTAGTGACATGAAAGGCAGAGGGGATACGTACGCTTGCAGGTTGCGGAAGGCGTTTTGTAGGAGGTTAGCTACAAAGTTGGCAACAAACTCTCGGTTGTCGGTTCCAGCTTGCGCTTGATCGGGGCTGTAGATAGGTCCCTGGATCTTAGGCTGAGACCCATCGGCAGGGTTGATATAGTAAAAGAGCTTCATCAGCAACATGGATTGTGTCTTGAAGCCGGCCTTGTGGTCGTTGTCGGTCACAACGAAGAACACATCCTGGAGGATAGTGATGAAGAATCGCTGGAAGAAAGCGTTGGCGGTTTGCACATCTGTCTTCTCAGCTATGTTGTTGATCAGCTCCAGAGCCATGTTAAGACCAGCCGCCTCGACATCTCGGTTGTCGTGCTTGAAAGCCCATGAGCATGAGTCGATGACAAACTTGAATTGGTTGTTGTCGAGCTTGAGCAGGGCAGGGAAGCAGTGCAAGTTGATGGCTCGGAGGAGGTTGAAGAACTCGACTCGGTGCTCGGGGAACTCAGAGAAGTCCTTGTTGATCATCTCCAGAGTGCACTCGAAAACGTTCTGCATGATAGTAGGAACCTGGTCCTCCATTAAAGCCTGTTACTCGTTAGTATAAAATCCTGCAAATATGATTAAGGGAATACTGACAGAAAGCTTGGTGATAATAGTAGAGCAAGCCTTGAGCACCTCGGCATCGCGGGCGCCAGGGACGTTGCGGTTGTAGTCAACAAGAACAGATTCCAGCAGAGGAGGAACCATCTGGGCACGGACGGCCTGAAGATCCTCTGCCTTATCGACGTACACCTCAATGAGCTTGAGGATCTCCTTCTTGATGGTTCGGAGACCTCGGACCTTGGGCATCTTGGTGGCGAGTTCACCATCGCGAGCCACAGCCTCGGAGATCAGTGTACTTGTGGCGTTGTACATCTGGAGCATGTCATGGTAGATGCGGCCGATCTGGGGATAGAAATAGGACCCCACAGATGAGCAAGCAGACACATTCGTCTTCATGATGTTTCCAATAACCTTGATAGTCTCGGCATCCTGAAGGATAGTTGGGTTCACTGTTGCCTGCTTGATGATCTCGTCCCAGGCTGCGTTGGGGATAGCCATCAGGTCGGCAAGGAGTCTCTCCTGCTGGTGCTTGTTGCCCTGAGCGGCAACCATGTAACCGCAGGCCTCGTAGAAGGTGTGCACTTGTTGAGGTGTCAAGTCGCATGTGATTTTGCCCATGTTTCGAACGATCTCCTCAATGAAAGGCTCCTGCTCGCTGGGTTGCAGGGCTACAAAGTGACGTCGGCACTGGCGGGCGATCTTAATGAACGTATCGCAAGCCATGTCCTGGACACCTAAACCAATGTTGATTAGCATTTTAATCTTCAGTTCAAGCTGTTTTCACATACCCTCGTGTGACTCGTGCATAAACTCGAACAGCTTATTGACAACTGTCTTGAGGAACTTCCAATGAGCCTTGAGGAAGCGGGGGTACTGTCCGACGATGTACATAATGTTACTGGCGACAACGGCCTTGTTGTCCTTGCCTCGCTTCATCTCAGTAAGACCGAGGAGATCCTTAATGACAGTAACAAGGAACCTCTTCTCTGTCTCCTCGTTCATCGCCAAAGAGATCGAGCCGATAGCCCAGCAAAGAACGTTGCAGTTGTGCCAGGACCACTCGCTTCCGTCGACTTGTCGAGCGAGCTTCTCGGTCATGATGTTTTCTGTGTCGACCACGTCCAAATGTGTCAGGTAGACCAGGCACTCTCGAATCGTCTTGTAAAGTTGTACTGTGTCACTCTCCTTGACAAATTCTCGGACAATTTCACCCTCGTCGTTCTCAACAATCAAGACTTCCTCAGGACGGACCATCTTCTCGATCATAACGACTCGAAGGTTCGAGAGGACCTCGTTGTATTTGTGCTTTCGGAGAGGGTAGTTGTTGAGCATCGTAGGGTTCGGGGCGCCGCTTCCAGACATTCCTGCGCCAACTGCCATGAGAGGGTTCAGGTCGGTCATGGGGAGCTGCTGCATCTCCTCGTAAAGCTCCTGGACAAGCTTGAGCCAATAGTCGAGACAAATCTTGAAAATCTCTCGATCATCGATCTGCGATATTCTAATAAGATAGTAGTGACCATGAATGAGGAAATCGCGGTTGGGGAGTTTCTCGATAAGCTATCACGATTATGTTAGATTCGTCCGGATGTCAAACACAGCGTAAAACCTACGTTCAAGTGCATTCCAAAGAAATTGCAGAGGAAGAGAGCCAGGTTTTGTATAAACTCCTGATCCCTCGAGTTGCTGCTCGGATATGTGCTCTTGAGATCAAGAGAAACGGGAATAATGTTAGCAATGGTAGTCAAGGTCTCGGTGAACATCTTAACAAGCTGCTCGTCGTAAGAGTTGGGCTGGCCGGGGCCTCCAGTCTGAAGACCACCAATCTCAGTAAGGCACTGCATGGTGACGTTACGGAACTCGGGGGTCGAGAGAAAACGGGTTCGCAGTGTCTCGATAAGCGGTGTCTCGAAGATGTATCCCAGGGGGATCCAATTGCAGAATCGCAGAAGGGTCTCGAGGGTCGCCTTGATCAGACTAGGCTGTGTGGCCGTGTTGAGAACCTCCTGGCAGAGGTTGAAGATTTGCGAGAACTCGGCGCACATGGTCTGCTTGAGGTTGCGTGTCTTGGTTGATGTCATCTGCTCGGCTGAATAGTCGAAAACTTCCTCCGAGAGCAAGCGAAGAATGATCATGTTGTTCTCGCAGATGGATAGGTTGGAGTGGCAGGACGAGATGATTTCGTTGATAAAGGTAGGCCAGTTGTGAGGCCACTCCTGCTTGAGTACGGAAACGAGGACGAGGTTAAGCTTGTTGAGCAAGGTCTTTTGCTGGCGCAGCGACTCTTCGGTGCTCGAGCACTGGATAATGAACTGGACGATGAAGTTTCGGATTCCTACAAGTTACAGGTTGTCAGAGTTGGTTGCTAAGCTGTTATCGCGGTGAAGACGGACCTTGGCACTGCTCCCGAGGGAGGACCTTCCATCTTGTCAAGATCACATTGTCCAGAACCTGCAGACCCAAGTCTGTCAAAATTTGTTAGTCGAGTGGATTCACAAGTGCAGTATTCGCATAGATCGAAGGGAGGAGAGCTGGCTTGAATGCAGCACAGGATAGGAAGTGGCGCAAAGCCGAGGCTACACACATTTGGTTTGAGGGTACTGCGCATCCGAGAGGATCTTGTCGACCATGAGCCACGCATCGGGGTCTTCTTTGAACTGCAGCTCAAGTCAGTAAAAAGCTCTGCACGAGCCGAGAGCTAGATCTGTACGAACCTGGTTGAGAGCAGCTTGGGCGGCTTTTTGCTACACGGTTAACGAGGCGGAGTTAGCTATCGTTCCTCACTCATGCCGACGCGCGGGGTCCACGGTTTGTAAAAACCGACGCCCAGAAGACTACCTACCTGCTCACCGCGCCCCTCGTAGAAGGAGCGGACGAGGACGTCCAGCTCTTCAATGGAGGCGGCCATTTCGTGTGGTTATTTCGGGTTCACGAGAGGATCGTTACGAAGTGGAAGAAGAGGTTGGCGGTTGGAGGTGGTGGTTGTGGTGGGCGAACGAGACGAGGCGAGGCGGGGGGAGAGAGAAGATCCAAGCAAATACCAGCCCCAGGCAGATATAGATCAGAGAAGCAGTGGCGCAGCTCTCTATAATAAGAGAAGAGAGAGAGATAGAGAGAGGGGGGGATATGGCGATGTGAATATTGTCGGGGTTCGCGTAGGAAAAACGAAAAAGAGGAGAAATGCAAAGTTCGGCTTTGGTAAAAGCAAACTAAGGCAAGGCAAAGTGGACGACGTCGGTGAGGTGAGGTGAGGTGTGAAGAGATGGTCTGGACGGCTTGAAGTGGACGAGAGTGGAGTTGAAGGGGAGCAAAAGCACTGTGAATACAGTACCTTTAGTGGAGTACCGAGCACAGAAATGCCCCGCAGCGCAGCCTGCGTCACTAGGTACGCTATAAGGTAAGGTAAGTTCCAGTAACCACCAGCAACCAGGGCGAGCTCTGAGCTTTCTCGATCTTAACGGATTGGATCCCTATACCCGTCTGTCTCACACTGAGGGCGGTTTTGTCAGCAGTGGGGCTTGAAAATGCAAGTCTGAGGGTTACCTGTCATGTCATGTCACTATCACATCAATGTATCTCTACTTTGATCCGTGGCAGCGGTTGATGCTGTCACTGCGGATTTCTCATACCAAAAGGGAACTCAGCTACGGATTGTCGGACCCATGACGCTGGGATCTTTGTAGCGGTACTTGAACTTACCGAATCTCCCCAGCCTCCCGGGCGCATAATTAATCGATCGATCTCATGATTCGCTCTGGGTTCACAACGGCGCGTGTTTGTCAATCCCGTACAAAGCTGTGAGCTGAAATTACCGCATGCGGCTACCCGGATCACGATCGTAATCTGAGATGGCTCAAGGATAAAAATCATTAGCCAAACATATTCAGGATTGCCTCTTCAACGTTTAGATATAGTTCAGGACAGCTCAAATATGAACATGCTTGGTGTTCTGCATAAACATGAGAGAGATATCGCACCCTTCATGACAGCAGACAACATCACGAGGCGTAAACTGATAGCTCACAAAACTCAACGAACCATGGCTAAACACGTCGGTCATCAAAGTATCATATTTTTTCAAGGCTCGCTCTATCGACAAAAGACAATACTGGCCAACCCTCTATAGTTGGCTCCGTCTGTATCCAAATATCCATACATGGCCAGCCATAGTTTCATTATTTAACTTTTTTTGCATGAACGGCGAAGAACTGGCAGTGTGCCGTCTTTTGACCGTACTCAAGCGATGTTGATATTCGTTCATTATCTTTTTAAGCCTTGTAACCAGCCTCGACCAAGCTATCCTTAAGAGCACTAAGAGCCTTCTCGATGTGGTTTCGGCTGGGGTCAAGCTATTGAAACTACGTTAGCGGATCATCTCGAGTGAACAGGATCGGGTACCCTTACAGCGCTGACTCCCATGTGGCCGAATCGAATATACTTGGGGGCAATGGCCTTGTGAATACCACCAGCAAAGACAACACCCTTAGCAGCCAGCTTGGGCAGAACATCAGCAGCGCCAATGCCATCGGGAAGGTAAATAGCAGTCATGGCGTGAGCCTGGTCCTCGGGCTTAGTAGCAACGACCTTCAGGCCAAGATCGGTAACAGCCTTCTTGACCTTGTTGGAAACCTCGATGTGGCCCTGGAATCGCTCGGATAGGGGCTTAGTGAAGATCTGAGTAAGGCCAGTGTGGAGGGCGTGGATGAGCTGAGGAGAAGGAGTAGCGAAGTAAGAGGGCTTCTTGGCCTCGTAGTTCTTCATGATGGGTGTCCAGTTCTTCAGAGAGGCGAAGTAAGCGGGAATAGGAGTCTTGCGGTTCTCAAGAGCAGCGGCGACAGCTCGGCCGCTGAAGAATGAGATGGAGAGACCAGCGGGAACACCAATGGCCTTCTGACTGGCAGTAACAACACCATCCAGACCCCACTCATCGAAAGCGATCTCCTCACAGGCCACACTGCAGACGCCATCGACGATAACAAGAGTCTCGGGGGAGACACGGCGGACAGTAGCGGCCAAGTTCTTAAGCTCACTCAGGACACCAGTCGATGTGTCGACATGTGTGACTGTGAGGATCTTGTACTTCTTCTCGGAAAGGGCCTTCTCGATCTCGGGGAGCTGAGGTCGGCCGCCAACTTCACCGTCGAGCTTGGTAACGTTGGCACCGTAGGCGCGCAGGCAGTCGGCGAAGCCATCACCGAAGTATCCAGTGCTGAGAACGAGGGCGTTCTCACCAGCCTCGACAAGGTTGGCAGCAACAATATCCCATCCCAAGGTACCGGAACCGGAGATAACGTAGGGCTGGGCGGAGGGGTCGGTCGATTGGAACAACTTGCGGGTCAGGGTGAGGGTCTCGCCGAAGGTGTTGACGAAGCCGGGGCCGACGTGGCTCTCACTGTGTGGCAAGTATTAGCAAGCAAGATATTATCAACCACATCACGCGGACGTGATCCAAGTCGCATTGTATCGTACCTGTAGTGGCCCATGGACTTGAGGACCTCATCATCGAACTCAATGGGTCCGGGGATGAGGAGAGTAGCGTGTTCAGGTTGAGAAGACATGGTGGCTGTGGATGTTGAAAGGCGACGAGCTTGAGAAGAAACTGAAGCTTGAGCAGGAGAAGCCGCGGTATAAGAAGAAGACGACAAATGACCTGAGACGAGGGAGATCCTATCGGCCGACGCAGATCCAGTTCCAGCGGCCGAATACGTCTTGAAGCCCGCCGAAGAAGAAGAGGGGCTCTCGGCGGACAGCTCCGGAGCGCGGGGCACCTTTCTCCCCTCCATTGCAAGTGCCGATCTTAACAGGCTACGACTGGCTGCTGCGCCTACCCCCACTACCACTGACGACAACCGCTGAAGGGGCGCCAGGTTGACTGCCTGAGGCCTTCTGAAAGGTGTGTTCTTTTTGCGGTGCCGCAAGCAAATGTGCCTGCCTGCTGCAACGGAAGAAGGCCGAGAGGATAGAGAACGTCGGTAGGCTTCCGATTCGGGGTACAGAAGCCGGGGTTTTCGGGTCTATGAAGCACCGAGATATAAACTTCACGCAACCAAGAGTTTTTTAAGCAGTAAAAAGACGATTTTGAGGTTGTTGATTCAGAGTTATATGAATTGCCTCAGGGGAAGAGGAAGAGGGAACTTCGCCTAGGGAAATGCGCTGAGTGTACTGACTCTAGCCCCGGAATCCCCTGTCTTCCGTCCCCGTTTTTTGCTTCTTTCAGCACAGCGAACGGAGCTTTCTCAGTGTCGTGTCCAGGTTAGCTCGGGTTATGTGAGGCCGCTACCGGAGCCAGAGGTTTGAATTGAGTGGACGATGATTCGGTCATCTCTCGGGATCTTGAACCGATTATATCGAACGGCTATTTTTATATGGTAAGCGTTTCCGCTGCTTCGGGGAAATAGAATATCGAATGGTGTGAATTATCATGATGGAGTTGCGAGCGCTCTACGGGAAGGGTCCCGATCTGAAGTAGCAGAATAACAAACAGTTGACCGACCGAATATGGTCAACACCCACCGCCAGTCCCGAGATACCCCTCTAAGCGATGCCTTTATAGAACTCAAACAACTTCTCTGCGCCATCTTCCCATTGAACATCATTCTGCAAATGATGCCCTGCTCCCTCAACGAATCGTAGTCTTACACCATCTCGCTTGTCGTTTCCAGCCTCACGGTAAAACGTCGCCGTCTTCTCCGTCACAGGAACTGTCATGAGCTTATCTTGAGTACCTGCCATGACGAGCACCTTTTCACCGCTCGCACCGTCATTGCGAATATGACTCAAGATGTTTGACGGCGACGTGAAGCTGTACATCATGCCGAAAGGCCACAAGTAACTCTCATAGCGGTTCATATGGCGTTGGAACGGGACGACGGCTGAGAGAGGGAACCTGTCTCCAAAGAAAGCTCTTTGGGTGAGCTTGGGGTGGGACAGAGGTGAGTTGGAGTGCCAGAGATGGAAGATCAGTCGTATTGTGAACCATGGATCCATCTTCCACCAGTTCATATACACGCCCACTCTGTGACTGCATTAGTATCCTGGCAAGAGCTTCGAGATACGTGTTTATCTTGACTCACGATCCAAATCCTGGAACTGCACCCAGCAAAGCAAGTGCTTTCACACTCGCTAATCCATCGCTGAGAACAGCCTGGCTCAAACCACCACCACTGGAATGTCCGACAAGCATAACCTCGCTCTTTTCCCTAATCTGCGCCCACTCTATAGCCGCAACGAGGTCAGAAGCCAAAGCACTTCGAGGCGTTGCAAAGACCATGCGGAAATAGGATGGATGCCACGATTCACCATGGCCGCGCAGTGAAACGGCATAGCATTGAACACCGCGTGCTGCTAGATATTTCATATATTCTGTCCATACCCATGCACAGCCCATGCCGCCGTGGCAAAAGACTATAGGAGGGCCATTAAATTTGTTGGTGATGGATGAGGTGCTGGAGAGGACTTCGATTCGGCCTTGGGGTGTGTTTACCCAATGACGCTCCAGACCTTCGGGGACTGGAGATGGAGGTCCTGAAGGTCGAGTGTAGTGAAGCCACTGGTAGCTAAGATGGAAGCCGATCATTGGTGGTTGTCTTTTGGTAAGGCTATGAGACTGTGTAGGTCAGGCTTACTGGTGTAGGTGTTAATGATGGTGAGTATGACGGTTCGATGCATGGGTATCGCTCCCCTCTTATACAAATCCAACCTACCACTAAAGACTTCAATCAAGCTTAAAATAAGCACAAATAGCAAGGTCTCTTTTTTCCGTAAAGATCTTGTTTGTCGCACATGCAAAAGCTCAGCCTGCAAGCCACCAACTTAGCCCATAAGCTTCAGCCTTCAGCCGCTCGTTAGCTTGGTCCATCCACAAAGCATCTAGTCGGGAGAATCAGGAATGAGAGTACGTGGTAATTTCGTGTCTTGTGGTCTACGGATTTTTTTTTTTTTTTTTTTTTTTTGCTGAGTGCCTTCTTCGGTGAGGCCAAAGGGAGTAAAAAGCCTGACATCACGGATATCGTTTTGGTTGAAGATAGTATGAGTCAATGTGCTTCTACCATTACAAGGTCATGATAGGCTATTTTTAAATATCAATTCGCATAACTACCATACGTCGTTTGCAACGTTGTATCATGCGGCTTCCATAGGACTAAGGACCAGCTTCAGTCAATGCCTCGAATCATAGGTCACCTTGTCAATAAGATCTGTTTTGTAACCATTTTCGTATTACAGGCAATAAGCGGACCTTGAATCAACATCAACGATCTTCCTAACGCAATCAGGAACAGTAGACGATCAACTCCGCAAGGCCAATCGTCTTGCAATACCCACACGTTCTAGAATACTTGCATTCTCCCCTTTCGGCTCTGAGTTCCTATCAATCCCTACCCCGCTCTCTCTGCGGAAACCTACCCGTCAAGTATGAGGAGTCACAAGGATGCCATTGTTTTGCTCATACATCAATATTATTACCGTTAACCATTTCTGTTCCTCTTGTGTGTTTTTGTTTCAAAAGTGATGTCATCGTCTACAAGAGCTAATCCTACAAGACCAAATAATGCAAGGAAGCGTGTTCCCAAAGCGTATGTTCTTATCTCGACGATACAGGTTTAACAACTGACTTATGAGATTATCAGTTGTGTAAGATGTCGAGATCAAAAGATCAGATGTTCTGGATCGCAGCCATGTCAGCAATGCGATAAGAGGGGGTCAGTGTGTCAATTCGATGATGAATCTCGCAAAGTTGTAGTTTCGAGAGGGTAAGTCGATGCCAAGAACTGTTGACGGAGTCATACTTACACATCTCTTCCAGGTATATCAACCGCCTCCAAGAGAGGTTGGCGGCCTTAGAGAACAATTCAGAGCAACACTCTCTCCTTGAAGCTACAGCTGGCCGGTCAAGGAGTCCCGATTTGAGTAAGTCTTTGTTGGTCTCCCATCGGCCTTCTACTGAGAGTACCAGGTGATCGTATACCACTATCTACTAAGAGCAACGAGATCTCAGAACAAGTGATAAAGACTTCAACTTCAATTTCTCCTTATGGAATAACCGAAGCACAAAATCAACAGCCTAATGGCGAAGGCAAAGCTCCTCTCACAAACCCTTTAGCCTTCCACACGTATGACTTTGTTCCAAGCGTCACAGGCCACATCCGTAAGTTCATAAACACTCGTCCAAACAATCAGCCTCTCAAATTGAGGATTAACTTATCGTCAGTTTTCATGGGAACATCATCCAATTGGTCCTTCAACAAGAGAGTCTTGACCATGACACACGAACGCGTCAAGGGCCGTCCACTATCAATGCACAATTTGCACTTTGCTGGCACTGAGGGAAAGGTCTTCGATCTGAGGTGGGATGGGACTAGAAAGCTTACAGCCCCGGACATTCCCGACATGTCTGCCCTGCCAACTAAAGACTTTGCTCTATATCTCATCAACTCGGTCAAGTTTCACTGTGGTTGGCTGTACAGCCTATTCGATGAGGACATCTTCATGGAACGCTTCCGTCTGTTCCATGAGAACCCTTCTGAATATGCGCGTGCAGAACCTTTGTGGTTCGTTCACTACCTTCTTGTCCTGGCATTTGGAAAGGCTTTTGTGGTCCAGTCAACCAAGTCAAGACGGCCTCCTGGTGGTGACTTCTTCATACAAGCCATGAAGCTCATGCCCGACTTCAATTTCTTTGATTGTGATATTATAGAAGAGATGCAGGTTCTCTGCTGCGCTGCTCTATATCTGCAATCTGTGGATCACATACAACAGGCATATCGTCTGGTAAGCAATTGGCTCTTTAAATATGTATAGTAACTAACGGCATCAGGTCTGCTCCGCACTTCGTCATGGCCTAGAACACGGTATACATACCGAGATGCAATCCAATTCTCTTGACGCAGCTTATGTACAGAGAAGCCGACACATGTTCTGGACACTCTACATTCTCGAACGCCAGCTGATCTCGCTTCTGGGACTTCCGCTGAGTATAGCCGACGAGACGATAAGCGCACGCTTTCCCGACTTCCCAGGACAGCCGCAAAAGCTAGAGGCTCTGAAGATACATGTTGACTTCTGCAGGGTTCTTGCAAAGATAAACCAAAGTGCGTATTCTTGTGTCACAGAGAGATCGTCACTAACGATCGCAGCCGTTTATGGACTCGAGGGGAAGCTCGACTGTCGGTACCTCGGTGCTACCCAGTCCGTACTCAAGAGCATTGCTACCGTGACAGAACGATTGAACAAGTCCTTTGAGATTCAGGCAAGCGAGGGGATGGCTGGCATATCACGAATATCAGCACATCTCCATTTAATGCAACACCAAGTAAGCTCGTCCGTCTCCCTCTGACTGCCAACTTCTAACAGAACAAGTGCATCATTCTCACTACGAGACCACTTCTTTACACCTTCCTGCTTTCCAGACTTGGTCACTTAGAGGTAGCTTTGATGCATTGGCTACAATCAGAGAGTGTGAAAGGGCTAGTCCAGATGTGCACCGAGTCTGCTCAGCAGATTTTGAGGATCCTCTCCAGTCTTTCTGAGCAAGGGCTTTTAGGTCAGTTCTCCGGTCCCAGCGTTTATTTGAGCGTGTTGCTTATTCTCGAATAGAAACATTCCTGAGGTTCGATCAGGACGCCGCTTTTACTGCTACAATCGCACTGCTCATGGCCGCTGCGATTGACTCATCGCTACTACCAGACCACACTCCCTGGACGCAACGCGCCTACGGCCTCTTCGACGAGATGAACTCGAGAGGCAATCTCGTAGCCAACATGGTGGCAGCTGAACTGAAGCAACTCGAAGACTTACTCAAAGGCTTCCTCACCAGCAATGACTCGAGACCTGTGGTTGCGACACAGGGTTCAAACACGCCTCGACAGGGTTTTATGAATGACATAGACAATAGCACAGGCTCTGTCACTGATTATACCGAGCCATTTAGTCTCGAGTCGGATGATGACTTTGGATTGGGGCTGAACTATGAGCTTAGTGCGGAACAGCTGTTGAATATTGCTAATTCCCTGGATATTGATAGCTTGACATGGCCGTGGCCGGAGGATCCGATGGCTGAGGATGTGGATGGGGCATGAGTATCTAAAAGCACAATTTTAATACAAACAGTATAATTGAGATTCATCATTGGACTTCTTGTATCGCTGGGCAGTATGTTCAGTTCTCTTCTATCCCCCGGAGTGGAAAGTCGACGTCAAAGATCGTCCTTTCGCCATCTTTCTTTCTGACCAGTTCTTTCCTCCTTCACTGGAACGAGATAAACTTCTAAACCCGTGAGTTAAGTCAGTGACATAGCTGTAGCTCTTTCGAACTACCCACAGTAGCTTTGATAATGGAATGGTTTCCTGCTTCCATACATAAATCACGAGCACATCACTGAAGATGGAGGTTATATGTAGGTGAGGCCAATGCGAGGAAACTTTAATAGTATGCTGTGAATAGTTTCCGAAACCTACAGAATGCATCCGTACCCAAGACCCCGACACATCATACAACTTTCAAGACGTGGTGTTTACCACAGTTGGACATAAGTGAGGAAGCGCCTCCACTTGGGCTTAGCATAGTACTCATCGAGATGCTTGATCTCCTCGACGCTCAAGTGTCGTCGACCGGTGAGACAGTCGGCGGTGGCAGGATCTCTCCAGGGAGTTCGGAAGATGACCTTGTATCCAGCAGTGAAGCCAAAGATGACAAGAACACCAATCATGTATTGGAAGAAGTTGGAGGCAGAAAAGCCAGCACCACCCTGTGATATATAAGTTAGATAATCTTTCGTACAGACTGTCATGAGGAGTATCCTTTTATAGTTAACTTACGACAGGGTTGATTCCGGAGTAGATACAGCAGACCAGCAACATGAGGGAGATGAGCATCAACCATGCTGGTGCAATGGGCCAGGCACTCGATCTCCAAGCATAAGTCTCTGAGAAGAGTTTGTCGTTCTGGGCCTTCAGGGCACAGTGGAATCGGTAGTTGGTGAAGGAGATGATGATCCAGTTTGTGAAAAATGAGGCGCTTGTAATGGAAATCAACCAGTTCAGGACAGTAAGACCACCAGCTGCAACGATATTAGTCGTGATGCTCTCAAATTCTGAGGGCTCACTTACAAGAAAGTTGGATGTATCCAAGAACAACAGCAACAACAGAGGTGATGATCAAAGCAAGTCTAGGACGTCCCTTATCATCGACATGTGCAAGACGTGTAGAAATAAGACCCTGATGGGCCATAGTTCGCAGTACCCGTGACGAGAGGTAAACAGATTCGGCAGCGATGGCGAGGACACCACAGATCATTCCAGCGTTCAGGAGCGAAGAGATACCGGGAATTCCAGAGTCTGTGACAGCAATGACAAAGGGTGATGCAGCAACACCACCTCCACCGAGAAGACGAGGGTCGTTGGAAGGAACGAGAAGGGTGATGAAGACGACGCTGAGCATGTAGATGAAGTTCACTCGGAAGGGGACGAGCTTGGTGGCGTGAGCGAGGGAGAAGCGTGGGCTCTCGGCTTCACCGCCCATGATACCGATAAAGACTTGATCGCCGACAGCCCAGGTAGCGAGGAGTGCACAGTTGGCGAATCCCTGCAAAGTTATTAGCAGGAGTAAAGTCAAAGGGGCGTACTTCAAGACTTACAGAGAAGCCGTTCAGGAATGCTGGTAGGTCAGTCCATGTCTCTCCGTGATGAACATAACCATTAGGACCAGCTCCAAGGACTAAAGCCAAGGAGAGAGTGATGATAATCAAGAAGAGGAAAATCTTGATCAGAGATGTTACATATTCAAACCAGGCGAATACGGTGTTCGGGAGGAGAAAGATGACGAGACAGGCGAACATGAAGATGCTGACTACAAGACTCGTTAGTTAGATTCAAGGGGGCTGATAAGTGAAACCTACGTGATGCGGCCAAAGGAAACGAGCCTCCAGACCAATATCCTACCAAGATATGGAAGAAACCAGCCTCAGCAGAAACAATAGCAGTCCAACCTATCAACAGTCAGAATACGTGTCTCAAAATCAAGTTCAGGTATACGAACCAAGCCACTCGGCGAAACCTGCTCCAAAAGCCAGAGCGGGATCAACCCAACGATCAGCGTAGTCGATGTAGTTTCCTGAAACAGGGAACGCAATGGTCATTTCTGACAACGATTGTAGAACAGCCCAGACACATGTGCACACCATGAAATATGCAATCACCATGTTTCCTGGACCGCCAGTCGCGAGGGCTTTTCCGGTAGCGATGAAGACACCCGAACCGATATTGGAACCTAGAGCAATAATCTTGAAATGTTCATGTTAGTGGAGTGAGTGATTTTGGATTATAGGACTTACGTGGACTTGTCGTGGTGTGAAGGATCGATGGAATTGTCCATGTTTGCCCTCTTGCATTTCAATAGCTTGAACTTCATCAATGCTTCGTGAAGCTGCAAGGTCAAGACCATCGTCTTTCGTCATCGAACCGCGGGACTTTTCTGTCATCCCAGCTGGAATGTTGACATCGTGAATACTTTCTCGACGCATGATCAAGGATAATATCAAAAGGAGTTCAGTTTAGGTAAGCTGTTGTATGGAGATAAGACCCTGGAGTGGGAGCTTGCTGGAATCCATCTTTTCTGCACGACGGCGATCATAGGTCTTTATACTGTTTTCCTCAGACGTGATGGAGCTGTCTAGTAGAGCTAGGGGGGCGAAAAGTCTGGGGAAATTGACAAACATGGCGATCGTATCGTGATTGGATTCTACGGGAAAGTATCCGCGAGGGCTATCTCTATATCAAGCATCAAGGGAGGAGGATGAAAGAAAAACAGGCTATCAAAACGCTATCAGGCATTTACGACACCCACTGAGTGCTTAAAGTTACCCCGGATTCTACCCCAGCTTCGACTAGACCAGAACAAGCTAGCTTTCGAGCGTCTATCAGTCGAGACTCGTTGTGAGGTTGGGAACCATTGGTTAGAGCGGATTTCATGTGATAACAGTTGAGTTTAGCTCTCTCCGTGGCGCTACGGATGTGCTTCCGATGATGAAATCGCTGCTCGGTATCTTGATCTTATCGTGGTTATCTGCCGATGGTGAGGAGAAGCTGAGCCGAGCTAGGCATGGTATCAGCGAGTTGGGCGATAAGCCACTTTTGACGTGAATGAGGAAGGGTACCGCGAGGGGTGAATCGGGGAAAACGGCGAGAGTTAGTTAGAGTTAGTTCAGTTGGCGTCCATTGCCGTGAGGCAATTCCATAACGGTACTCAACGTGCTCGATTCAGCATCTGATAAACGTGATAACTCGGCTGTGTTTAGGCAAGTGTTATCAACTTTCTTGATATAAAAAGGCAATCCTTTCTTATCATCACTTCGACCCGGCGAGATTTTGAAGTATGATAACGTCGACTATCAAGAGACATTCCGTATCTCATCGGCGCGGGGTTCCGGTGTTTTGCATCCCCTGCAATGTCCAACATCAGGTAGGTGTAGGAGGCTCAGATACTTCATGTCATTAGAGGGCGGCTCATGTCCCGGTGGCGTTCTGCAGCAAGCCTAGACCGACCCAGTGGATTGGAACTCGTTCTGATACGATCATTTCCACGTTGCATGACGCCCACGTGTCAAACACTCACTATCATCTGTGTCCAACAAGATATACAACATGCCACGATATCAGTGTCTGTCTATCTTTTGGGAATTCTGTTCTTATTGAATCGGGGTCAAAAGAGTTGCATTGCATTGATTTAGCCAAAGCCTACGAGTTGAGTATTGGCTCTATCAGTGTTTATGATAGTTTGCTAGAATCCAGTTCTCGAACGGCGACTTATCCCAAGTTCTAATGCACCACGACGGAGTGCTTGATACGCTAAGGTTAGCTCGGACTTATTGGTAAGTTAGACGGCAAAATCGGCCACCGTTAAAGCATGGAGAGCATGAGTGGTGGTGACAGATATCTCTAAATGATTTTCTCCCACGTCCAACTTCAATAGACCAGACAGAAACGTCATAGAAACCCTCCCCAGAAGAGTTGCGTAAGTCTGAAATACGTCAGGTATTCCTCCGACTGTGTAATAATTACTAAAACACGGCGAAAGCATGTGCGTGGCCTACCATCCCATCTCAAGCCACGTCGCGGAAACTTACAACAAATGCGAAGTCTATACAATTGTAGAATACATCTACCAGTATTGAAGGATAGTTTGTGCCTTTGAGGTTATCTCGGCCTTCAGAAACACAGAGGCACTTATTTGGTGGCTCATTCTCTATTAGAAATAACAGCACCAGATACTCGTGTCCTCGAGAGGCTGTTTACATTTTCAAAACGGCGACCGTATGTCATAGGAATACAATGTTTAGCCAGATTGAGGGCATAGTAGGTTCTTTATACACTTAGTTTTGGCTGTGAAGTTCAAGTCTCAGGTCCTCTTGGATGCTAAAGCTATCAAGCAATTGCGAATATCTATGGGTTGGTATGTCGATGGCCTTATCTGTCTATCCGCGCATATCCCGACTTTTACAAGTCGGCCACACGGTCATTGTCAATGCGTTGGCTTGATACTTCTCGCTGAAATATGACAAAGTTTAACAAGCATTCGAGAGTCTTCAGGGGCACTATTTCCGGAGACATAAAGCTGAATATAACAGGAGTGGCTACTATGCTTAGAGAATACGTACCGGATCCAGAGAGCGCATTCAACAATGAATTCGCCAGTGAGGAGGAGCAGTCTCCCATGCTGTCCAAGGACTACCATATGATGCTGAAAAGCCGTGGCTCTCGAACCATCCATTTACAGGATGTACATAAAACCATACTCATCATACCCGGAAAGACAGTTATTGACTTGTACAGAATTAAAGCAATGAAGTCAAATTCATGGCCAATCAAGTGTACTTCTCCAAAAGAACAATTCCATTGTTCTACCAAAATCTCGGCGTGCTAGGCATCAGATGTGACAGCGAGATCACTCCCCTTACCCTGGAACAGCCATCCGTCTTAGCCATGCACAATATCTGGCCAAGACACCAACATCTTCCAAAGATAGAACAGCCAGCTCTCTACCATCTCTTAGCCTGAATAACCACCTAGTTCAATGGGGCTTGATAGAGCTCGACAATAGCATTTTTTACCTCAATTACCCTGCATCCCACTGCGACATACCCAGAGTTCAACCGCGAACAGCGGCATCGCCGAAGTGGCCAAAGCACAACGTTACCGTGACATAACCAGCGCCCGCAAGAAGCCCCAATGCCAAGGACAACCCCACGACCCCCGATTTCTGCCAACTCGTTCGTCTTGGCGATTTGGAACTTCTAGATGCATTTGTATTCGGCGGGCAAGGTGTCGTTTAGATAAGGTCAATCCGTGGGGCGAACAGGTCATTAAGCGTAACAGCCTTAGTCTTCTGACGACATGATTTGCAGAGGCATTTGCGTCTGGTCGGAGGGTCGTGAGCAATACGGCGTAGGTACAGCTACATGCTGCAGGGTCGAAAAGCCCAGAGATGATAGGGGCGACGGGATCGACGGGAGGTCACGTAACCGAGGCAGATAGGGTAAGCTTCATACTGTACCTAGGTACTCTGTACCATAGGCAAGTAGCGCATGAACAGCCTGAAGTGTAGCGGTCATCTTGCGAACAGTCTTGGCTCGAGTCTTGGCGGAACTGGGGGTTTATATATGCAACAGCTTACTTGCCCCTTGCTCGACAAGTAACAGCTCGTTATCACCCATTGCCAAGTGATAAGGGACTAAGACACGCCGCAATAAAGTTTTACGGCGCAGAGACATGCCTAGAGCGGAAGGTCAGCGGCCGATTCAACCAACCTGCTGTATTGGGACTAAACACTCGAGATACGCGTCAGAGTCAGATATCATTCTGATTCGACAGTTTCGAAATTGCTGACCTACACGACAGAATTGCTACCCTGTATCGACGTTTTCTGGAAATTGTGCAAGGCTGACTGATTTGCAGCAGACTGCATCGGAATTCCGATGGGTGGTTGCATTTGCGTTGTGAGGCTTGATGTATCTCTTGGCTTTGGCAGAAAGCAGATCTGTGCCGGCTTTCTTAATGAATAGAGGACATCTTCGAGCAGCTGGTGCTGTGAAACTGGTCAGTGTAATAAACTTTGCAAGTAACTATCAACCGAGAATTAGTCCAACACATGCCAGTCAGCACTCACTGTTTACCGTCCAATGTACTGTTCAGTGTAGCACCTGCAGCTAGGGTAATTACACGCTGACTTTTGGGTTGTCAGGTGTGGCTCATTGAAGGTAAGCTTAATGCTTAAAACAACCCCTGCGGCTCTTCAGCCAAATGAAGAATGCGCCGCAGGTTATTGCAGGTAATAATTTTCCTCTCATCGGCCCGTGAAATCGGCTGACTCGGGACGGGTAATGCAAAAGACACTAACAAAAGCTTCCAACTCGGTTATCGATTACCGCTTGATATGGTGACTGTTCTCTTATTGTCACTTCAAGCTGAGTCGCGTGTCTTCATGTAATGGACACAATAACTTGCAAGGTCAGGGGCAACATTTGATAACGCTGGAACTGGTCTTGCGGGGACTGTAAGGGTGCCCAGCCGGTCATGTCCGGCCTTGTCATGCCCGTGCTCCATGCTTCAAGTCAAAACAACGGGGCCTCAACAGCAATGGCCACAAAAATCTCGTCAGAAGAATTGTATTACGTACAAAACTTTGAGCGACTTCCTCAAAGGACAGTTGCTGGTGGTTCTGTCTGAGGACGATGGAGCTCTCCCCAGATTCATGGCGATTTGCCCACGGGGTAAGGCAGTTGAGAGCAAACTGTTACGTATTACCCCGTAGATGGGATTCAAAGCAAGATCTCAGAATCTGGAGTATAAAACGTAATGTACTGTAGGTACATCTTTGAAGCTGAACGCTTTCTGGGAAGCCCGCTGCCGCGGCGGCAAAAACAACCGCGCACCGCTATCAATAGTGGGAAACCTGGGCTGGGGACCGTTTTGCAACCGCGATGTTGCTGTTGAGTTGGTGTTATCGCAGTCCCTTCCACAAAGATAGCTGATGTCGCACCACGGTGGGAAATGCCCGGGGTCTGTAAACTTCGACCAACTCAGCATTTTGACCTTTCCCTTCATCAACCTTTCACTCGTTCGATCGACGTGTGCTGATGACTGCAGGTCCTTTTTGGTTTCATTAGCGCCAATTGGGAAGCCAAACAGCAAGGGAATGCACACTTCGTCACTGCGCCACCCTTCTAGAAGAAAGCTATTTTCTCGGCATGCTTCCCCCCCTGTCACGTTCTGCAAGATGTGGTAGGAGGCGCCAATTACTAAAATCACCTGCGAATCGCACGAGTGAAGAGTCGTGAAACCGAGGAACAGCACGAGTGGCCCCAAGGGATCAATTCAGGCAGTCTCATATCGAACACGAGTTACCGAAAGACTGACATGAGGTGACAGTATCACCTAAGAGAGCAGGTGGGGGCAGTACGAGATGGGTAATTTGGGTATCATCGAGACCGATGCCAAGCTGCTTGGAATCATACTGAGCCAGTGTTTCGGTAACAAGAGACTCCCGAAACGGCGTCAAGTTGATATCTGGCCCGAATACTTATAAGGGAATGTTGATTGGAGGATTCCGCTGTAACTGCTCTTCTTGTGTCTCCGCAATGTCTGCCACATGGTGTTGGTTACCTACGGACCCCAAACCTCTACGCATCTCTGAGAGGAGGAACAAAAGTTCGCTCTGTGCACACACGATTGCATGTGTCTATTGCTGACTGAGAGATAGTGAAAGCTTGGCAGCTGAGGTTTAATATTGGATGCCAGAAGAGTCAAAAAACATGGTCCGAGTCTCATCATGTGTTGATGATTGTATGAGAGTTTTCGTATGGTAAGAGTATCATTCAGTAAAAGATTACAAAGATAGCAATGGCTAGATCTCGGCTTTTCTCCATGAACCTGAGAAGAATTAAGAAACCAAAGAGGGGCATTATTTGCCTTTCACCAATGTCAGAAGTGACGATGGGGCAAAGTATGGCAGGCAGGAGCGGGAGGTACCTCTTCAATGTACCGGTACCTTCCCTCGGAAGTGGAGTAAGGTTTAGCGTCTTTCAAGGATATCGTTCCTCTCCAAATCTCCACTTTACCTTGAATTAGGTTGATCGTCTTGCATGGCTTGAGCTCTCTCTTGTTTCCCCTGGTCATTGCCTACGAAATGTCTCAGAAACGGTCGAGTCCTTCTTACGAGGAGCGATATTAAACCATGGCGGGTGAAATTGGAAGGTAGAAGTGAGCCTATGGGGTGTAAGGGAGAGAGAGTAATCCATGCGCTTTGATGAGGCGGCACGGGAAGCATGGATCGTGGCTGCGACTTCCCCAGTCCTTTTGCTGTTACTGTTGCCTCTTCCCAAATCTCATTCTCATTGCATGCGTCGTTCTTTCCCACGAAACAAGGGGTGTGCATAACCGCGACATCGATATTGAATCTATCGAATCGGAAGCTTGTTGTCCCTTCCTTCCCTTCGCCTTGTCCTGGTCGTATGTCGGTGATGGACTCCGCTCCGCCATCTGAATCTTTCGACCTACCCCAATCATCCATGTTCCTCCGTATCGCGGCTCTTGGCACTTCGGACCCTCTCCACTGCAGTTCTACGCTTGAGAGCTTCCAACTTGTTGGTGATCGGCGACATACAGGAAACTAGGGGCCTGCCCAGCAGCCTAGTCAAACCCGGGGCCTCACTAGAACCACGAGTCGAACGAATCCATCCTTTCCACTATGGCGGCCGTCTTCGCCTCTTGCGCACCGACTCTAATGAGACCCCGGGTCGTCTTCTCCCTCGTCCAACTTATATTTAAGAAGACTCGTTTCCCTCGTCGATGACCGTTGATTCCGTCCATCACCGTTTCTTCTTCTTCCAAAAGACCAAGGTCACTTGACCTTTCTTATCATTCCTTAATCCCTGACTCTACAAGAGTTACCCACAGGGGAAACGTCAAGATGGAATCAAAGAGTTCCAGCGACAACCCGACAAATGTGTCCCAAGAGAAGGGCACCACCGTCACTGAGCACCCTGGCGATGTCCAGACTGGTGGCGGCTTCGCTTTCCAGGAGGAGAGCTACTGGACTCGAAATGGTCTCACTCTCGAGTCCTTCCAGCGCCGCAAGTACACTGGTGACAATGAGCTTGATCGTCGTATGAAGCCTCGCCATCTTCAGATGATCGCCATTGGTGGTTCTATTGGTGCTGGTTTCTTCGTCGGTTCAGGAAAGGCCCTCTACACTGGCGTAAGTCGCTACCCGTCTATGCTGTCGTGTCTGATACTAACGTGCTGGCTCAAGGGTCCTGGATCTGTTCTCATTGACTTCATCATTATCGGTGCTATGATCTTCAACGTTGGTATGTTACACTTACTTCGCTCCACACTCCCAACAAAAAGACTAACATCTGTCTAATAGTCTTCGCTCTCGGTGAACTTGCCGTCATGTATCCCGTGTCCGGTGGTTTCTATATCTACTCGTCTCGCTTTATCGATCCTTCTTGGGGTTTTGCCATGGGTTGGAACTATGTCGCACAATGGGCTACCGTTTTACCACTCGAACTGACAATCTGTGCTGTCTGTATTGAATATTGGAACGATGAGCTCTCGCCTGGAATTTTCATTGCAATCTTCTTGGTTGCCATCATCCTCATCAATATCTTTGGTGGTATTGGATACGCCGAGGAAGAGTTTTGGTCATCTTGCCTCAAGCTCGGAGCTACTGTTGCTTTTATGTTCATCTCTCTTGTCCTCGTCTGTGGTGGCGGTCCTTCCAACGGTCGATACAACGAGTACTGGGGCACACGCTACTGGAGAGAGGACCCCGGTGCCTTCAAGAACGGTTTCAAGGGATTCTGCTCTGTCTTCGTTACTGCTGCTTTCTCTTTTGCCGGTACTGAGCTTGTTGGTCTCGCCGCTGCTGAGTCTGAGAACCCCACCAAGGCTCTCCCTGGTGCTATCAAGCAGGTTTTCTGGCGTATTACCCTCTTCTTCGTTCTTGGTCTCTTCTTCATCGGCCTTCTTATCAAGTCCACTGATGACCGACTCAACATTTCCGGTTACTCCAACGCCAAGGCCTCGCCTTTCGTGCTTGTCGGCGAGTACTCCGGTCTTACTGGTCTCGCCCACTTCATGAACGTCATTATCCTTGTCTCCGTTCTTTCTCTTGGTGTGTCTTGCGTTTACGGTGGCTCCCGTACCCTGACTGCCATGGCTCAGAACGGATATGCTCCCAAGATGTTCGCCTACATCGATCGTGGTGGCCGCCCCCTTGTTTCCGTCGCTGTCCACATTCTCATGGGTTTCATCGCTTTCGTCAACCTTGATCCCAAGGGTGGAGAGATCTTTGACTGGCTCCTGGCTCTTTCTGGTCTCTCGACTCTTTTCACTTGGGGTTCTATCTGCCTTGCCCACATTCGCTTCCGCAAGGCTTGGGCCCGACAAGGCCACACTCTGGATGAGATTCCTTTCAGGGCCGCCTTTGGTGTCGTCGGCTCTTGGATCAGTCTCGGCCTCATCTGCCTCGTCCTTATTGCTCAGGTAAGTCATCGTATTTCGCGTTCAAACAACCATGATGCTAACAAAGACAATAGTTCTATGTTGCTATTACTGCTCCTCCTGGTGAATCTGGTATGGGAACTGTCGAGGGATTCTTCATCTCATACCTCGCTTTGCCTGTTGTCCTTGTCTTCTGGGCTATTGGTTACTTGTGGAAGCGCGAGGGTTGGCTCTCAATCGACAAGATCGATGTTGACACTGGTCGACGTGAGCACAACTGGGACGAGATCAACGCCTACCGTGCCAAGGTTGCCACTTGGCCCGCTTGGCGACGCTTCCTCAACAAGATCATGTAAAGCTGTGGTCTTGTTCTGAAGTTTGTTTCTATCATTTGCACATTAGAGACGCCTTGACTTGAAGCATATATCATAGAACCAATCTCCTGTATACCTTTTATCGTTAGATACCATAATAGCATGATATTGTGCCAAACCGAACATCTTTTGTGCTGTATAACTGTTACTTGGTGGCGTGGTGAATGAGTCCAATGGGTACATCGTGCTGTAAATTTACTCAAGAGCGTCCCTGTCCTTGGCCTTAGCCAGGATGTTGTGCCAAGAAGCCAGAATTGTTGGTGAGAAAGCAACAATACGTTCATCATGGCTGTGGCAAAGGCCAGTTTGGTTCGAAATATTCTACGATGGCCTTTTATAAACTTCCAAGAGTGAAATTTTTTCGACAGATGTAGTCAATCGCGCCCTATAATCACTTCGATCTTGACATTGTGTGGAGATGACGCCCTGGAAGCGCGCCCTATGTGTCAATATGGGTAGATGGTGGAGTTTTGGAGATTGCATCTTCGCTTGAGATAGTCACGTGTGAACAGAAAGCACAGAATTGTCAAACATTTAGGACCTTTTATTTCAAGTGCCTTAAGGATTTGGTTGAAGCAGATATCTGAGATTGCGATACTGAGGTTTGTGCACGGGCTCGGCCTCAAGAGACTGTGAGAGAGAGACGACAACTCGGCCTCAACTTAAGGCAGAGCACCTGATGGACATTATTGAGTTCTCTCTTCACCCCTTTCCTCAATGACAAGAACCAATGGAAGAATACGGGGTTGGCATTACAAACTCCAGGTTGAGGCGGATCTTGTTACGTACAAAGTCAAACACAGATTGAGAAGAGGAAGCAAGATCGGTAACGGCGGATATTCTGGGGTAATAGGTAATAGAATCTACAGAACTCAACAACCAAGTCTCGACTTCACCACTGTTCACCAAGACTCGTAGTCGTTGAGAGTACGTAATACAATACGGAGAATAGGAGGCATAACCATGCTCCCACATCTCGGCGTCCTTGGTTCTCCAAATCGTGCCACGACACGACAGCTACTGAGGACCCAAGGTAATTCCCTCAGACAAAGTCACTCGAGTACAGTACTTACTCCCCGGAGCATGCACCCCAGAACAGTCCAAGGGCCAGGTCCCACAGGATAAGCTAGATAATAAGCGTTTGACCAAGAATTCAAGGTTAAGCTCAAGCGTAGTTCTTTGTACGTATTTTTTACATGATGGAAATTGGAGATGATGCGGGGTTGTTATCATTTTTGGGGACGTGCGGAGAATGGGAATGGGCTGAGGGGTCTTGCAGGCATTGAATTGGTATCCTTGGACGAGAGGAATGTGTGTACACCTTCCAGTTGGGTAATTGTTGTTGGCTTCCCCGGGCACCGCCTCAAACCCTGGTTTCAGGGCCGGAAGACTGTGAGTTGTTGTGAATTAGCGTCTTGGATCAAATGGGGCGTGTTTATGGAACGGTCAAGTCCCGAGGGTTGTTGGTTGTGAGAAAGGTGAAAGAGTGTTGAATTCACATGTGGTGAGGTAGAACTTGTACAGAAGACATTACCCCTGTAGTCCAGGCTCTTTTTGGCATTCTCCAATTCATAACTCCAAATGCTTGGTGTTCTCCCGTCTTTCCAGAAGCTTTCTTTGCTTAGCCGTCTGTTGAGAATCACCATAACTTCACTTTGTATCAACAACTTGTGTATTTTGACCGCCAAGAACACTATATTAACGTTAAACTACCGTCCTCCACTTCCCCAGACTTCACATCTTGAATTACGAGATAGAATGCAAAGATCTCAACTATTACTCAATTGTCTGTGACTGACAAGGTACATCCCCATGGGGTTCTGCTTCAGCCGCTGCAAGCCGCTATGCCGAGCATCCCTTGTGAATGGAGTCTTTTACGCAACAGGAACTTTGTGAAATAAACTCGTGGGCCATCTCGGTGATCGTGATCTTATGGAGCTGAGATTCTAGGTGAGAGATTCTGGGGAAAGTGGTTCCGTAGGGCTGGAGGATGGGGCTGTGATGTAATGAAAACGTGGATGAGGGCATCGCGAGTTTTGTGATGAGTCAAGTAGTCACATTAGCCAGCAAGACGTGGCTCAACAGAGAATTAAAGCACAAGACCACAACTACATGCACTAAACCATGCTAACTATCACTCAGTCATCCACTACGTAAGATGCATGGCGGGGAGTGTTCCCTGCCTTGGTTGGCCATCGTTATCACTAGATACATGATCACTATGAGTCACTGTCCTGAGGGCCACTCATCCTCGCTCCTTTCCTCCATACTTCAACAGCTATACAGCAACACAATAGCTTCCATAAAACAGATGCGCCAATGGTCAAGCTCTTTGATCTCGTCTTTCTCGCATGAATGCACCGACTGCAGCGCGAGCGCGAGCGCAGTGAGAGGCACAATAATCGAGGAAACGAAGACGATAGTGGCTATTATTGAGATACACTGCCCTTCCCAGTACGCTCCCTGATGCCAAACGTTTTGCCGATCAACTAATGATTATATTGCGAGATACACGCAGTTCTCCATACTATATAGTGTGTTCAAGCCACAAGCAACAAGACACAAGCTGTTCACTACCTTTCTCGAGGGCCAGCTCCTACTGAGTTCAAACGCAGCTCTTGCCTTCCGTTCTATCGGGGAACAGTTATGCTTACCTTTTAAGGTTACCCGAGATAGACTCTTGGAAGGAGCGTGCTTGGGAAAAGGTATACCGTCCCAGAGGCATGAAGTCAATTGTCACGTGTGAAAGTTCAACGTCCAAGTCAACGACGCACATACAAACTGGTCAAGACAAGCTGAAAACGACTGTCAAAGATCTTTGCTCGTATGTATATCAACGACCACTTGATGGTGCTTCGGACTTCAATTGGAGCTACTCCAGTGATACAGACGTGGCTAATTGAGTTTCAGCACCTCAACACCACGACCACCTGGTGAGAGAAAACAAGTGCAAAAAACAACACAATCAGCAAAAGGAAATACTAGCTCTGAAGCTAGTGGCAATGCGTAATCTGGGAATCGAACCCAGGGCTCCCCGACGCTGCTCGAATGGCAACGGAGAATTTTACCACTAAACCAATTACGCTGGTTGTTTGATGGAGATGAACGACATAATTGGCCATCATGTAGGTAGAGATGTCTGGAGGCTCTCTTTGCAGTCGAAGCTTCAGGTTTGACGAGTCGAATGCTATGCTCATGCATCTGCGGTTTACAATAAAGTGAAGTGTGTCTGCGAGGCAAAGCCCTACGGATGCTTTCGTGATTGGTTGGTGACCCATGAGGCACGAGTGTGTGGCTTTGTGTTCCCATGAGATGATAACCAGCGCTTCAGGAACAAAAATGCAGAGTCATGTACCTCTCGTAAAGCTTGCGCCAGAGTTTCGTCCTACCGAGAGGCCGTATTTACGAGTAGCCGTAGTTGTCAAAAGATCTTGAGACCTGTCATCGGAGTTCCAATGGGGGTGCGGAAACACGAACCGATAATTACTTTCGCGACTGACTGAACTCTGGGTATAACAGCGAAGTACTTCAGTATCCCCCGACAATTCACAGTCTCGCTGACAGTTTAGTAGAGTTTGCTGGGTGCGCACTACTGTGTAATCCCTCTGAGCGATACCTGGGGGATACGCCGATGAGAAGCGGAATCTCTGTAGTGAAGACGTATCCCCTGGAATTGATATCCTCGATCACGTCGTTAATGTAATCTATCGTGCCCTGTATTATCTGACTGACGCCCATTCCGTGCATGCTTTGTCCTGATACTTGATCGGAAGGTAACTGAGCTCCTTACCTGCTGATATGACGATCTCAATGGTATAGCACAGGTTACTTTCCCTTTACTCGAGACATGATTGGGTTATCAAGGCAGCCGATCAATAACCAGTGGTATATGACGGTACGAATGTTCTCTGGTCACGTTTATATCAGTATAGAGCGGTTTCAGAGATGGATGCATTTATACGGTTGTGTCACAAGGTCTCTTACCACCTTTCACCCTGAATACTACAAACCATCTAAATTTATGTAACCTACAAAGATTAAATGTCAAATATACTCTAGGCAGTTCTCCTGTATCTTCCAAACAGCTGGAATAAGAGCCTCTCTCATGCCCTGATTAAGAGAGTTGACCAAGATCAGTTACTCCAGATCGGAACTCATCGTTCTCATATATTCGGGTTGTTAAACTTATAATATGCAGTAGTTTTCACCTGTCAACATTTGCGGCTTTCTCGTCTTGCGCAAGTATTCACGATCGTGGCCATGACGTACAACAGTCGGCTTCTTGACCCATCCCTCTCTCATGGAAATGGCCAGCATTTTTCTCATCTGGTGGAATTTTGCAGCTAATGTAGAAGGTTTTATCACAATTACTGAACTCAGGCGGACGACGCTGCATGCGACTGCTGTGTCAACTTCACCACCTGGACTCCAAAGACTCACTGCTAGTCATCACGGCTCCGTTGGTATTGTTCACTACAAGGAGAACTTGATGAAACCATGAAGGCAGTCCAGCTAGATGTGTAGAGTGATCATCTGCAATGCTTTTGTTTCAACTGAAAGCTTTCTATTTGAGCGAAGTGGCTGGTATCATGGGAGAACCGTCAAGTGACATGGGCGTGGGAAGCGCCTGGCCTCAGGATAAAGAAACAATACCATTGACAACCGCATAATCGTTGAATACACTTGACTCAGATTTTAACGGGTTACGGGCCGATTAACACCAACTCTTTCGCCAACCCGATGGTTTGGTATACATGTATACATGCACACAGGCCCTTTCAAGCCATAAAACGTACATGACATCGACCATGGTAGTGTTTACAAGCTAAGGTACTTACAGGATCAAAAAGATTCACTGCCAGTCACATTGTTCTTATAGCGTAGCCACAGGTAAAAGAAGCGGTTGAGTACTTGAACCATCATGGCGTAAGTGTTGTGCCTGAGTATGCGAGCGAGAGTATGACAGACATAGGGAAACTCTGGAACTCTCTTGTAGCAAAGAATAACAAGTCTATCTAAACCATTATACCTTACAGATCTTACGAGAAAACGAATGAACATGATAATAGTTTAGAGTTCGGAAACCTCAGGTTTAGGCCAGATTATAGTTACAAGTACTTCCATATCAGCCAAACAAGAAGCCACCAGAACAAACATTCCATTACACACGCAACGTCTAAGAAAGACTAGAGAGTTGTCTTAATGTAACGTCAATTTCGTATCAATGATTATCGTAATACGAGATTCGCAGTAAATGTTTCTCGTAAATGGCGATTACGCAAGCCACGTTACGAACACTTGTCCTACAGAGTGAATCTGAGACCTTTGTCGGCACACACACACAACGGCCAAGCCAACGGCGTTAAAAGGAGGACAAAACGATACAACTCAAACAGCGAGCAATTTTCTCTTCTATTCCAATTCGAGTGCTGAATAGTTATTGTCGTCAAGTTTTGGGTGTCAATAAACACAAACACCAGTCAAGATACATGCAGTAGGGGTGCACGTGATAAGAACAGCCATGGCCCATTTCTCTATCGCAACTCGTCCTCCTTCAACATTATCGTACCTCTCAACCTTCAGCTCCCCTCCTATGGAAGCGTCACCTCTTACTCGCCAGCCTCAGCCCGAGGTCTTTACCCCGAAGATCATCCAACTCTACGATTCTCTCTTCAAGGTAACTTCCTCTCTACTACTAGACTCTTACCCATCATGAACTAAACCCAACTGCTAGGTAGATATCCGCAACCGCCGAACCTCATGCGCCCGCCTCGACTGATCGCCCTTGCTCGAATTAGGATGACTACGACGATGAAGAGAAGACGGATGGCTTCTGGGCAGAGTTTTTCCTCCTCAGACCCGATCGCGCCGCCCTGAGACGTATCCTTAACGAGTTGAGCCCCAGCCATGTCTTGTCGCTCGATGTGCGGACACAGGAGCTCTTTGCGAGGGGTATAGCTGCGCTGAAGGGCTCGCATAGCCTTGCGCAGTTGCACTCGCTGGACGTGAGTCGTATACAATCGCAATGCGGTACGCGAATTGGCCCTAACACCTGATAGACGCTCAGTGTCTTTCTATCATGCCTCCTCTCCAAACGATACCCACACCCGAGCTCCGATATCATGGTCCTTCTCGCAGGACTCGATCAGATCGATGCCGTGTTTACCGACTTCGTCAGCGCTGTAGAGGCTATAATAAGGAATAGCAAAGAGTGTAAGGCTCGGCATCTACCCAGAGGTGGCACAACTGACTCGGAGCAGTGGAAGTTCGATACAAGGCAGTTGAAGTGCTGTTGGCGGTAACAGCTGGAGCGTACCAAACAACACTGTTGACGTACCTGATCCAAAGAGACCTCTTTCCTGCAGTCATGAAGGTACACAGAACTCTACAAATCGATCCGTTCTCAGCTGACAATGCCAGTTCATCCAAGACGCAGAAACATCAGATCAAGTCTTACAACCCTTCATATTACTAGGCCTCCTAGCAAACTACAACAAATTCGAGTTCCAGAATCCTTACCAGCAAAGATTAAACGACTTTGTCAACGAAGCAGTGATTCAAAAGATCGTAGGCGCAGTGGGACAAGCGTGTCAGACAGTTCGGTCTCGATACATCACCATCCAGGACGATCTTCCTGAAGGCTGGACCTTCAGCGCTACTCTCAACATGATTGGACTCGGCGCAATCGCTCCTGGGCCGAAACCTGTGAAGAAGCCTGTGTATGATGTTGAGACTGCTAAAGCTCTCTTCACCAAGCTGTGAGTTAAACAACCCTTTGTGCTGCCACAACACAGACTGACATCCTGTTAGACCTGAGGAGGAAGCTGCTGTTCTTCTAGCGACATACGACTTCACCCACGCCAACAAGCTCTTCTGCTTCAACCTAGTAACACAAGCAGCTGAACCAGGCGCTGAGCAACCCATCGCCAGTTACGTCTCCCTCACCTCCTATCTCCTCCAACACGCCTACCTCTCACCCCGCGCCACATACTACGCCCATCTTAACCTAATGGTCTTCCGTCTCCTGATCGAAGATCCCACAATCTGCAAGCGTATCTGCAGTGATGAATCCCGTGTCGCAGTGCGTCTGTGTCGACAGCGCCAGCCCTACCTCCCTCTCGTCAAAGGCGAGCGAGTCCTCGCCATTTCACTTCTTGACACTATTATTGACGGTGTGAATCATAATCTTCGTCGTCGTCTCGATGTCAGTCTTTACACACTTAGCTTTGGAATCATGCTTCGTATCATCTCATATCTCTCTCGTACGCGCACCCGGCTTGAGTATCATTGGCCTGAGTTCTTCCGGTCTTTGCTCTCCATCGTTCGCTTCCTGGCTACATACACAGCTGATCTGAAGGATCTACCACACATCGACACCCTTCTCGACCACGTTGTTAACCTCATCGCCCTATCCCTCTCCGCTGGTGAAGCCTTCCTCCCTTCGCCAGCAGACTACGATGATCTGTTCTACAAAGTCGTCGAGTCCGGTGAAGTTCTCACCAAGTTCAAAGAGAACTACCGCCTGGGTAACCGTAACAGCAACTCCATTGATACGCTTATCAACGTTAGTGCGCATTACAACCAGATGCTTTCAGAAGGTGGTGCGAATCGTCGTAAGCCTAGTCTTTTGACGACGCAGGGGGTCACAGAGGTTATTCGTCAGGGCTACGAGACGTTGAGTATTCAGGCGAAGGAGGGACTGGATTCATGGGAGAGGTACCGGGAGGCGGATGAGAGGACGTTGCTCAAGAAGATGGCGAGAGCAGCTGTTGGTGATGTGCGAGTCATGGTTGAGCGGTAGATTGTATAGGTAGTCTAATGTCATCATGACGCGGTCCAGACTGAACTGTGAGAAGTACATGCATTACTTTCCCGGCTGTGATGTGTCCAACTACCCTATTCCTATTGTCCTTGCGTGAACGCTTTGCTGCTAGACAACATCTCAGAGATAAGCAAATCATAACTCCATCCTGAGTCTGAAAACTCACTGTCAACTTCAACTCAAGTCTCAGTACTCAACCGAGTCATGCCAACTCTCATGACTCTTCAAGAACCTCATAGCCTCAATCTCCCCTCTCTCATGACCCATCTCTCCAAGCATCTTCCCTATCAACACTTCATTACGAACAGGCAACGCACAATCTCATAGAACCCTGATCCTTCAAACGACATTGCGCAGAAGCTCGGCTAGTTCGGCTGGTCTCCACGCAGCGTCGCAGCACTTAATATGTAGTATCTCGAGCTTTGTTCATCCACTGAGCCTCCACCTACTCACTAGCCATTTCAAGATAGCAGATCGTAGTTCGTTCATTCGAGTCTATCACGACCCAATCTCTTGGTAAATGGAATCGAGATTATCTTGCATTGACAGATTGATCATTTGCCGAGGCCTAGTCTATCTGGCAGCTGAATTACGTCTTATGACAGAGTTAGTTCTTAGCTGCGACTCTTGTCAAACCGGATTCTCAATTGTTCAAACAGTTAACTCATCTGTCTTGAAACACGTCGAGTCACCGTAAAGCCAGACTAATTCCATAGCACAAACCACAAAACAATCAAGTCCGCTCGTCCCGCCGCAGGCGAGAGTTCAGAAGTGTCGCACTAAGCCTCTTGACAAGAGACAAGGGTATGTAACCACGTGGACGGGACAGATGAAAAAAGGCCCTTCCTTGTATCCGCAGGCCTCACTAATGCAATGGACTGGGGAATTTGGTGAAGCTGATACAGATACAATTGCTCACCAAAAGATGAGATAGGCTCATCAGAATTGTACCACCAACAATGTAACCATGTTTTAAGTTACAGAGGGGATAACATGGGCAGTTTCGTGGTATCGGTATCACGGGGACGCCGTTGATCCCTGGGTACTGTTGGATCCGGTTCCGAGGTGAGGGGAGGGTGTGTACGATGTGATATCTCATCTTTTCTCCCTTCCTTTCGCTTGGTGAATTGGTTGATCCCGACAACACGGTGACGAGACGAGGCTCCCATGCTTGGCTCGTTGCTTGGTGCCACAGGCTTGGCTACCCGAAATCTCGAGTGAGTCTAGCTTGGCTTTACTTGAGCCATGAGGGTTCTCTCATCTCGTCTGTTGTTCGGTTCTTGTCAAGCTAGAATCGTCATCGTCGTGACTGAACTTGAAACCGTTCTCTTTCGTCAATCTTCGGTCATATCCTTTGCCGAAGTTAAGCTCCAATTCGTTGTCTGAACAATTCAAACAATGTCTCAGACCGTCTCAAAGTGGTGTTCCGTCTCTCATGGTCTATGCATGTCTAATGCAGAAAGGGCTTATCCGTTAGCACTGCTGCGTTACCATTGCTACCGGTAAAAAGCAAAAGGTCTTTGATGTTCAGGGTCCTCTTTCGAGCCCAATGAACCCAATCTGTCCCGCGTTATAGCACTAAGTGGCCCTATTTGAGCGATCTATCCTACTGTAACCTCAGCGTTCCCAATTCGAGAGCTTCATCAAGTCGATCATCATGTAACAGGCGGGGTGTGGCGTGTGTGGTGTAATTTACCAGGCAACAGTTATCGTATCCCTACCCTGTCCATTATAAAATAATCCTCGTCACGGCAAGGTAACATAAATGGGGAAGCGGTCGAGACGGTTGTAGTTGGTGAGCCGAAGAAGCTATGCCCAAGATGGTACGGCCTCTGGCTGGAATTGGTCCGGATTGAACGGCTAGATTCCCGCCTACTTTGACAGGCCCGCAAAGGCAAAGGCAAAGGCAAAAAAGCAACTGAAGTGAAGCTACCGTAGGATTTGAGGATGAGGACAGGGACAAGGCTGGCCGCGCTCGGCGCTTTTGAGTTGAATGAGAACCAAGGCGGGGATGGCACAGATCGCCAAAGAGCTCTTGTGAGTTGACGTTCGGTCAACCAAGTTTGTTAGAGTTGAAGAGGATCACAGTCGAGAATCAATTCATGTCGCATCTGATATCCTTCACTTGTCAAGCACGTGTTGCGTAGTCGTTGTTGTTACAACGCTATTCTGTTCAGCGAGTCAGTCATCGACTCCAATACTCATCTGCCGAGGCATTGATGCTCAAATTCAATGGATTTGTTGTCTCATTTCATCTTGTCTCTCGTCTCGCCTTACTTTCGGTGCCTCAATTCAGATGCCTCCTCCAAGTTGAGTAGGGCCGTGTTGCGTCCGGGGTGCTGCAACGGTCAGGATGAGGCGTTTCTAGCGCCGGCATGTCTCTCTCTTCTGCTGGAAATTCGGAGTCGCACCAATCAATCAAGGGGACGACTGACCCAGCGATCCATTGTAAAGTAAGCATACGAAGCCAAGAAACGGGGCCTCGAGGCGATTGTGACAGATAACAAATATTTGCACTTTTGGTTGTTGTTATGTGAGATGTGCCCTATCAATACAATAGCCTGAAGACTATCTCAATCTCATGGCTTAGCTGAAATGACGGACTAAACCTGGCTGCAGTTAGCACAGAATGCAAGTCAACCTGTGTGTGATATGATATGGTCAATCAATAACCGCTGTGCTATACTCTGCAGTGCGATGTGATGGACGTACAGCCTATAGGGCCTCATCACTTTTTGCCTCCCATTACTGCAGCTTACATGATATTCCATCAGTCATGCATATGCCTCATCTCCACACCGGAGAGGCGCAATTGCTGTATGTAATCGAGGCACAACAGAGCACACGTAATGCAACTGGCGGAGCATCGTATCGAGTAGACAGGCACATGTACATGTCTCGATCGAGCATTACGCTTGTGACATGACATGACATGACATTACAAGCTCCAAAGTCAACTGAACTGGTTTGACTCGCCTTCAAGGATGATGCTTCCAGTGTTTGAATCGCACGGCAGTCGATATCTTTCCCCATGTGTCAGATGACGTGATGCTGCTGCTGAAACAGACGAGAGTTGGGATATCCTGGCTGATCACTGAAGAACCAGTACCCAAGCTGACTCGGAATTCGCATCAGGATTCTCAGCATCAGTAAAGGAAAAGATCTGAGGTGGGGTATCCAGCTTTTCTCTGTCTCCAACTGCCAAGGATCCGGATACGACGCAATGCGATGTGATGCAGGGAACTCCTCTCTTGCTTGAGGCCATTCCCACCTTTTCCCATGTTCCCCAGTTTATCAAACTCATGGGGAAATGTCACCTCATTTTCCCTCTGATCTGCTTGACTCTGGCCTCTCTGTCGATCCCTCTCCTCGGCCATCAGAGTCACATCATATCATATTCCCTCAGTTCAAACTTCACATGCACAGGGTGGCATTGAGAAAGTGACAACTCCCCTGCATCCACACATCAATGCAGGAACCCGACCTAGCATGCGCCAATGAGCTCAATAGTTGCCTGTTAGTCCAACAATGTCTCATCTCTTACCCGAAAAAAACGCGCTTGACGCGTACAGGCGCGGGATTACTTTCGGATCATGATTCCTACACCGCAAGAGTCCGTCATGTCATGGCAGCAACTGCATGGAGACAGGACCTAGCGTGCATTGTCCAACTGCGAGACCGTTGAATGTCTTGACAGTGGAACGGTCCGCGCGTCTCCCTTGCGTGTTTGGTAAAGATACCCCACGTGGAGACACAACAGTCAGTCGCAAAAAGGAATAAATATACGTACGGTATGGCATAGCACAGAATCCTTGCACCTTGCCATTTTGCACATGGCCCTGGCGGTCTTACAGTAGCGATGTAGCATTGAAGAGTTACACTGGCCGGTGCGTTCCTCCGTAGAACCTTGATCCTGGTGTTGATAATGGTGCTCAACAGTGCAGTGAGTGGTGTAGCTTCTGGAGATTGTAAGGGAGTCGGTGACAGGTAAATGGATTGGATGATCATGACACCTGCAGATCAATATAGAGTCATCGCCAATCGGTCCTGGTGGTAATCGGAGTAGCGATCGTCAGATTGACTGACTCGAAAGCATCCTTTTGCGTACGCCCTGTGACAATGGACACTTGAATTCGCAGTCATCGTCATATTGCAACCAAGGTACGCTCCTACTTCTCATAGAATGGTCAGCAGTACTCCAAACATCGTATGACAGCAATTACATCAATCATACGCTGTGTCGTGCAATATAAACTGTTCCTTGACCGTTCTTCTTTGAGTGTAACACCACGAACCGACAAAGTTCGGAGGTTGTATCCAATGCTCCAGGGTAGTTTTTAGTTGAGTGACAACCATTCTCATTTGTCAAACTGGAAACCAAATTTCGAGTATCGGTGCGACGTCGGAGACCGAAGCTCGGAATATTTGTTCATGGTAGCAATGATTTCACTGTAAATAGGATCAAGTATGTGGTGGAGAGCATCCAAGGCTGTAAATTCAGGACTGATCGTGATGATCATCGTCAACGTGACAGCCCCATGATCCAAGACTCTTACCGAGGGGACGAGGCCCAGTAGAGCGGTTAGACTACAACTCCAACTCGGGACTTTTCTTCACCTGAAAATTACGGTATATCATATGAGAGGCTGTATAGAGCAACATCGTCTGGGGTTGGATCCACTTGGGCGACGAGCATCGGCCATAAAATCGACCATATTGTCAATCTTGCCCCAAAATTGCTGTGCGGGGACTGCTTTGAAGACAATTGCTAAGCACAACGAGAGTCGATCATGGCGAGCTTTCAGAAGTCACAGAATCTCGGAACGTAGCTCGGGTAATGGACATCTACGCCCGCTATACTACAAGCGTGTGCAGAGGCAGCTTCATAGACCGCTCCAGAAAGTTCCTGAAACGTTTTGTGAGCCTTCATGACTGGTCAACTAAGTTCACAACGCTATCGTACAGCCCAGCATCACCTCATTATGAACTGATGCCAGTCTTAACGTGCCTGGACCATCCTCGAAGGAGCTTGGCTTTCTGAGTGTAGCTTCCGAACAGCCCACCTCATTTCGGGAAATTTAAGCAGGGAACTTTCAGCACGAGAGCTGGCTCTTTCTTAGCCTTAGCTGACAACCTCCAACAGTCTGGGTAGGATCGACGCCATGCATACAGTATTCTGGTGTGTGTTGAAACGGGGAGAATTCCGCTTTCTTCGTACGATAATATGGTTGTTAGCTTTCAACGCTGGCCAACTTTTCGCGTCTTTCCGATCAATCACACTACTGCCGGAACTCGAAGGCGTCAACTGTCCGAGCTGTCGATCACAACAATATGCCGGCCAAGCTCCGTAGGCGACATCGGCAGTTGATCAGACGTCACTTTCCTCATCAGCTTTGGTCTGGGTACAAGACCCGATCCAATGAAGCTTCTGCTGTACTCGTCCCGCGCGCCATGTCCGGGTTGTGGGTGTCTCTGTGATTGCATCGTAAAAGATCCTTGTATGCTCGGACAGCAGATGGTACTGTTAAAAGCAAAAAGGTTGATCTTGCGATATCACAGACAGAAGTCAAAGCAACGCTTGTGCTTTTGAGGCAGCTCGCACGGGACGACGAGCCGACTAGGGGTTCATGGGTAGATAAACTGGTATCCGTGCGTCGTAAAGTTTCAATATCCAACACTCTTGCTATGAACATAGAGAATCCTATAAGCGTATATTATCCCAGCAAGTGGATCCATCCTCCACGAGGTGATAGCGTCAGGTTGAACCAAGAAAATCAGGCGTTGAAGAGCCATCAAGGCGTACCAGTAACCGTTTGATCAGCCTCAAATCTTGGGCAAGGTAGACCTCGTTTAGTGGCCCTAGGGACTTCTCCCCGGCCGTCCATGTCTTGGAATCAAATGGCACCAGGCGCGGTAATTCCAAAATGTCTTAGAGCTGCCGAGAAGACTCTACCGTACCAGGTTACTGGTCTCTATCTAGCATTAGTACTCGTGCCAGCTTCCTGATGGTGTGAGTAGATTGTGATAAAAATATCACAACCGAGAAATGCCGCGTTAGCTCCATTGCCAATGTGGGAGTTTTGCCTCTGAGTATCAAAGAGGCCTTTGTCAACTAGCACAGACCTCTTCTTGTTTCCTTGGCTCACGACTCTAAACCAAAGTTGCTCCCATCTCATACTTGGATATCGTCGAGCATCTCGTATATCGATCAGATAGGCACAGCATGAAGGCCACATCTCTAGCGAGCTGACGAAAGCTATTTTGGTCAACATCGCACCCTATTCGCGTGGCATTTTCCCAGTTCGATCTCGGTGACGATCACGACAGGACCCTAAAAAGGCAAACCTGGACATCAGATTGACGATCAAGCGCCACGGGCGGCGCCTCCAGTTTCAGGTACCATTATCAGATCCATCCAATGGGAGTGATTCCCGACTTTTAGATTGACAATCCGCATCTTTGGTGGCGCACTACAGCATAAGCTAGGTTGCCGTCGAAGTGGGTAGAATAGCAAACTCGACAGATGTTGTTGCTCTTCCTCAACCGCAGTAGCCTCCATTTACCCCCAAATTTGGTAATCCCATCCAAGATCAAAATCAAAGATGGGTCTGTTGGTGGGACATCAATCTGCTCTCATCTTGACGCCTACCAGATCTGTGCCGGCCGCCCCGGGCCTTGGCCTCCCGAGCAACAAATCGGAGCATGGCGTTGAGCCTGGATTTTCAGCTTCAGCCTCTCAAATTCAGTCGACTTCGATCCTCCAAAGCCTCGTCTGTCCGTTGCGGTTGAACGTTTCCGAACTAACGTTCGTTTAGCAGACAATGCCACAAGCGAGCACGCACTACTGCCTGACAAATAAGCTAAACAGCATGACGTATCCATAGTCTTGTACAATTGCTTTTGCTGTCTCTTCACCGGAATGGATTTTTTTTTAACTTAGGCTAACCCTCATGTGTATGTGATCTGTAGGCTGTGGGAACCATTGCAAAAGCGGTCCAATCTCTTGGTATGAATGAGAGGCGGCCCGGCGCGGGATGAAACAACCCGTAGCTGTTTGCCGTCTTTAAGTTATCTTGACAAACAGGACAACGTTTTGATTGATGTGTCGATTAGTGTGAAAATGAATAGTTAGCGCAAAGCTCCAAACATATTCCTTGTGTTGGGAGATGATTGTGCAGCTAGCTCAATTGGTGAACCGCAACTAGCAAACTTTCATCTCTTCCAGGAACAGTACATGCGGGAGACAAACACTCAACCCTCTAACCACACGGCCCTTTCTCGTACCATGATTATAGCAGCCGTATAGCAATCGAGGTCCTCGGACTTCGGAGAGAGCGTGATTCATTGGCCAAAGTCGGGATCTCGCGAGGGAAAATAAAAAGTCCACTGAGTAATCAGACAATTCGTGTTGCTCAGTTCCGCCAGCCCCGCAAGCAACCCTAGATCGTAGGTAGCAGACAGGGGCGTCTCTCAACATTGCATTGGGACCCAGAAGTCCTCGATCTACTCCATAATACAGCATTTCCACCAGGCGGATGCTTCTTACTCGAAATGGCATATCTTTGCTATTCCGGCGGTCCGGTAACTCAAGAGGCCGTGGGATTCAGACAGAGGGAAAATGGCCCCGTCGAAAAGTTTTCCCGTACCAGAAAGCTCCCAACTTGCAGCTTGCATATTTCGACTCCAAAAGTGAGACACGGAATATGCATAAGGATGCAGCACTGTGGAACCCTTCTGCAGAAGTGCAGCAAGTTAGAGCCAAGAACTTTTTTGATCAAACTTCGTAGCGGAGGTTGATGGCTTGTGTGCCATTTGTACAGCAGCCGTGCCGGGTCTGGAAGAAACGATCGTCCAAACCGGAAGCAAATTGTTCGTTACAATTTCATGTCTCAAAAGAGCTCTAGCAACGGAACAGCGCGGAGGCTGTTGACCAGGCATAGGTGACGATTGTCAAGTGGAGACGACGTCGACCAGACGGTATCCTTGTATCTTGCGTGGCTTTCTTTGGGAAGCAAACTTCTCTTGACAACGTTCGTTGTTGCACCTGGTACACGTTCAACCAACAAGCACCCCCAGGCAAACATATGCGTGTTGGTAATGTGGATGAAGTTTGCCTCGGCTGGAAGCAGTTGATGGTGATAACGTGATCTCGGCCTTCTGCAAGGAGTCTGGAGATGCTGACGTTGAGGTGCAAGGTTGCGAGACACGACCCCCGGCTCTTCAACTTTGTATTTCTAATATTGTGGCCAACTGCTTTGAACCTAGAATATGCACTTCGGGTTCGGGAGAAGCAGAGGAGCGAAGGTGCTGTGGCAGTCGAAGTTCGTATAGATCGAGCTATCGAACTTTGTGACTGGTATATGTTAAGAGCTAGTGGTTTAGAGAGCAGCCATAAAGAAAGCAAGTTGTCGCGGGGATCTAATTTCCCGACAATCCGTGGGCATTTCAGAAAGTCGACCACAGCAGTTGATCATCTCATAAACTAGTGGCGCACAATTCATAAAGTTCCGATGTGTGATGTGGGCGCCTCATACCAAGATCGTTTTATTCATCACGGTTGATAAACTGCACTGTGAGCAACTGTTTGCTATGGTTTCGGCATTGTGGCGAAGTGCCAAATCGCCAACAGTTGAATAGTCACGTAGTGTAACACTTTAAAACGGGTGCCACTGCTTTGAATCAATAGGCCATAACGGCTGTGACTGCGGGGTGTTGCTAAAGGATGGATGGTTGATCTATACGTAAGGGCGGATTCTATACTGTGAGAAATATATTGAAGGGATGTTGATTGTGTCGTGTGTCCTTTGGGGGCCAACAAGATGTGTAAGATTCTTGTGGAGGAAGGAAGAGAATGTAGCTCGCAAACCAAGACCATATTGGTAAGGTTACAGTCGGGAATGTCAGTGATTGATTAACGTGGGCGGCTGAGGCTAGAGGCAAGGCTGACATTAGATTGTTTGCAGTAGAGTAACAATAGGGTTCAATGACGCCTGCGAATTAAAGACCTGAGCAAAATTGTATTGGTGGGAACGCCCATCCTAAGCCGCGATTGACAGTGGTAAATCGTTAATTAATTAGCAATTGATCGTGTCGTTGTGGTAAACTGCAACCCAGCCGGTATAACAGGGACGGATATGAACAGGGGTAAAGCCGTCGTTGGTACCGGGGAGGCTTCGCGGAAGCAGGGGTCCGGTACCAGGTGTCAGGGATCAGACAGCCCTCCCCCTGGCCTGGCAGTTCTGGCAGCTAGCGGTAGGTGGTCCCCTGGCAGGGTGTTCGAAAGGGGTTTGATGTCACTAGGAGCTGTATGGCGTGAAGATGAGGGGCCCAAGGGCCTTGAGCTGAAGCGGCAGAGAATGAGCAGGAAATGGAGGCAAAAAAAAAGCAATGAATGGTTTGTAGCTGGGAACTGAGACCATGCGGTGACCTTGACCTTGAAGGTGATGCCAATGATCTTCCTTCGGCCCGTCGAACAATGGAGGCCTAGGGGATCAGGGTCGATTGTTGATCTGTGCTGGGCTATTGGCCACGAGAGACAAAGTTTGAGGAGGTATTGGACGAACCACTGGGGCACAGGTCGCTGGATGTCATCACCTTTTGGTAGGATTCAACAATGAATGAGACTTGTCGCTAGGTAATAGTTTCCTAGGTGAGTCAAGTCAATTTAGGAGACCTGAAGCTCTATCGAGGCGACACTCGACCGCAATGAAAAGTGAGGCTTAGTCAGGAGGCAAATGTCCGGTGCAAGCGCCTCCATGAGGTTCCTGCTCCGTTAACTCAAATGACTGGCAGATTTGGTGACATCTCCAAGAAGGTGCCAACTGGTAGTCATTGCGCTCCTCCCATTTGTCGTGGCCCAAAATGATTCCCAATTTGTCGATATCTAATCACCGGAGTTGGGCACACAATCTGGAGTCTCCCGTCGTCATGGGCCCTGCATTAGGCGCTGAAGACTACTGCAGCTTCAGAGACTTATCGCTAATGGTGGTGATGATGGCATCAACTCATCCAAACACCAACGTCAAACGCCACATCGCGCGGTTTTAACGGTTGTCCGCGGGGTTCCGGAGCATCTAGAGCCATGGTTCGAAACGCCAGATCGAAGTTATTATTCTTCAATGGCGCTGCCCCAAACGAAACCGATTCAAATGTCGAACCATACGCGCGAGCCCCTAAGCAGTATTGAAGTCTAACTTAAGTATCGAGCACAGCCATTGCAAGTCCAAATTTCTGGTCTTCACTAAAATGAGCAATGCCACTCTCGGAGCAGCTATGTATGTTTCCTTGATTCCAAGCGAGAACCCTGTTTCTTTCCAGAAAACGATCAGCGGCTAGTGGATGACGAAAGCATGACAAGAAAACCCTCATTTAAAGAGCTGAGGGCAGATCGCGTTTGGGAGAGGCCAACTTCGTGAGATGAAAGAACGCAGAGAGCGCTTAAGCTTAGCTCCAGCGTCACCGAACTCCTGGAAACATTCCGCCTCTAGAAGGACAGAAGAAAAGGGGCGCAACGTCTCCCAGCGCTCAGCGTTTACGCCATTGATCAACCACGAGAGCGCCGTCATGCTAACTTTTGCGCCGAGTGGCAGACTAATTTGGAGCCGGCTCTTTAGATGAAGCAATTGGTGCCAGTCTTGGTGGCATCTAGACGCTCGATGGCGTGGAAGCGGGCACGGGGTGTAGATGACGATCCAACAAGACGGGGAAATTCGAATTTTAGGGGAACGTTATCTGGGCGTTTTGTTTGCTTGTGATGTGACCGAGGTTAATACTGTAAGCTTGGTTTCATATTGGTTGCTGACGAGGAATTCAATATTGCTGATCTTTTGGTAGTCTTCACGATCTATTGATTGTCTAGCATTGAGGCGACATCGGACATTGGTCACAGCGGAGGCTGCATGCTGTCAGACGGAAGGATTGTGCGGTTTCGGTCATGTCGTCGATGGTAAGCAGGGTCCCAGTTTGTTTGATCGACTTGGTCAATGCTGTGCGCAAGTTCATGAGGCGGGGAGTCGGTGACAGCAATAGCTTGCGGCTGAGTGGTCTCGTGGTTGAGAGACGATATCATGGATGTTCGTTCGTCAAGTGAAAAAAAAAGGGGACTGATGAGCAGGTTCCACAAAATCTTGATCGAGCCCGCACGGCAATTGCTCGAGTCTCCATGATATTCAAGGAATGGCATCGTCCTGGGTGGTCGACTCTTACCATGCCCTGGACTGTCAGGCGGGAACTCGTGATGGACAGTCAAGGATGGCTTTGGCTTTGGTCATGGAGCGGCCGGACGGCAGACCGCATCGCATCGATCAATCCGTGGCTCCGTTGTGGTGCTGAAGCGAGACGCAGGAGAATGCATTGGTTTGCCCATCTTGCATATCGTCTGCAGGCCCAGGTCAGGAACGAAGAAATCAGGGCACGACTAGTAAACGAGGCACCTACAAGTCTCTCTCTCTCTCTGTCTCTCTGTTTATTTGTACTGCGGCGCCCTTTGCGCAATCATCCCAGCCAGGAATTACCCCCTTGTTGAAAGGGTTTCTAAGCCCACTTTTGCTATCAGCTACCCGGCACTTCGATCATCAACACCACCTTTTGTATCTCATGACAGCTGGCAGTATCTACATATTAAATTATATACAGGTCAGCATATATGATAGGCTTGATCAAGTCCGGGGTGGTGGCGGAAGAGTTATTGATCATCGTTCAATAGGCAAAAAGTGCATCTCAGTTAATCTACGAATATGTGATGGCTAAAAATACCGATCGTATGTGGCATCCAATCCGATAACTTGTCACGCAAAGTACAAGATGAAGCTAGAAATAGTTCATGTGATGAGACTACCACAAAGCAGCCCGCCAGATTCAGTCACATAGAGTACACATTGATTTTTCCTGACTCAAAAATTGCTCGCTCAAAAAAGGGCCGCTGCGTGATGTGGGCATTCCAACGTTTCTCCTGCAAGGCCATCCATTTACGAGTATCCTAAAGTTCTGTGCATGCATGCATGAGAGAGGAGAGGCGGCGAGAGGAGACGTTGTGAGTGGGACTAAAACCGTTGATCTCTGAAGTTTACTGGAAGTTTGGTACCGAGTTTATCGTATTTTTGCTTTAAGAGTAATTTTATCGTGTGGTTTTTTGAAACCGCGTTTTCTAGCTGCTTTGGTGCCTTTGGTCGTGCATATGATATGACACCTATACGTAGACACACATTTTGAAGTCCAGAGTGCTCGTGTGATTTATTCTCCCTTCTTGCTGAGGGATGATTCAAGACATATACCCCAAGCTTGGCGATAATGACTCTGATGGTTTCCGTAGTGCGGCAAAGGGTCGCATCCTCCTACACAACTAAACAACCCGTGTTTCTGTCTGTCCTTGAGAGCTTCACCCAAGCCAAGTACTGCCGGATACCTGGGTCTTGACATCGGCTCGGAAGCCTTAGCTACGGTACCCAGACAACAGGGGACGAAAGCTTCTTCAGCCGGGAGGCCCCCAAACCCCTGGGACCAGACAGACTCCACTGAACTGCTAAGGTCGGGTTTGGTGAGTTAGGTCACCTTTGGTTAGGTCAGGTTAGGTTGAAGAGAAGAAGAGAGCCCCGCTGAGACCGGGCACAATCCCTCCCGTGGACTGCACTGAGCGCCACTCTTTTTTTTTTTTTCTCTCTCTGACCTTGAGAGCCAGCCTCCCTGCTACCTTTTGGTTGCCCCCTGGTCGTTTCACTGTCGAGAGAAGACTTGGGGGCGTGGGGTTATCTTCCCGCATACCTTGCCCTGGTCAATCAATCCAACAGTCAAGTCAATTCAACTGTTGACCATGGATGGGAGTCCACTCCGACCCGTACGCTATCTCCTCCACCCCCTGGAACTTGGAACTCCCACTTGGGACAGGCCAGGACCCCCTGGACTGGGAGAGAGAGACGGTTCCACCTCACTGACGAAAGACGTGGGTGTGTGGTGGCCACCAGGAACTGCAGAGCACAGAGCAAGAGAGAGAGAGAACAAGACTCCCATCCGTCAAAAACGACTACTAGGGTCGTCGACTAACTTAAGTTAAGGTGATAATACCACGGCATTCCCCAGACCCCGACGTAGACGGTGTTCTTGTTCCCATCTCTTCCCCTCGACTCGACTCTACTCGACTTTATACCATTTACATTATCCTTCGTACTCAATCTCCTCTCCATCTCATTGTTTTGTGTTAAGTGTGTGCTTGGGTTTGGTTTACGGTCTGGTCTATTTCCACTTTTACGACTTGCTTCTACTCTTGGGTCACCAACGTCGAACATCAACAACAACAACAACAGCAGCACTCTACCACAACCAAAATAATTCGTCATCACCTAATCTGATACCTTCCTTGGACCGTTGAGATCTCGAACGTTGCTGCTTCTCCACTCCTGTCGCCCAATCTCATCCGCAGCATTCCATTCAACGCGAACTCGACGAATGACCTGACTCACCCAGTCAGCACAACCAGACAACGATATACCGACGACAAATAACGATTAATTGCAATTGGTCAAATTAGATTGGAGTGATCGCATCGACTTCATCACTCTGTGTTAATAAGTAAAGGTAAGCAAGAGGAAGAGCCAAAAAAAGAGAGTCGAAGGCGTCAGTGGCAGGTTTGTTTGCAATTGTCTACACACTCCATTCAACACAGCACAACACAACATAACACAACATCGTTCCATATTGTCTTATTTCTCCCCACAACCACGCAGGTACTGTACGTCGGCTGCAATGCACAGACGGGCTTGAAGCGTACAGGCTATGCACATGGGCGGATCGTGCCGCAGACAGACATGACAAGACTGGACCAGACTACATGCAATGCACTATTCAGGCGAGACAAGTCACGAGCTGTTGGGTTGGGTCCAAGAGATGATTGTTGAATGATTTGACATGGAATGATAAGAGCATGGGCAATGCAAAGCAAAGCAACGGAAAATATGGGCACCTCGCGAGAAACCGTTTAAGGTGGACGTTGGATGTGCTTGCTTTTTTGGAGCCTGGGGGTTCACAGAGGAACAACGTCTTTTTTTTACGCCCTGAAGCCCCCTCTAAAACGTCTTTTGCTAGGTACCTTGCGTGGGCGCTACAGCTACGCCTTGCAGAAGGTCCCCCCTGCGATTCTGAACATTCCATTCCTCGACAAGTCCTCATGGCCCCCTCCAACCCTCTCGACATCGTCTCCCTTCATTCCATCACATTTCCCACAAACAATCAATTGAATTCGCGACTTCTCGTCCCCAGGTGACTCGCTAACATTTCTCTTCTTTCCCAGCCAACCGAGTTCTCCCTCCTCGATTTCCTGTTGCTGTGGTGCAAATCTATCGAGTTTGATACCAACATCATAACCACGACTTACACCATCGTCGATATCGAGTTCCGTTACTTCAGCTTCATCATCAACCTGCACTCTTCTCTTGGATATTCAGATACGACTGCTTGTTAAAGAAGGGATAGAAAAGGACTGAACAGTACAGAAAGAGCCGGATCATTTCTTGGTTCGAGAGGTTGTACAAACCCACCGGCCTAACCGTTCATCCCCCGATGATCTAAACGGCGACATCGATTGTCAGCGGCAATCGCACGCAATGTTTAGCGACCAGCCCATGCGAGCCAGTCTCCAGGTGGCTCCTCTTACCATCGCCAAATCACGAACTGAATCATCTGGAGATGCTTCATCGACCTCAGAAAACGACAACACTCTCTACTCACAATCACAAATGACACCCCCCGCTACACCAAATGGCTCGCAGGAGGATCTCTCACCTTCACCTCAGTACATCCCTCCCCAAGTCTTCCACAACTTCCTGCGAGCCTTCTACCCTTTCAACCCCAGTTATGTCATGTCCGACTCGAGTGTGACATTACCTCTTAACGAAGGTGATGTGATTCTCGTGCACTCTATCCACACCAATGGATGGGCTGATGGTACATTACTTGTCTCGGGTGCCCGAGGATGGTTACCGACCAACTACTGCGAGGCTTACGAGCCTGATGACATGTGCAACTTGTTAAAGGCTCTCTTGAACTTTTGGGATCTGCTTCGAAGCACATCAGTCAATGACAAGGAGATCTTTGGCAACCAGGAGTTCATGAAGGGCATTATTGCGGGTGTTCGATTCCTATTGGTGAGTTATTCTCTGTTAACTCTAATAATCAACTTCTAACGGTACAAAGGAACGAACAAACTGTCTCAACCGAGAATCTACCTTTATTCAAAGGAACGATGCTCTGCGCAAGTGCCGCAAGTCTCTTCTCTCTGAACTATCATCCCTAGTCAAGACAGCCAAGCGATTGCAAGAGACACAACGTCTCGAAATCGCTCCCGTTGAAGATGTGAATGATATCATCGACGAGATGATTCTCAAAGCCTTTAGAATTGTAACAAAGGGAGTTCGCTTTATGGATGTGCTCGAGGATGACCGAAGGGCACGTGCGCCTTCAGCTGTTACTGTTATGGATACAGTGCTCGAAGAATCATACGTGCCGCCAACACCACCCGCTGATCAGTCTTCCTTTGATGAACAAAGCCAACGCAGCACAAGCATAAATGACACAGATTCCCAAGCTGCTGCCAGTGTCGCTGCCTCTGAATCGAGCGAGACAACTCAAACATCAACATCCATCTTCAACAAGCGATTATCGTCACTTAGTGGTCGTACTGGCCCGAGCTCTCACAGGTTGTCTCAGGGAAGCCTTTCGCAAGCCCAAGCTCACCGCCTGTCCGCCACTATTTCGCACCGAGTGTCTCTTGCTGGCCCATCTTCAGTGTCGAGAGCCCATCATCTAGTTACTGAGCGCCTGAACCGCAGCCACGATACGTTCCTGTCTCATCTGGGATCTTTCATTGGTCGCCTGCATCTTCAATCACAGTCGCGCCCCGAGCTCGCATCAGCGATCCGTCAGTCTGCACTTTCAGGCGGAGAATTGCTTGCAGTAATCGACGGCGTCTATGACCACATCAACTCCAGCTCTGAGGCTCTTGCCCGAGCTCGATCCACCATGTTCGCCCGAATCCAAGATCTAGTCTTTTCTGCCCGCGATACCCTTGTCAGCGCTGCCTCTGAAGATGCCGATTTAATTATGCCCCATGACAACACAATGCTCCTCGCATCCGCTACGGGCTGCGTTAGGGCCGCTGGAGATTGCGTTGCCAAGGCAAAATCCGCTATCGAGCGCATTGGCGATTTTGAATTCGAGCTCGAGACTAGCAGCCTTGGAATTGATCTCAGCATTCTAGATATCGATACTGAGGAGCGAGCTAGGACCCCATCTGTTTCAGAACACAATGACGCTGTCAGTGTTGCCGGCTCCAACCGAACCTCCAACTCATCTAACGGACATGCTCGTCGCCTCACTGTTGTCGCAATTGATAAGCCTCTTCCTGAGGTTCCCCAGGTGACCACACCTACTGATGAACAGACCGTTCATCCTTCACCCACCTCTTCTCGACGGTCGTCAGTTGCCGACGACAACGTCTCCAGCGTTGCATCCTCCATCTCCTCCCTACGACCTTCTCTCCCTCCCCTTCCCAAGCTTTCTACCACTCTCCTTGCCAACGAGGAATACAGTCCTGTCGATAACAATGACAACGACTTCAACTCGTCTTCTCGGTTCGACAGTATGGTTGCTTCCAGCGCTGGTAGCAGTGCCACCTACCTCAGCCGTGACTCTGAGGTCAGCATTGTTTCGCAGTCTTCCACTCGAGCTACCACTCCTGAGCAGAACCTTGCCCCTCAGAAGCAGCCTTCGCTGTCGAATTTCAGCAACGGTGGAAGCTCGGAGGATGTCGATGTCGAGTCAAGACTTATGGAGAAGACCTTTGCTCACGAGCTCATGTTCAACAAGGAGGGTCAGGTTACTGGCGGCTCTCTCCCCGCTCTTGTCGAGCGTCTCACAACCCACGAATCTACTCCCGATGCCATGTTTGTTTCTACCTTCTACCTCACCTTCCGCCTCTTCTGCACACCGGTCCGACTGGCTGAAGCGCTTATTGAGCGATATGACTATGTCAATGACTCTCCTCATGTGGCTGGACCTGTCCGTTTGAGAGTATACAATGCTTTCAAGGGCTGGCTCGAGTCCCACTGGAGGGATGAGACCGATCGCGATGCTCTTGACTTGATCATGCCCTTTGCTGAACACAAGCTGGCGTCCTCTCTGCCTTCTGCTGGTCGACGTCTGTTTGAGCTTGCTCAGCGTGTCTCAGGCGAGGGTTCTCTGGTGCCCCGACTTGTCTCCTCAATGGGCAAGACCAATACCTCCATTGCTCAATACGTGCCAGCTGACACTCCTTTGCCCATTCCTGCCATCACCAAGGGCCAGCTCAACCTTCTCTCTGCTTTCAAGATGGGCGCCGCTCAGCCAAGCATTCTTGACTTTGACCCTCTCGAGTTGGCTCGCCAGTTGACCATTAAGCAAATGAATATCTTCTCTTCCATCCTTCCCGAGGAGCTTCTTGCTTCTCAGTGGATGAAGAATGGTGGCGTCGCCGCTCCCAATGTCAAGGCTATGTCCTCTCTGTCAACTGATCTTTCCAACCTCGTCGCTGAGACTATCCTCCAGCAGCAAGAGGTCAAGAAGCGTGCTCAGGTTATCAAGCAATGGATCAAGATTGCTCACCAGTGTCTTGAGCTCCACAACTACGACGGTCTTATGGCTATCATTTGCAGTCTCAACAGCAGCACTATCAGTCGCCTCCGAAAGACTTGGGATGCCATCTCCACGAAGCGCAAGGACATGCTCCAGAACCTTCAGGATCTGGTCGAGCCCTCTCAGAATAACAAGGTCTTGCGAACAAGACTCCACGACCACGTTCCTCCTTGCCTGCCCTTCCTTGGCATGTACTTGACCGACTTGACATTTGTCGACATTGGCAACCCTGCCACCAAGCAAATGTGTCTCGGCCCTGAGTCTGAGGAGGATGGCAACGGTGGCATCACTGTTGTCAACTTTGACAAGCATACTCGCACTGCCAAGATCATTGGAGAGCTTCAGCGATTCCAAATCCCGTACAGACTTACCGAGGTGCCTGATATGCAGGACTGGATGTCCTCTCAGATCAGCCATCTCCGTGATAGTGAGGAGGGCAATGTCCAAGTCACCTACTACCGCAAGAGTCTCCTCCTCGAGCCTCGCGAGACTGCTAGCCGACCTCCAGTTGACTCCTCCGCTGCCTCCATCGTTGGCGTTGGAGGTGGTCGCCCCGACCTCTTCAGCTGGATCTCCCGCGACCGAGGCACCTCAACACCAACTCCTACCCAGATATAAGATTCTGCTTATCGCATCAGATCCTTACCGGACTGAACAGCAATTTACCTTCACCATTATCACACGCACATATTACCTCCCACCAGTAACTACTTCATTTTTGATACCCCCCATTTTTGTTTGAACTACTTTCAGCAGATGGGAAACATCGTCATGTTCCTTATGACCTCTATATCCATCAGCACAACGGCGTTATTTACATTTGGGTCTGATAATTTATGTTTTACGGTTTTCAACTCGGTTCCCATGGGTGGAACTTGTTCAAGGATCTTATCACGAAGCGCGAGCGCTGGGTCCTTTGGTGTTCGACACTCACTTTAGAGATCGTCGGCCTCCCTCCAAATTTCAGGGTACAGCTCATCCCGCATTCTTACATTCTACTTTCTCACATTCATTCTCTTCCTGGTTTTTGCATCCCTGTATTATCTCTTCAGGCGAAGATGGGGCAGGGCGGTGGAAAAAAGGAAAAATAACCTCTGGGCACGGGTGCATTCGAAAACGGCTTGTAAACGATCATGGGTGCCTGGGTTGTTTTATTTTTTCTATCCTTGGGTTTCTCTTTAATGTATTCTCAAACGCCGCCGGCGCGAAAACGAGTGTATCTGATTCTTACTGTATGAAAAAGAGACGGCAAGCCTGTCGTTTTATGTTTGTTATTCATCATCGAACTTCTGGGAAAGGAGTCTGGTGAATCAAGGACTAGACAGGCAGGACAGGTGATGGAAAAGAAAGACAAAATGGATGTATTCTGCAATAGAATAGGAAGAACAAAAAGAAGAATTAGGATCTATCGTCCTTGAAACTTGTTTCCTCTGCAACTGTGATAAAACGTGTCTACTAACTTGAGGTGAGTATCATAAGTCTAATATATGGCCGTCACTTGGTGAGCATAATGGTAGAGCCTCAATCATATGCAGGAACGAAAGTTGAAGACAAAGCCATTGATGGCACATGTATTCCTCTAGATATAAACGTAAATCTTCATTAACTTGCCTCATGCAGTGTAATACATCGTCAAGCAATAACCCAATCCATGGGTATCGTGACCCATCCAACTCCCCAATGCATACATGCTGAACGCCGATATATCATTAAAATATTAAGTATTCTTATAAATAGTAGTCCCTTTTATCTCTCTCCCTTATCTACGCGTCTGTGAGGGCGATCTTCTTATCTGTAGGTGCGACAATGACATCCTCGATCTTCTCGTCGCTGAACTTGAGATCCTCTTCAACAGAGACAGAGTCCTGGATCTTCATGAAGATAACGGGGGCGGCGATGACGAGCGAAGCACCGAGGCAGGCCCATGTGGCGGCAAAGATAGTGTCGAATGGCTTGCCGAGGCCGTCGAGACGCCAGAAGATGGCAGCACCGGCGGATTGGATACCCTTGTAGAAGCCTGTTTTGATGAATTAGTGCTCGGGTATGGACACATGTGAGAAGGATGATTGGGGCTTACCAGCAAAGTTGGCTGTCTTGCGGCCAGAGTTGGAGAGAGCACCCATGTACCAGTAGATGCAAGTCTGCCAAGCAGCATCGAAGAAGCCGTAGAAGAAGTAGAGGAACATGGGAGCAAGGAACTTGTGAGCACCATCATCCCAGTCAATCTTGTCATCCTCGTTAGCAGGGTTCATGGCGATCTCACGAGGTCGCTGGTCCTTCTGCCAGGCATAGCCACCACCCCAGATAGCAAAGGTCAGAACAAAGAGGACGACCAGGGAGATCTTTGCACGAACACTGCGACGGACGCTAGAGACGTCAAGAGCGTATCCAACGATAAGGGCGCCAAAGATCTGAGCAAGCCAGTAGAGTAAGTTGTTGAGAGCGCGAGTGCGAACGTTGAACTGAGCGAGGTTCATATTGACGTTTTGGTAAGTGTAGAAGATGTTTGAGGAGAAGAACATGGGGAAGAGGAGGACGACCCAGGGGGCGTGGGAGAGTGTTTCCCACAGACCCTTGATCTCAGTGCTCCATGAGGGGTTCTTCATGACGATGACCTTGGTGTTGTCCTCACGGACGATCTTGTCGGCGTCGCAGATCATGAGGGCGAGGATGGCACCGATGGCCATGAGAGCGATGAAAGCGGCGTATGTGCCATCGGAGACGGGGCCAGCTTTCTTGTTGATGTTTTGAGCAAGGGGGATCTTTCACTTGTTAGTGGAGATCAAAAGGATAGATAGAAGTAACTCACAAGAGAACCGATGACAGCACCCATGTTGAAGATGACCCAAAACCAAGAGATGTATCGTCCCTTGCTCTGCTCAGGAGGATAAGACATCATGATAGATCCCTGAGCAGCCCACAAGAGTCCAGCGCAAAGACCCAAGAGAGCACCAGCAAAGACGACAAAGGGCATGTTCTGAGTATGCGAATAGCACAAGAACGAAGCAGCATAAACACAATATCCCAAACCTCCAATCGACAAAGTCAGACGAAGTCCAAGTCTGTTTGCGAAAGTACCAGCGAAGAAACCAATGACGGCAAAAGTGCTGTAGAGAGCCGTGTTGGCGTGGTCCTGGGCTTCATTGGAGACTTGGCCGCCACCTCCGAGGCCAGTCAGGGCGTTGAACATGCCGGGACATAAGAAGCAGACGATGGAGACCATGAGGAGTTGGACTTTGGGCGAGGCGTACCAGAGGTCAACGCCGGCGATGCGGACGGTCTTGTACATCCATCCTTTGGGGCGGAAGCCTGGTGTATCCGAGTCTGCGGATTCTGAAGCCGCTTGGGCGATGGGGTTTTCCTTTTCGTGAGTGGACATTGTGTGTGTGTTGATGTTGATATTCGAGATTGAGATGAGGGTCAATGCCCTGTGTAAGACAATTGATATTCTTCACTAGACAATTGAAGACAAGAAGATGAATGAATGAGATCCAAGAAATCCAGATAAATCCCGGATGCAGCAGAATTAAAGTAGTCGCGAGGAAAGATGGAGAGATCCAGGCACGCGACGTACTCTATCGTGAGGGTCCCCCAAAAAAATAAACTAGACCCGACCCCTGCCCGTCCTTGATAGTTACAATTGGGGAACTGTATCACGAGAAGGCGAAGAGAGGAAAAAAAGAAGGAGGATGGATTGTCAGGGGTCTCGTCAAGTGGTGAGAGTGGATGAGATGGGATGGCTGATGGATGGAAGATGGGGAATCGTGAGGGTGGTGCGGGTTAGTTACAGGGGGGTTAATGGGGAGATGCAACAATGGATGGAGGGTGTCGATCCGCTTACAGTGGGTGGCGTATTTTCCATTATTATCGACGTATCGGCCGAGGCCGACGATGACAGTTATTGCAGACATGCAATGCTTTGTGAAGACATCGTCAGGTATTACATATAACAATCGAGAGATTGATACCAAGAGTTGAGGCTCTGCAAAAAGGCCAATTCCGTTACCCTCGATGCAGAGTTGGTTAACTGCTTTCAACCGCCAAGTCTTCACACTCGTATCATCTCAAGACCACAGAAACTACATTCAGAAATGTCACCTCAAACTCACTCCCAAGCCGTCCACGGTATTCCCCAGATTCACAAGATCAAAGCCATCGTCTCCATGGGGTAACATTTCTCAAACATGAGAGGCTATCCAACTCGAGTGGCGTACCCTAACGGTAACGTTCGTGGATGTCACAGATGCCCCCCATTGGTAACGTTCTACCAAACTTTAGCTTCGTGAGAACAATTGTGGATTCGGCTGCCAGGCTGAGAGGAGGGTGGCTGATTTGGTCTACGGAGGTCATAGATTGCATTATCTCTGCAAGTTGAACTTGATGATATGTTTCTTGGCGATAGTAACATTTACAGTTCACTGTAGATCTCATGGTTGCTTTTCTGATGCCGTTTCAAGACAAGCCGTTGGGCATTTTTAGTTGTCCCCAAACCCCAGATCAATTTAGTTACCTTAGGGTCTTCCAGGGGAAAGGCCCGACTGCGAAGCTCCGTGATTGGCCAGACAGCACCGAATCTCCAGACTTCACAGCCCGTAACCAGTTGAACGGTACACCAATAACCAACCGTTTTTCTCTGTCTTCAAGTCACAACACCCAAGATATACATAGATATACCAATACGAAGATGCAGCTCTCATTACGAAAATTGCCATCTTGCCATCTTGTTTTTAGAACATGTCACCGGCCCCGGTAATGCCTTGCTCTTCTCGTAACATCCGATACTCATCACGATAACCCAAAGTCTCAGCTATCTCCCCCAAGCTCTGACCATGAGGTGAGAGGTCCAATTAATTTATATCCGCATGTAACGTTTCGCCCAAACTGCGGATACCACGATATCTCATGTCGAACGGTTCCACGGCCTGCCTGATTTGACACTCGTGGATTTAACTACGTTTCACTTCAGCCGCATTTGTTGGGGTTGTTGTGTTCCTTCTGAGCAGGTAAACCGAGATAAAGCGATCCACTGATTGATTACCTGGTTACAGTGAGTTGGGCTGGAGATATCAGAATGGAGTCTTGGCCTTGCTGCATCGTGATAGCGATAGTAACTGATATGCATGTTACGTTGTTGAGATAAACAACTGCCATTGATCTGGTTGCAACTCTGTTTAGCGAGCGTGCATATAACAATCGCTTCTGATGCATGGGTCATGATTGACGATCCGTGTCCTCGGTACCCATGACTTGCTGCAATCAATTGGTGTCTAAAGTGCTTTGGCGTAGTTGCATTGTATAGGTTTGTGCATAAATGTCCTCGTCCCCCGTTTTGCGCTCTTATATAAAAGCGAGAAGCTATTGGATAGGATTGTTTTGACATGCAAGGTACTACTTTGACAACGTCAGCTAAATAAAGTGTGCATGATGATTTACAGCAATGCCGGTGCACAGCCTGTCATGTTGGCAGTTGATGTCATGCTAGCTTATGAATCTGGTGTAAGCAAGACCTCCAATAGAACGCCGGTTGACCAAACAACAATTTACATCCATTGTCAATGAATCCAATTGGAAGCCTGTCCTAAAAGGATATTTATAAGTGGCTGTCAGAATTACAAACCCTGATGGCCTTCTTTGATTCATCTTGAAAACATTTGAGCTTCATGTAATACTGCATATGCGCTCTCTGGACAACACTTTCCAAATCGAACAAACTGACATTGCACAGGTCAATTGTTAAAGAAATACAAAGACCATGATGATATTTTTCCGATGCCATTATTTGTCATGATTGCCATGGCCCTCCTTTGTTGAATCTGGCCATTAACATCACGTGAGCCTGACAAATTCTCACACTCTGATTCGCTCGGACAAGATCGGGGAGCCATTCTGACGTACCAGCGGTCTCCGGCAACAAACGCCTTTTAGCACCGAGGAGCCGGGCTTTGAAATCATAAGCCTCCACTATCCATCCACTAAACCTTTGCCTCTCTTGATACCAATCCTCAACCTCAACATCACCACCACATGCGCCCACAATGTTTGCCTCAAGATCGATAACGAGAATCGCCCTGCGACGAGGATGCCCTCTGAGGCAGTTCTCAACGTCGAGACCTCTCGCTGTGTCCTACCACTCATATACTCTTCCAACACATACCTCGACGCCTCCCAGAAACGACGACGTTCCTGAAACTTCAATAACACAACCTGATCCTCTTCCTAAGGTCCACGAGACACGACCTCCTCCTCAACAACCTCAGCACCCTCAACCACCTAAGCAACAAGAACCCGCACCCACGCAAAATGCTGCTCCCGCCGCGTCGGCATCAGCTCCGAAGCTCAGCGAAACAGAAGCTCAGAAACCAAAGGCAGCCAGGCCACGACCTAAGCTACGACCGCGCAAGGCCGCTATGAAGTTGACGCCCTCTGCGGTGGAGCAATTGCGAGAATTGCTGGATCAGCCGGAACCGAAGCTCATCAAGGTCGGAGTACGGAACCGAGGATGCAGTGGCTTGGCGTACAATCTTGAATATGTTGATAAGCCGGGTGCTTTTGACGAGACGGTCGAGCAGGATGGTGTCAAGGTCTTGATTGATAGCAAGGCGCTGTTTAGCATCATTGGGAGTGAGATGGATTATGTTGAGGACAAGCTTAACCAGCGGTTTGTGTTCAAGAACCCGAACATCAGTAAGTTGCCACGACAGTCACAGATTGTCATAATACTAACAGACCTTTCAGAGGAGGAATGCGGCTGCGGAGAGTCCTTCATGGTTTAGAATGGAAGCCAGCGTTTGGTCATCGCACCGGCATATACGAAACAAAGCATCACTCACGAGACGACGTCATTCATGCTTGAACGACAGGGATATGTAAGAATCATCCCGTCCTCTCAGCACAAGAGACACGAGAGTCCGGAAATGATCAAAGTTCAGCGAGAGACAGCATGCATAGAAGCATTTGCGAGTCGCACCTTGTAAAAACCAAAAACAGGAGCCGTCGGGAGCAGGCATGGTAACCCCGTAACTAGGATCGGCATAATCATTGGCGTTGGGTTAGATTGGAGACATCACCTCCCTCTGTTTGAGAAAACATATTTACATACATACATATACCAGCGTGCCCCTTTTTGGTACAGAAATGAAGACACATGGAGTAATGAGATGGTCACAGCTAAGGGGATTAAGTATATTGGATTGATGATATTCATGTGTATAACGGCACTGGCTACATATAAAGTACATTGCTTGCTCTCTATCCTCTGTACAACGTTCTCATGTGAAGCTCTTAGGCAAGATTATGTATTACGCGATGCCTGGAGATGTGTGACAGCTGACTCACGAAGCCTCAACGTATCAACATCTTCACAAAAGCCTGGGGTGTTAGATCAGATATACTGAGGCTGGACCCAGCTGTTCTTGAATGTGAACTGATTCAAACGGTGCGTTCTAACAAGGCTGCAGAGTCGGGATAGCATTGGGAAGACCAGTCGGCAGATTTGAGCTTGGTGTATAGTCCCGCTTTGCTTCTCCTGCTTACATAAAGCACATCTGCGGATCAGGTCAAGATGGCCGGGGTCTAAGGCGCTGCACTCAAGACGTTGTCTTATCCCGTTAACTGGGTTCTTGCAGTATCGAAAGATTCTTAGGTCCGAATCCCAATCTTGACAATTTGTTTTTTGTTTCTTCGTGACCACGATTGCTTTTTACTCTACATTTATAGATGCTACTGTGTAGGTAGCCTCGCTCGTGTATTTATGGATGTCTCTCATTCTAGGTCGCCTACGGAGCTTATGTTATGTTATGTATGAGGCGGAACCTGATACCCTCCGTGTCTGCATCGATAAAGGAATGAATACTTTACATTTCAGTGATGTTCATTATCATATGCTCTCTTATTGATTTCATATATGTCAGCAATTCGTGCACAACACATCAGACTGGCTGCCTGTTGATGCGCGTCACATGACTTCGCGATATGTGTTGCTCTAGATGTTGGCGTCGACCACGCCCTTTGACGTGACGCATCTTTAATGACCGTGATTTAAATCGTGACTCTTCCGTTTACTCTTTGACTTCCTATCGACATTGCAAGCCATCACATAGCTAATACCTGCAACTTAGAACTTGCCCTTACATATAGTTCAACGCACTGCACTTGTTGTACCACCTCTGCTGAGAGGAGAGAGCTATGGCAGCCATCACCAAAAGCAAGCGACCCCTTGAAGAGCCCCAAGAAGAACGCAAAGTCAAAGTCACAAAGACCAAGAAACAAGCATCACCGACCTCACCGACCTCACCGACCTCACCTGCTGACTTCACCACAATCATGGCTTCTCAATTAGCTCTCATCGAAGCATCCACCCGCACACCATTTGAGAAGAGTGTGTGGACACTTCTCTGCCAGATTCCACGGGGGAGCTTCTCAACATACGGTATCATGGCCGCCCATTTAAAGTCGTCACCAAGAGCTGTAGGCAATGCGCTGCGACGAAATCCATTTGCACCAGAAGTACCATGTCACCGCGTTGTAGCTACTGGAGGTGCGCTGGGTGGGTTCAAGGGGAAGTGGCCTAAAGATGGTGAGGGAATCACTCTTGATGAGAAGAGGAAGCTTTTGAGAGGCGAAGGAGTGAGATGGGATGATAAGGGGAAGGTTATAGGAACACCGTTTGGTGGATTTACATGAATTACCTTAGTCTCTATGAGATATTAACTGTATTTTGTGTACAATAATGAACATCATGAAGTTGAGTACCTCATTCAACATCCTATCACTGGACGTCTTTCTCCATGTGGGGGAAATACGGTCAACAACATGCCTATTGTAGCCGAAACCCGGAGACGTTTTAGCATCCAACGACAACGTTTTTTATTCGTGCTTCACCTTGGACTCACCCGAGACGGATTTGCATGACCGGTTTTCACAGCTCGGTAGTCTTGTGCCGCGCTGGAACAGGTTTGGCGGTTAGTAAAAAAGTGGATTTGCCAGAGCCCTGAGAGGACGTTAGATGCTGGATCTTGGTCACCGAGATCCAATGTAAATGTGACGAGCCCGCGGGAACAGGTGTTGGTTGTCATGTTATGTCGTGTCATTTGCTCGGAGAAGCGATATATTTTGTAGCATCGCCGAGGACGTTGAGGTCAAGTCTGTACAAAGTCAATTACATAGAGGCACTTGCAGAGAGGAAACGGGTACCAAAGGCATTGTAAAACATGAAATGCACCACAATTCAACACAATTATATCATTATCAAATCGGTGAATGTCTTTTTCCGTATACTTGTCTGGTTCTGTCTCCAAGTTAGCCCGACAAATCCCGTGCCCAAAATAGTGGATCAAACCACAGAGCACAAGCCTAGGTTAGTGGTCTGTCTGAGGCTCCTGATTGATTGAGCGCCGTAGCTTCGTGGATTTGGTTTTCCTCGTCATCCGAAAACCTCTTTTTCTACTGTTACCTCCTTGTGACGATCTAAACCGCTCTCCCTCTCTCCCTCTCTTTATCCCCTCAAGTCCCTCCCTCTCTCAATCATATCCCCAATCTCCTCTCTTCCTTTATCCGTCACAATGTTCAAGCTCGGCCGTAGTCGTGCTGTGGCTTCGGCCCTCAACGCCTCAAAGGTATGTCCCAGTTATTATTGCTCGCTAAACAAAAGCTTGGTGATGCGCTTGATATACAAACTGTTGCTAACTTTGTTGCTTGGTAGCTCCAGTTTGCTGCCCCTGCCGCTCGATTCCCTGGCGTTCAACAACGACGAGCTCTGAGCATTCACGAGTACCTCTCTGCCGACCTCCTCCGACAGGTAAGGTTTTATCTACTCAAAGTCCCCCCCTTGACGATCGTCGATACTACGAACTACAAACTACGGGACTCACCCTTAAAAAAACCACAGCTGCTAACCACCAACAGTACGGCATTGGTGTCCCCAAGGGTTCCGTCGCAAAGTCCGCCAAGGAGGCCAAGGAGATCGCTGAGAAGATTGGCAACGATGATATGGTTATCAAGGCCCAGGTCCTTGCCGGTGGCCGAGGAAAGGGTACGTTCGACAACGGCCTGAAGGGCGGTGTCCGTGTCATCTACTCTCCCCACGAGGCCGAGATGTTCGCCGAGCAGATGATCGGCCACAACCTCATCACCAAGCAGACGGGCGCTGGCGGCCGTCTCTGCAACGCTGTCTACATTTGCGAGCGCAAGTTTGCTCGTCGTGAGTTCTACCTCGCCATCCTCATGGACCGTCAGAACCAGTGCCCCGTCATCGTCTCCTCTTCCCAGGGCGGTATGGACATTGAGACCGTTGCCAAGGAGACCCCCGATGCCATCAACACCAACTACATCGACATCAACGTCGGTGTCACCGACGAGGTTGCCCGCGAGATTGCCACTAAGCTCGGCTTCAGCGAGCAGTGCATCGAGGAGGCCAAAGACACCATCCAGAAGCTCTACAAGATCTTCACCGAGAAGGACTCTACCCAGATTGAGATCAACCCCCTCTCCGAGACCTCCGACCACAAGGTTCTCTGCATGGACGCCAAGTTCGGTTTCGACGACAACGCTGAGTTCCGACAGAAGGATGTCTTTGAGTGGCGCGACACCACCCAGGAGGACCCCGATGAGGTCCGCGCCGCTGAGTCCAACCTCAACTTCATCAAGCTTGACGGTGATATCGGCTGCCTTGTCAACGGTGCCGGTCTTGCCATGGCTACCATGGATATCATCAAGCTGAACGGAGGCCAGCCCGCTAACTTCCTCGACGTTGGTGGTGGTGCCACTCCCGCTGCTATCCGAGAGGCTTTCGAGCTCATCACCAGCGATGCTAAGGTCACCGCTATCTTTGTCAACATCTTCGGTGGTATCGTCCGATGTGACGCTATCGCCACTGGTCTCATCAAGACCGTTGAGAGCATGAACCTCAGAATCCCCATCATTGCCCGTCTCCAGGGTACCAACGTTGAGCAGGCTCACCAGCTCATCAACGACTCCGGCCTCAAGATCTTCTCCATCGATGACCTACAAACCGCCGCCGAGAAGGCTGTCCAGCTGTCCAAGGTCGTCAAGATGGGTAAGTTGCCTCGACCCTTATAGTGTCTGTTCTGATTGCTAACACTTGAATAGCCCGTGACATCGATGTCGGTGTCGAGTTCACCCTCGGTATCTAAACAGCTCCACTTGAAAATGCTGTTAGACGAGCAGTGGTGAAGGATATGATATAATAACAAGATGTGAGACTTGAGCTCCAGGAGGCTGCGGTCCCAACCAAAACCGAGAGTAGATGAAACAAACACTCATGAAAAAGAGTGGGAGACATGGGTGGATATTCCTGTTTTTTTAATTTAGCATGCATCGGTCGGTCTTTGGAGCTCGCTGCTCGTAAAGACACATGGTTTCGATGCTCTCGAATGTGTCCGATTGGTTCGATAGAAGGACGGATGATTCAAAGGATGGACGGGCGATATGGTCTCCAACAAGATGATTTTTCGCGTATCCACGCCCTGCAACTGTTGTATTCCTGATGCTGTGATTTGTGATCTGGTGTGGCGTGTGAGGTGAATGGTGACGATTCGTCATGTCTCGTGAGATGACAGCCAAAAAATGAGGCTCTCGAGATTTATTGTCGTGCTACCTTGGACCCCAGGCTTAACAGAAGGAGTATTCCATACAGCCAACTTTGACTTATATCGAGTCCATTTGATACAGTGATGGGTTCTAGAGTGATGAGAGCAGCTGAGGTGTCTAAAGAGTCATTCTCAATAAAGACGAGTCTTTACTGAGTGAATAAGATCAAGTCACAGATGGGCTGTTAAACTAAATATGTATAAGAAGACAATTCGATGTTTCGGTCCAGACTCGGCTAATAAGTCTCTCGGATGTAAGGGTCCAATTTCATGCATCGTCTCAGAGCCGCATTTTTAGCTCATAATGGGATGATTTCAACTCGTTGACAAAATGTGTTAATAATGGATCAAAGGGTTAGACATAGGGACACGAGTATTAGGACAACCTCTTCAAGTTAAAGAAACAAAAAAGAACAAGAAGTCATTCGGGAATACTATAACTTAGATCATCGAGGTGCAGTTGAAAGGCACCCATCGTGGGCAAGGCTTGGCGATCTCTCGTCTCGCCGCACACCATCACGACCTAAAGTCAGCCTCAACTTTTCCACGACTCCCTGCAAATATCGTGACTTTTCTCTTTTCTCATCCTTTATCTCCACTACATTTATCATATCATATCAACCAAGCACAGATATCCATGACTCACCATAACTGAAATCTCTGAACAAGTTTTTCCCAACTTATCCTCGGCTATTCCCCTTGCCAAAGACCCACGTTTCAATGATGAAAATCTCCTGACGTAGATAAGACATCGGATCGAGCCGCAAAAGGGGAACAGCTTTTAACCAATGGGTTCTCGTTCCGTTGAGGTTCGAGGCGGGAATTGCGTCGGTTTCATTTCCAGATCCACTGCGGAAGAGCCGCATGCAAGATTTATACAGACGAAGGGAGGTGTGAGGTAGGATTTGCGAATGCCGACGCAAGACCGACGCGGGAGGAGTATCTGAGATGGAATCTGTAGATGATGGTGAGTCTCGTGATGTTGGGGATTATATAGATGAGGCTGATGGTGAGCTATGATGGAATATAGGGTGATTTGGAGAAAACGGAGACTCGAAAACAGTTAATTGTCTTAACTTGGTGTTGTTTTCATAAGTGAGTTTGAAGGCGTGTAAGTCAACCGTTACTGGTTGTATAGGTCAGTTTAGTATATCTAACAGCTTGCTAACTCAAGAAAACAACGCACCGATACCATTACCATTAGACTATAGTAGCAGTTACAAACAGTAATATAAACTCTACAGCCAATTACCTATATGCTATGGCTTTGCTGTCCTGTCTCGTAGTGAGCTCACTCGATCATCCGTCAATCTCACGTGCCAACGCCTCCAAACCACTTCCCCTCAACACGCAACACCCAAACTTCACAAGCCGTTAAACCCAATGAAACTGCACGTCGAAATAAGGCCACAACTTTAATCAGTTGCCGCGCTTATCCCCCGTCTAGCACGTGTCCCCCTTTCCCCAGGCCGACGATTGGGGAGGAAACGCGGGGAAATGGAGATTTATTTCTCGTGAGGGGAACAAAAACCGCGCCATAATCCATCCCATGTAAGAAAGGGCCTTGGCTCTGGGGAAATTCGGTCAAGAGAGAGATTCGTAGGAGGAGATATAAAACGTCTAAGAGAACGTGGTAAAAAGTGAAGGCATCGCGATTTGATATGTAGATTTGCGAACCCACTCTTTTTCCGGACGTCTCTCGGTATCCGGCTGAGAAGAGGAGGCTGCCCCATTTTGTTGCCGTGCATGGGTCAGGGGTGGGCTTGGATGGCTTCGAGATTTTTTGATGGATGAAAAGAATACTTTTGCAAAGGAGAAGCTCGGGTTGGTTGTAGGTCCCACATGCTTGAGAAATGAAGAAACATAAATACCCAAGACATCCTCTTCATTCTTTCGTGGAACTGTAGTTTATTCTTGTCTTCTTTGATCTTAGCAAGCGACTTACACACAACTTCATCTTATACTTGAGATATCTTCAGGCTCGACAAGTCTTACATTCATCTTACTACTCAACATTACTTCAACCACATCAACCTCACTCATACTCAAGATGCCTTCTTCAGTCAAGAGCTGGTTCGCTCGTCACTGCGCACCTCCACCACCAATGACAAACAACCCTCTATGCCCATGCACGACCTGCTTCAACGGCGGTTCACACTCCAACAACTCAGCATCATTCTCCATGTCCCCATCACCATCGTCAACCGTCGACTCAGACAACGCATCACTCAGCAGCGGTACAACCTATGCTGCATCCTCATACATCGAGACCCCCACCAAACAATAAAACCGAACACACACACACACACACACACACACCCTGGTCTGACGAATTACGATCGGAGCGAATAGCGAGTTTTATCTCATGGAGTTTTTGATTATACCATTACTTGCGATTGGCGTTTGCTCGGAAACAACAAGGGATGTCATTATCACATCAGAAATATGACGGGAATTGATTGGGCTTGGGTTTGACGGGGCCGATGTGGGCTCATCCGATGGGTGGAGTGCTGATTCGGATCGGCTCCGAGGCGGAGTTTACGTATTATTATGTTAGATAGGGTACCTGACACTACTGAATAGAGTACAGTACTGGCCTGTCGATTGTTGTCACTCTCGGAACGTGAGATCAGCATCAAAAAGTCGGACCCGATTATCCCCTGTTCTCTTCATGAAGACAGCCGTATGATTCCAGTAGAAACAGCTAGGATCTGTTTGACAAGGAGCCGCACAGCAACTACCTTGCCATTCAAGAGATTGGCCAAGAGTAGGGTAATCTGGAAAATCCTGCAGGTACTCTACAGATCTAGGGTCTTCTGTCACCCACAAAAGAAAAGCATGGAATTGCGCTGCAAATGTCTCAGTATTTGAGATCCTCACCCATTCACTTGTGACAAGGATGTAACAAGGAGCATGACAAGCCTAGTACATTTTGGCTCAACATGAGTCATAAGATAATCTCTGACTTGGTTATCTTATTACTTAGGAATCACTGTTTATGGGTTAATTGCGGGCAGCTCCTTTGTTGTCAATGTAGAGTGTCACTGTCACCTACTGCATTCACTAATCTGATGACTATGCCGAAGAAACTCGCCTCGTACTTTCACCAGAACCCATACATACTTGAATTTGGTTTCTTCTTTGAAAGGGTGTCTTCTTCTCCGGAAGACTATCCGGAGGGCGGCCCGATATGCAAAAGACCGGCGCCGTGAATTACAGTAAGCTCCCGGCCGGCCCCACTCACTCCGAGTTAAAGCTCCGGACTTGAGTTTGTGAGCCTCAACCTTTATATCAAAACTTGTAGTAGCAGCGGGACTACCGAGTGAGATACAAGGTGATGTAGTACTTTGCTCATGACTACTGAGTTCTTTCTCTAGTCCTCTCGATAACAAATTTGGTTGATCATAGTGCGAAGATGGCTTAATGGCAGTGAACAGTCTGTTCACTGAAGACACACGGCTTGGACACCTCTCAACAACGGCTGCGGCAACAACTTGCTATGATGAAATGATAACATCATATCTCCTTCTGTACTTACATTATTCCAGAAAAAATAAGCAGAATAAGTCACTGCGTTGCAATGCTCCAAGCTTCCGTGCATATTTTCGCATTACTAACACCAAAGCTTTGACGTCACCTCATCATCCCACACAATCTTCCCATCTTCATACCAGCCAAGTTGAGTTTGGAAAACACCGCAAACAGCTCGTGTACCTGAAAATCGCCACGCTTATATACCCCCGAAACCTCTGGATATCATGCCACATACGAAAGTCGACCCCGCTATCATTGAGGCCCTGGGGCTGGACCCCGCCAACTCGGCTATCAACTCTCATGGTGGATCGGGCTTTGCTTCTACGTTCAAGATAACGTCTGAGAAAGACGGGAAGCCTTTGAATTACTTTGTCAAGACTGGTACAGGGAAGGAAGCCGAGGTTATGTTTAGGGGTAAGTATACGTTTTATACACAACTATCTGATATCATGATCTAACAGAGCTCAGGTGAACATGCCTCCCTTAACGCCATAGCAGACTCAGTCCCAAACTTCTGTCCCAGATCTCACGCCCATGGAGCTCTAGCAGGTCGTTCAGGCCAATATTTCCTCGCCACTGACTTTCTCGACCTGGGGTCCTCAGCACCTGGAGGTTCAGGGAAGACTCTAGCTTCAAAGGTTGCGCAGCTACACACAACGCCTGCTCCCATCCCAGAAGGCTATGACAAGCCAATGTTTGGGTTCCCAGTCCCTACATGCTGCGGTGCTACAGAGCAAGATAACTCATGGCGGGAATCGTGGGCTGACTTTTACGCTAACAACCGTCTGAGACATATCGCGCGTCAGGCAGTTCGCAACAATGGTTCTGATCCTGAACTCGAAGAAGTTGCTGAGAAAGTTGCGAGTAAAGTTGTGCCACGGCTGATTGGGGATGATGTAGTAAAGAACATCAAACCTGTCGTTATCCATGGCGATCTATGGAGCGGGAACCATTCCAAGGGGCAGATTGGAGGTCAAGGCGGATGTGAAGAAGTTGTCTACGATCCCTCAGCTGTATATGGCCACTCCGAGTTTGAACTTGGCATCATGAACATGTTTGGCGGCTTCACCAACCACTTCTGGAAGGAGTATCATGAGCTGGTACCAAAGGCAGAGCCCGTAGCTGAGTGGCCAGACAGAGTGAAGCTATACGAACTGTAAGACCTCCTTTTCCCCCAAACTCGAAGATACTAATATCGCCTCAGATACCATCACCTCAACCACTATGCCATGTTCGGCGGTGGCTACCGAGGAGGCGCCATGTCCATCATGAGGAAACTCATCAGCAAGTACGCATAGCAGATAGAAGTTCAAGATACTGTATTCCATGATTCAAATGCAGAAATGCCTCAACGCCTCGTGTTACCCGCTGTATACACCCAAGTCTAAGTATAGTAGAACGTCTCGAAATGTAAATGCTCTGTCCAAAATGCCTTGAAACCAAAATGTCTCGCTCCTCGTCTATGCTGCCAGCATGGCTGGTTGCTTCGCTCTATCGGCTTGTGCCTCAACCGGTTGGTTCTTCTGTACTTCTGGTAGATTCGCCACGGGGACAGAGGGTAACTTGGCTGGACCTGTGAGTTCGGCTTCGAGAGCTTCCAGTTCGTCTTCCACTTCTTGCTCGTCCTGATTCGAGATACGACCTCCAAGCATATCGCTGACTTCCTAGAAGTATGTAAGTATATTTCGAACCGCGAAACAATAGTATCGTAGTGACGTACCTGTTGATATGCAATAGCCTCCGCCGTCTCGCCCATCAACTTCTCCACATTCTCAATCCCACCCATCTCAGCATGAATCTCCTTCAGAACCTTGGTTCCCTGCTGCAGCCCAAACACCACATCCTTCTGTATAAGCGCAAACTCGACATCGTTCGTCAACTTCTCCAGCTGAGCTAATTGCGCATCTGTCTTGGCTAGTAGCGACTCTTGATACTTCTTGCGCCGTAGGGCTAACAGAGCGCGCTTCTTGTCGCCCTTGGCCAGCATCTGCTTTGCGATATCGGTCTCTTTATCTGTGAGGACTGTTATGCGCCGTTGGTATTGGTGAAGCCTATCGCGCTGATTCTTCATGTCCAGGATGGCCCTGCGGATTGTTAGTATTGAAGGCGGTCACGAGCGCAATCGCGGGGGGTGGGAGGGACGGACTTGTCCTGGGCTGTGACTTTACTTGCGTTTCCGCCCATGATGAGGATCGTGGGGACGGGTTTGGTGGTGTATGAGCTTGTCGAGAGGTTGTTAGGAGAAGGTGTGTGGCTGTTCAAGTCGAGGCTGGGAGTTTGAGGTTTCTGGTTTCGCTTCAATGATAGCGAGCGATTGTCACGAGGGAGACCATCGTCATCGGCGCTGATACTGGGGTCCAGGGTCTTATCGATAAGTCAGGCCTCTCTAAGTTGACATAATCCCTTGAGCAGATTTTGAACAATTACGTAGTAAAGATTATAAAACTTTAGTAAAGTTTTTATTAAAACATAAGAGATTTATAACAGATTTCCTAAGTTTAGATCTAAACAGTAAACCTTATCTGAAAATTAAATAGTAAGACCACTTCGATTGTACAATACCTCAATAGGTATCTGTAGTGGTCACACATATTGTAAGGCCAAAGGCATATAAAGTAGTTAAGACATAACTCCATATAAGGCATATAACACGACACCGAGGAAGAACAAGGATAGTCATAATATGGCTAAACAAGTGGAATTAACATATGAGCATTAAATTATGTTTCCCCCGTACTTGGTGGGTGAGCCAATTTCAATCTCAGTGGTCAAGACAACCATATTCGCCTCTGAAACACCGGCTTGTCCTTTTAATTTTGTCACCATCTCAGGCCTCTCAACTTTTTTTCCCCGTCCACAGTCTTCGGAGATCTTGAACCTCCCATCAACATCAGAGCCGACCGTCGGTGACGCGACACAGTCCCTGGGAATAATGACTCTAGGAGCCAAAAGACCTCGCCTCAACCTGAGGCAGGGCCTCGATCGCGATGTATACATGGTCATGAAGAAGCTCGAGGATGCGAATGACGGCAAACCCTTCAAGACCACAACAGCCGTCTACGAAGCTATCAAGAGGTCAAATTCCAGCCTCAGCCGACAGAAGAAACGCCCTCTTGAAGATTCAATCGACCGTGTACTTCAATTCCGCAAGGAAGAGCTCGGCGATTCAAGCGACTCTGAAGCTGAACTCGAAGAACCACCCAAGCCCGACGACGACCGTTTCCTTCTTAATAGACAAATGACGAAGCACTGGCACCAAAATACGACAACTGCTACAGAGGTAGAAACGGCAACTCCACCCACGAGCGAAGCGCCCCGTGCGATCAAGAAGAGACGAGTACAGCAAGATGGAGAAGAGCGGGTGAAGGATGGTGTGGTCACGCCCAAGGGCGCTTTGACGGACACAGATGCTGCGCCCACGGAAAAGCAAGACAAAGCACCTCTGAAGAAATCACAAAAGACGAGCCGCTACAAGGTCGAGCATCCTTCCGGTCCGATCGAGCTTGGGGGTGTGAAAGAAGTGCAGGAAGATATTATCGAACAAATACACTGGCTTCTCAAATGGCCAGAACTATACGCTGCCAACGGCTGGAGAGGGCTCCCTGGGCTTCTCCTCTCGGGCCCGCCTGGCATTGGCAAGAAGTCATTGATTCGATCAACAGCCGCGAAGCTCGACGTGCCAATTGTGTACCTTACCGGGTGCTTTGAGGACCTAGAGCGTATGGAGAGAAGCCTTAACGATGCGATCGAGGAAGCCATGCGAGTCGCCCCGTGCATCATCCTCATCGAGAACCTCGATTGGCATATGCCTAAGCCTGGAGGCAGTGGCCATAGCGAAGGCCATCGCCGCAACGTTATACAGTTCATGCGACAGATGCAGCGCATCGCAGCTGAGCAAGACAAGGACAGACACATTTTAGCCATGGCTACAACAGCAAGAATCACAGATGTCGACCCCGCAGTCCTCAAAACTGGACTTTTCGAACGTACGCTCCAGATGCGGATACCAGATCTTGGGGCTCGTCAGGATATCCTCAAGCTCGTTACCAGAGACATGAATCTAGCAGAGGATGTCGACTTTGCAGAGCTTGCCAAGATTACTCACGGCTTCGTCGGCGCTGACATTATCAACGTCGCGACACTCGCCCAGCGACAACCGCAGAGACGAATGAGGCTCGTCGACCAATACCGTTACCACTTACTCGACATTTCACAAATTCAATCAACCCAGCCGCAACCAGATCTCATGGAACTCGCCGACCAACAGCCGTCTGCCCCTTATCCTGAACCTCCTAGTGTACCCCTGGCCCAGGAAGACTTCAAAAAGGCTATCAAAGACTATACCCCTTCCCTACGAAAGGAGGGCTTCACCGTCATCCCCAACGTCTCCTGGGAGCAAGTCGGTGCTCTGCAAGCAGCCCGCGACCAGCTCAACATGTCAATTATCGGACCCATCAAAGACCCCGAGCTCTACCGTCGTGCTGGCCTCGGCCGTCCAGCGGGTTGCCTTCTCTGGGGCCCTCCTGGCTGCGGTAAAACCCTCGTCGCCCAAGCTGTCGCCAACGAAGCCCAGGCCAGCTTCATCCTTATCAACGGACCCGAACTGCTCAATAAGTACGTCGGTGAATCAGAGCGCGCAGTACGTGAGTTATTCAACCGCGCACGCTCATCAACGCCCTGCATCCTCTTCTTCGACGAAATGGATTCCCTTGTCCCAAAGCGTGATAACGCTTCCACAGAGGCAGGCACTCGTGTTGTCAACGCACTCCTCACTGAGCTCGATGGCGTCCAAGACCGCACAGGCGTATATGTTATCGGTACAACTAATCGACCGGATATGATCGACCCGGCTATGCTTCGACCCGGCCGTCTCAATGTGCGCCTCTTTATCGACCTCCCTACCCCTGACGAAAGGGTCGACATCCTCCGAGCCATCTATCGGACAAATCACCCCGACGCAGCAGCTGAGGAATTCGAGCGCCTCGAGTCTATTGCTCGAGACCACCGCTGTACCGACTTTAGTGGTGCTGATCTAGGCGGGCTGCATGTGAAGGCTGCCGAAAGTGCCCTTCGGCGATGCCTTCAGGGGGCTAAAATTGAAGCCGAGATCGACGGGGAGGACTGGGAGCATGCCCTCTCAACTACCTATAGAAGTGTGCAGAATCCTGAGACTTACCGAAAGCTCGAGGTTAAGTTAGGGAAATCTTAGATAATTTTATGATGATACTAGAGTATAATTCCTTAGATTTAGATAATATCATCCAAGATTATGATCCAATTTTTCCCCAAAGTTATAAATATACTCTAAAGAGTAGCTGGCTTTTGAGAATTATGATGATCCTTATGACAAGCTTGCCATAAATCTAAACTCATCACAACATCATCACTCTGTTTTCCTCACCTCCATGTCTCATCACGTCACACCGAACCCCAACCGCAAGCCACGGTGGCTAAAAATTTCTCCAACAGCTGTCAATGAGACCTCACCTCATTTTCATGTCAGGGGTAAAAAAGCAAAATCTCCAAAAAATCAGAGACAAGCACACCGCCCGCCGATCGCCGCAGGTCCCGCACACGCCGCCGGAGCAACGGAGGCGCACGGAAATAGCTCGGCAATCACAAAGTCATGATGAAAAAAACTTGGAGGGGGATCGAAAAAATAAAACATGCTCATGAAAAAGAACCGGTTTGCGCGGATGACCCTCTTTACGGGGCGATCGAGTATCGGGGATACGTAATCGGATTTGACGGCATTGAGATTGGTTCGTGGCATCGTATCATGGTAAAAATGACGTTCACAATTGATTCCAAATGCATAATTATGAGACATGAATGAAGTAAACAGAGGTGAGAGTAGAAGAAACGTTAATATCTCTATCGTAACAATTGGGCTATGATGCGGAAACATTTTTATTTTGGTCTCATGTCATTCCCGTCTTCCGCCTCAAACCAACGCCGGGCTTTCTTCTTGTTCGAAAAAAAAATGGTTGTGTTGTATCGGACGGAAGTCGCATAAAGAGGAGAGATGGGAATAGGATACGAAGCACGTGGCATGTCTTAACAAGTGCTGTGTAGAGTCTATAGTACAAACGCCCCTTGGCGGTCCCCATCTATCGAAAGTCGTAACATTACACGCGATCTATAGTCGCTTATTTGGTAGAGTCCTTGAGGTAGCTGTGGAAGAGATGTTAGTGACTGTTGTGATGCAGTGAGGAATGAGTGCATGGCAGTTTGGAATCATTGCATCGCTGTGACCCACGAGAGAATTGGCGAGCCAATGTCCAAAGCTGACTGCAACTCAATAGAGTATAAAAACTTACGCAATAAGGTCGTTGCGGTCCTTGGCCTTCTTCAAGCCACCGAAGGCCATCTTGGTGCCGGGGATGTACTTCTTGGGGTTCTCGAGGTACTCGAAGAGAGTGTCATCGTTCCACTCAATGCCCTTCTGCTTGTTGGCATCGGTGTAGGCGTAGCCCTCGACGGAACCAGTCTTGCGGCCCCAGAGGCCGTGCAGGGCAGGGCCGATCTTGTTGCCGCCGTCCTTCTCAACGGTGTGGCACTGAGCACATCGGGTCTTGAAGAGGTTGGCACCCTTCTTGATATCGCCTGGGACAATGTGAGTTAGTGAATGAGTTCTCGGTTGAGTGAGTTTTGGCTTTGGTGAGGCTGTGTAGACGAGGTTCGTGAGTTTGATGAGAGGACGGAGGAAGAGTCGCTTTGGTGTTTTAGAGGCGTGACACGAGTTGTTGGTGAGTCTTGGTGAACACTTCGTGGTCATGGGAAAACCGGTTCTGGGTAAATGACGCAGGCAACAGGGTCAGCGGGCCAACCTCAGCTGGTGACCAAGGCATGACTCTTTGCCATTGTGCAAGACCCAAATTCCCTCGAGACTCGAATTGAGGGTCGTGATATCCTCTGCGAAAAGCGTCTCCCCTTTCGTTCTCCTCAATTGCATCTCTCGAAGCCTTGCGCTACAACCGGCGCAAACCAAAGCACGCTGTGAGAATAGACTTACCGCCAGCCATTGTGGATGTGGTTTGTGATTAAAGAGTTAAAAGGTGGTAGTAAATTCAACGAGAGGCGTTAGCCAAAGACGAGAGCAAAAAGTCGATTGAGGGTTGAGAGTGTGGATGTGGGAAAAAGAAGAGAGGGAGAGAGGGAAAGAAAAAGATCCGAAGCAAGAAAATAAATCTTTATGACAGCATGACACGACTGGCTTAGGACTACGCCGGATCGCTCAATTCTCTTAGAGCGCCACAGGTGGCTGGTGCCATTTGGGCCAATCACAGCGCAAGAGTAAGTAAGCCGACATTCTTCCCCCTGTCGACCGTGAATGTGGCTCCGGGTAAAGTCGGGACATAGCACTCAAAAGCGGGTCCTCAATCGGCGATGGCTTTTTTTTCCGGGGTCGGTCAAGTCATGTCATCCTCAGGCTCTTCCATCAGTCTCATCATGAAGAAAAAAAATTGATTCCTCAGTCACGAGAATCTTGTGACCTTGTCAAGACCTTAGAGGCCCATACCGCACTAACCCCGTAAAAGCTTAGGGTCAACCGGCTCAAAGAAACGGAGTGGGACCTCCGTCCCGGGACCTCGTTTGTTTCTCAACGGCTCCGGAAAAAAGATTCTTCTTGTCTGGGCAGACGTGAGGGCATCACGAAACCACCACAACAAACAAAGTTCCAAGGCTAAGAGGTGGAACAACAAAGGCACATACTGTTGTAGTTTGTCACATATACCAACAATGGCATCTCGCGCCATCATCCCCCGCTTTCTTCTCCCTCTTCAGGGTCCTCTGTGGCGTGGTCTCAGCATCCCGCTCTCGCAGAACAGCATCCGAATTCGCTTTGCCTCTTCGTCCTCAAAGGGAAAGCCTATTGTTCTCGAGAAGCCCGCTCGCTTCAATCCTCCTTCTCATGGTTCTCGCCTCAAGAAGAACCATGTGCCTAAGCATTACGGCCCTGAGCTCACCGCTTCAGAGGTCGCTGCTCAGAACAAGAAGCATTATCCTGGAATGATGGCTCCCGAGGGAACGTGGGAGCACTTTTTCTGGCACAGTAGGCTTTTGCATACTTTCATCACCATGGTATGTCTACTATACAGCTTCAGCTGTTCAATTGCCCGCTGCATACTAACCCCCACCAGGGAACTCTTTTCGCCCTTGGTGTTTTCACCTTCTTCATGAACTACGCCTACAACTCCCCATACAAGGAGCTCGTACCTCCCATCTCAGACCTCTGGACGCACCCTCTTCACTTCTTCGTCGCCTGGAAGAACGTTATCGTCTTGCACGAGAAGGACAAGGCCGAGAAAGCCAGGGACCACCGAACGAACCACCTCGACGATGTAGCCAAGCGCCGACTTTTCATGAAGATGCACGGAATCGAGACCAAGGACCCTGTGACTGTTGTGTTTGGCAAGGGTGAGGAGGATCCCAAGCCCGAGCAAACTGCCGTGGAAGACGAGCCAGTGCAAAAGACTGAGGTGCAAGAGAAGGTTGAAGAGCCCAAGAAGAAGTGGTTTGGTGTCTTCTAAGATGCCTATGTAAAAACAAAGATGCAAGAATCTGCATGTATGATATAGCTGTAGCATAACGATCTCCATGCCCAGGGATCATACGTTGTACGATTACATGAAATCCAGCCTCATGAGGCTTTGTAGTTTTCTATCACACCCGTATTCAACTCATACGTAGCCTCATGTGAGCTCGACACCCTCCAGGCCCTCCAAAACCTCATCCGCAACTCCGCCCTTCTCCAGTACAGCCTGTATTATACTGTCCATTACTCCAAACTTCGTTCCACCCAATGGTGCCTTCCACACTCCCTCAGCTGTCTGAGCCTCTCCCTTTTGTGCAGTTCCATTCGTCGTATGTGGCACTCCGGGCGGTGTGAGCCTTGATGGCGGGTCAATGGTTCGGATAGACAACAACTTGAGCTCGCGGCTCTTCTTGTCAACCTCCATGTCGCCCTCAGTTGCAACTCGACGGACCTCCGCCACAGATACGGCCAGCGCTGTTTCCGCGACGGCCAATTCCTCCTTTGCAGGGTCGAAGATGATGTTGTCGCCAATCGCAACCACGAGAAGTGTGATAGATGGTCGTGAACCTGCTGCATCAGCACCATCGCGAGGGTACAAGAATGTCGACGCCTCCCAATCGTCGTCAAACATAGGATCCTCGTCGCCTTCAGACTTGAGACGGGGCAAACGGGTGGCCAGAAGTGCGAGGTGTGTTGTAAGTGAGAGTAGTGGGAGAGGGTATGATAGCGGAGGAGATATTAGTAGAACCTGTACCATTTTAGCATTGCGTTTGCTTCTTTGTATTATGAGCACATACGTCGAGATATAGTCGCCAGTGAAACCGTCTGTTGATTCTCAATTTCTTGGCAAACTCATTATCTGCCAATAGCGCCTCTCTCAACATTTCTGCCAGGAATATTGTCGAGGCTTCATCATCTCTCTGTCCTGGGATCTCAACTGCCAATTCGAGCCAGTCACCCCTTGTTCGATCTTCTTCGTCCCGCTGCTCCTCGCTTCCTCCAGTCTTCTCAATCTCAGCCTTGACTCCTACAATGGCCTCAGTGCCATCAGAGAAATGTACGCGCGCGCTGCCATTTGTACCAGGAAGAACGCCCGTCTCTGCTGTCAAGGGACGGAATTGTGTCGGTGTGCGCCCATCGGGGCGGATTGGAGGATGTAACGAGAGTGACTGGTGAAGATAGGCAAGTTCGGCTGGCGAGAAGAGATTTATCTGGGACGCCATGATGATGATGGTACAGGCAAATTCCCAGTAGGCAAGACTGTAATACGAAGCGCTGAAATCAGTATCAAAGTTAGCGCGCTTGGCCGCTTGAATGGGAGATGCGACGCGAAACAGTAATGACGCTGGGTTTTGGTGTTGAAAGAAAAGGTTGGTCCTTCACCGAGGTGAGTGATAAGATAAGATAAGACAAAAAGTGTGGTGGGCTGAGGCTGGAGATGGCGGGGTGGAAGCTTGGGAAGCATAGGTAGCTCCTCCACCAATCAATTGTGTCAATCTAACTACACAGTATAGCTTCAGTATTAGGATATCGAGACATCCATTCATTCTTCAGAGTTTGTAAATGGAATGTTTTCTTTCATTGAAATATTCTTTCATTAAAGGTACAAATATGTTGAGCGGTGAAATGTATCGAGTTGTGAGCTGATTCTCAAGATTTGGCCTACAAGATATGAACAGAAATCGTTTCTTGACACTTATAGTTCCCATTGGCGTCCCAGTCGTGAATTCTTCGCTTAGTGTCTCCGGGAAAAGTCCAGGCAAACCCGGTCCATCAAGTCAGGGCCAATTGCTGCGATGAGCTCAGCAACACCAGCTCTCATTCCCGGATATTCCTCGACCCTTTGTTCATCCCAGCTGACAAGGTCTGAGGTTTCGTATAATGGGGCTCTTGGGGAAATCTTCAAAGCGATATGATCCATATCCCAGTCAGCGACCGTGGATATCGGAGGTATGCCCGGCATCCCAGTAGCAAACAACCAGTTGTTGTCATCTTCATCGTATGCTGCAGAGTCGGAACCTTTGTCCTCCGCTTTGTCACTCTCGTTTGTATCCTTGGCAGGTGACGCAGAACCTTGTTCGATCTCGCGAGAGGCCGGTTCCTTTTCAAGCGAAAGGCTCACGTACGGCTTTTTGTCGAGGAGATCCAACACAGTTCGATCCAGCGGGTCCCATGTCAATGAGACAGGGTCAAGAACATACTGAGGTGAGTAATCAATCTTGTACCACATCTTGGGGCAACTGTGTATATAATAGCCTGGGTACCACCAGCCATAGCCCTCCTCGATGGATAAGGCAATCTCATACAGTGCACCAAGCTTCCCTGGCGCATGCTGGTGAATACTTTCATGATAAAGAAAGTATACTGAGCTTACACACTCGGGCAAAAGGTCAAGCACTCCAATGGCAACTAGCTTACCATCTAGCCTGTAACATTGGTGATACGAGCCCAGGCGACGTTTACGCCCATCGGATGTCACCATTGTTTCTCTCCTCAAAGGTGAGTCACAAAGGAAGCGTCTAAATCCGCTCTTGGTAATTTCATCCGGAGACTCCTTGTGAACTACCGCCTGGTAGTTCTGGTAAACAGCAAACTTCTCGTCCGTACAATCGTCATGCTCTAAAGTCACGACGAGTTTATGGGCAGCCTCAGGAGGGTTCTTCAGGTTAGCCTCTTCAGCCTCATGGATTCGTTCGACGAGATCAAAATGGTTATCCCGTTTCTTGGCCTGATCACGCGATTTGGGATACAGGCGAGCCGCCTCTTTCATGTAAGCCTCTCCCATGACATACTTATTGAAACGGTTGACGGTCTGTCGTTGATCTCTGGATGGCTTAAACTGGCTAGAATCAAGACGAATAGTATAGTGTGGGCAACATGACCGACGTTGATCGGGTCGGTACATGAGAGTGCCTGAACGTCTCCAATATCTATCAAGGAGAGTTTGGTAGAACGCAGGACTCAAAGAAGTTGTCACTGCGTGGTAAGCGTAGCCTATAACCCCACGTACTAGTTAGCCTTACGTTCAGGAGACCGTGTGACTCAAGGGCTTATATGAAGTGATTGATCTGAACTTCAGAACAACCATCGATGACACGGCCGTGTAATCACGAGTGTCTCGTGACGTAAATGTATGCGAGTCTTGGGGTGGTCAAAAGGTACTGGAGGTGCAGGGGCTCAATTCACGTTTTGACTGACTCTTGTCACGTTTCCCACAGTAACCGCATCTTGATGATTTGAAGTATCCTAGGCATCAGTCAGCATTCGGTGAAGAGAAAGGCACGAACGGCAATTGCGTGGGGGTAGTGTCTTCTGAGATGTCAACGAATAGAGATTATGCGTGGGGGAGTAGTCATGTAAAGCAGAAGTGGAAAATGACCAGATGATACTTGACGTCTGATATAGCATAATACATGAACCCTAAAGCTACCTTGCTACGCCTTATCATATGATAATAAAATGTCATCGTTTGTGATTTGGACCTTTATTGGTGCTTTACACAAAGACCAACGACAATACTGAGCTAAGAAACATTTGAGGCCAGGAATGGCCTTGCCAATCTTGAACTCAAGGGAATGATTCTGAGACACAACTTCGTGAATACAGCAAAGAAACAAGCCAATAGTATGCATGCCTGAAGAGGTAGACATAAGTTTGTTGAAGTCGAGATACACACCCACACTTGTGAGCAGACGTAAGCTAGGAGTGCTAATGAATTGATAGTGGCATTGATCCCTGACGCACGACCACCAAGATTGCGGAACCGTTGAACATCAGACTATGAGTAACTGTCTGTCATTGACCAAAGTGGAAGCCGTCTGCAGGCTAAATTGGGATTGATATTGACGTGGATGTGGATGCCCTCGGGCTCCATGTAATTGCGAAGAAAGGGTCAAGTGAAATGGATATGAATATGGAACGAACTTGTCCCGGACGGGGAAAACGGGGGCGCCACGGGGACCGGCCGCGACGGAGCTTAAGCGCAGGCGCCGGCAACCAACGACAGGCCGGCATTAGACCACGGGCCTGATCGGTTGGAGAAGAACGTGGGAATAAGCACTCACCAATTGGGGTTATATATTCGTACTGCAACGACGCATCTTCAGGGATGTGCATGCCGCTGGGTTCCATTGTAAACCTTGAACCTGCACTGCACGACTGGAGTCGTGTTCCTCAAAGGGCTGTTGGTAATAGGTGAGATGCTCTGATGATGTATTGCCGGAGACGGAAGGACGACGGTGGTGTATGGCGGATGAGGGGCGCCGGACCTTTCTCACGGGCCACAACGAGGAGTTTAAAATACCCACGAGGCGCGAGTAATGCTATCCAAGACGGGCAAGTCGTTGCGTGAGGTACGGTAGGTAATTACCACACGTAGGTACCGTACGTCCCTCGAGCGGGAGGAAGACGGAGAGAGGGGCAGACTCCCAAGCCTTGGAGATGGAGAATGGAGGGGGCGTGTGAGTTTGTTGAGGGAGGTTCAACGAGTGACGAAAGCTGCGATCGCGTGCCTGCTGATTCCCCCTCTCAATTCGTGAGCGTGGGATGTTGTGTCTGCGGTTGGTGAATAGTCGATTAACCCAGTTGGTTATTTGGGGTGCACACGAACGATGATGACGAGACGCTGGCTGCGGATGATATCCAGGGATTGGCGCTGAGAGTGAGGGATGTGCTCGTGTGCGCGCATGTGCAACAGAATTGACCAAAATCGAGCTGTTTCGATCTAACTTTAGGCGACCAAGCTAGTGTAGTCGAGCAGGGGTTCAAAGACACAGAAACTGACGGGTGTGTAACACCTGTAGACCATACCAGACCGTGCTGTAGTTGTGCAACGGTTTCGAAGCGACAACCGGTAGAATGTAGACTCCACGGCAAGGTTCCGATATCGTTTAGAAGCTACGGATACTCTGGGTTGGTATGGTGCCCCATATAGGTTTGCCCGAAAGAATGTCAAGGGAGTAAAATGAAAGATAATACGTGGGAGATGTTGGGTTTTATGGTAAGATGGGAAAGATAGCGAAACGTTGAAGATGGGTGATGGATGAGATCAACCATTGCTCAGCTCCGCTAGACAAGCTCCAAGCAAGGTAACAACCACTGGAAGCTGCAGCTTCTAGGCTAATGGCGGGGTGCTATTCTGGCCACCTAAGATAGGTACCTAGGGCTGCTCACCTACAATTCTCCAGGCACCCAACTCACTACCGATACCTTTTATAAATCATGAAAGGAGCATTTGTTAGCTGCAGTGCTGTTAGCAATATCGAAATTCACATGCAGTCGTCATATGGAATCAGAGATCTAAGGTTGCGGTATTCTGTGGTAGGATATGTATGTACACTATGCTTAAAGCCAATCTCATTGCTAAATCCGACTGCAAACATTCAAGTTTGCCCTCAAAAACTGCACAGATTACAACACAGGATATTCCAGGCCCGTCTCGTATCCACTAGGAAGACTTCCGACCTCTCCAGCATTTCCTCAACATCTACGGAACCAGATTCGATACAAGGCTGAGTCTGTGTCACCAACCCTCTTACAGGTCTGTCATCTCATCTCATCCTGATAAAGAAAAAAAAAAGTACCTGTCTCTTCAGAGCATAAACAACGAGATAGGATTGGAGGAATTGATTGCCCTGGCTTTTGGTGGCCAATCCCTCAACGTTGATGACTAGCCTCTCTACAGGTACAGTGCATTCTATTATTCCTTGCATGCTGCAGCCAAAAAAAAGTCGCTATGCAACGAATGAGGTGAAACGAAAAGAAAGAAACCACAGGTCTAGCCTCAAACTGACGGTCCCAGGCCAATCGAGCAACGATACGGCATTAGTGTGTTGCATCTTGTTGCTGTATTTGCTCCATTGCTCTGCAGATTTTTTGACAGTTTTTGGACTCGCCTCGAGACAATCACGGAACCAATGTTTTTTATCACCCGACTTGCGGGCCTTTTCTCGGTCTCGTCTCCGGGAACTGGTTGTGGAAGACTCCATGTCCATGGAGGCTTGCCGAGCTAGAGACGCTACGAGTTTTTTGCCAGACCAGCATCGAGAAGCAAAAGCTTGCTTGTCGAGTAGGTATTGTTGAGAGGGAACGGAGTCCGGCGTTAAAATAGACGAGCTAGATATGCATTGTAACATTCAAGTTGGCAGAGGCTTAACCGACATGACGTCTGTTTATATCTTGAACTGCAGCTTGAGTTATGGGATTGAACTGATGTTGAAAAATATCAGATTCTCTCTTCCAATGATCGTCATTGTCAAGAGTTATGCGCACTTCGGCCACTAGGACTCCAACAGTGAAGATCAAGGACTCTCGCCTCGCTTTCACGATACCTACTATGTGCTCCATCCGTGGGATGGACCCAATGCTTGCTGCTCTGCTTGTACAAGCGCATTCTACCCCTCCCCCTCACATCCCCTCTCGTGCTACTACTGCTGCTGCTGCTTCTTCATGCATCGTACGTCAGGGTTAACGTGGTACAGCGTAGGAGCTGCCCGTGGACGACGATGAACCTATCATTGTTAACATGTGAATTGAGAAGAGGTCAAGTTGAAGTCTTTGCGATCCTGAAGCTGCAGCCCCGTCCCTCCATCGTTGCCAATGGCATGGATGACCCCACGCTGCGAAAGCAGACCTGCGTGCGCGTGCTGATATGCCGACTCGAGACCGCTTTCAATACCAACCTAGCAGCTACTAAACTGGTGGGTGTGTGGTCAAGCAGTGTCTCTTTTCTGAGGCTCGTTCCTGTACCACAAATGTTGATTGTTACATTGGAGGAGTTGTGATGATCCTCTATTGGTTGTCATCTACTGGACGTTGAAACTAATCGGCCTCGTTTTCCTTCACGATAAATAAGCCGCCCTGCATCTCACCGGTCTAAGCTTTTGAACTTTTATTAACTTCCAAGATTTCTCAGATACTGCTGCACATGCATGCCATTCAGGGATGCTGTAAAGAACTTTTTAACAAACTAGTGGCACCACAAAGCACACGTTCTGTCATGGCCATGATTAATAAGAAGCGCATCGCTGTTGTACTGTATAATAATATTTCTCCATCTCATGCCCTGGACTTACATTTGCGGGACAAGATGGGGCACTGGTTAATAGCCTGTGTATTTTTGGTTTTCAATGGATCTAATATAGAAGTATCTGCGGTTGCGTTTGTAATCTCTTACCGTTATGGGGGTCGAGATCTTCCCAAGCACTGCCAAATCCAATTAATCTGCATTTCGGTTCTCCTGCACTCTCTCATGGTTCAAGGAGCCCGAGACTTTCCAGCAGAAGCAGATTGGGGGTGTGGCATTACCATAATAATTGAATTATAAGAGTAAAGAGGACAAACATCTCCCCACGATATATTTCCAATTCCGTCATACATACACAACAATCTCCCACGCCCATTGCCTCTCTGAGAACTGTATGGTTGCAATAGTGCCATCGGTTAACCCTGCATCACATTATTACAGTCCGAGTTCTCAGCTCAGAAGAAGCTTTTTAGACTCGTGCTGGTACAATCTGGGCATCCATGCACCATCAGCCTATCGAGATGGGCTCGAGTATAAGAGTAACTGACCCTGTCGTTGTCAGAGTTTGGTCTCCTTTGTTAGTTGGATGGCGCAAGACATGAGGTGGTTTTAAGATTACCTACACGGCGACTCATCTCACCTTTGTTTCTTCCATTGCATTGCCTGTTGACAAGTTCATACCTTCCTTACTTGGGCCTGGTAACTGAATGGTTACTCTCGGCCTCCAGTCTTTTAAACCCAGGACTATATCCAAGATACAGTCTCTTCTCAATAACCTGGAAGCTTTTGAATATTGCTTGGTATTCTGTCACAGCTGCGGCCTCAACCCTGTACTCAAACCATCACAAAAAGCGCCTACCCTGCACAGTTCAGCTTCCCCTAGCAAATCTTATCCAGGTATCTAAATCCAAGTGGTTGCATGAAATAACACTTCCTTACCATTAATTTGACAGTTCGACACCTTAACAATACCTCTGTCACCGATCGATCTCATCTCCCCGACTCGTAAGCTTTTGGATCTCAGCCTTTGCTACAAAGACGTTGGCGTGGGACTCCTCAACTCGAACCAAGCCTCTTCGCTTCTGACCATCAACGTCACGGCCAACTATCACATCAGTATCAGTCAGCCAACACAACACAAGTCATTTTGGTAAACGCCGCGGCAACTCAAACAGGGGAGCCTCTCACGTTCATGACTTCCATTATTATCCCCATTTCTAATCAAAGTTTGCCTCGCATCGGTTGACCCAGCGAAGGCCCTCAGTTCCACTCCACGCTTCAGCGACTCACTTTTACAGGGCGCCACCGCCCACCATCCATTCACCTACGAAAGCGAAGAGCTGCTGGGCTACCGTACCGTTTCGCCGGGCAAGTCTAAGCCTAAAGCCCACTGCAAGCACTACATCACAGTACTGTACAGTACCTCTGACACGCTACGCATACTCCATCCCTAGGCAGGCGAGGATCCAGCTTTTCCCCTCCGCGTCCAGTCCCTGTCTGCTGTCACTAGCCTAGTTGAAGGCTTGTCCGCCGAGCGCCCAGTGCTCCCCGTACCTACACGCCCCCCAACCAAGCCAAACCCTCTTCGCTGCAGTCTGTTCTGTACCTACGTACGGTGCTACAGTACGTACCTTACCTACCTGTTCTGCGGGTTCCGCCAGACCTGTACAGACAGAGAGATCCGCCGAGTCGCCCGCTGCCCCTTCGAGCTAAACTTGGGACGTTTTGCGCGTGCGCGCCCACACCTCCATCATCTCGCAGTTTATATCACATCGCCAGCCCAGCTCTTTGGAGCGTCTGGGCTCTCCCCGACCAAAAACTAAGCACCAGCACCTTCTGGCGCAGGCCACGGCCACTTCTGTTCTTCATTCCTACCTCACTTAACCACAAGACTTTTACCAACTATTCACTGTTCGACAATGATGCCTCTCAAGGCTCTTTGAAAGCCACCCACCCGCCCATCGCAGGTTCTCTCTCTTTCTCGACCCAGGGGTGAACATCCGTTCTCCTCCGCTACCTCCGAGGACCTTTGAAGCTTTCTTGCCCGCATCATCGCCTTTCGAGATCTACGAACATAATTGTTTTTGTTCTCGCCCGACCAAATTCCCCGACATTCCTCCCAATTCCCGTCACTATCCGCCCCAACTTCCCACTAAGAAGATGTCGAGTTCTGCCTCTGGCGACTCGGGCGGTGGCCGTTCGATGGAGTCACGAGTGGGTAGAAGCAAGCAACGTGAGTCTTTACCTGATGCGCAATACAATTCTTCTGTTTGAAAGTATCCTTCTCGGCACATTTGACCTCGGCTTTTTATGAAGCATTTGTCTTGGTGCCTTCTATACCATCCTTGTTGCCCATTTTTGTGGTGTGATGGATTTGAATCCAACCATAATTTCCTACGCTCGCCTGGGCACAATTCAACAACTTCTCGACAGTCGGCATTCTCAATCGATAATCTCAAGATTCCACCACTGACATTTTTCTTTTTATATAGGTTACAACACCAAGGGCGAACGTCTCGTCGCTGGCATCGTACCTCTCACTCCCGATCAAAACTATGTACTGTTGATTCAGTCTACCCGGCGCAAAGGCTGGGTGCTGCCCAAGGGCGGCTGGGAGTCTGATGAGACTTGCCAGGAAGCCGCTGAGCGAGAGGCCTGGGAAGAAGCTGGCATCACTGTTCAAATCACTTATGATCTTGGTGACATTGACGAGAAGCGTGCGCCCAAATCGTCAAAAGATCGGTCAAGATACCACTTCTTTGAGGGCACAGTAACCAGCGAGTACGACGATTGGCCCGAATCCCACAAGCGAGAACGCCAGTGGTTTACATTTACCCAGGCATGGGAGGCGTTATCAACAAGACCAGAGCTACAGGAGGCCTTACAACGGTCTACTGTAAATCGTCAATAACCTCACGGCGTCCTCTCATGCGCAACCCTGGCCTTGGAAGTGACCAATCCCTATCCTTGAACGGCCCTCCATTCAGTTGCGACGACATGGGTTTATCTCCTGGCTGTTGAGTGGATTGTGATACACCGTCACTTCCACAGAGTTCTTTCCATTTCCTTGTCATGAGAGGAATGACACGTGCTCGTCTCAGAAACTCAATTTGGGTTGAGTTACGAAGCACCTCTTCTTTTGCCTCCTATTTTTCAGTTCTCTATATAGAGACTACAATGTGCATCCATCCCAAGGCGTTTAGGCTGGAACATGATAGAGTATCGCTTGTTTTTTTTTTACACATCTAAGAATTCGGACGGGGCGGGATACTTCAGCGGCATATAAAGGTGCAAGCATCGAGATCAGAGGGTTATCTTGTTGCAATCCATGGATAGGACCGGAAAAGCATCACAAAAGGTTGGCTGCCCTCGGATTCTTGCTTTTTCATCGGGGTCTAGCCCGAAGACCGACGCGACGGGGAGGCAAATATGCGCATAAGTCCCCCCGCTAGAGAGGGACGAAATCTTAGTAACTCGCCTGGTCATGGTGGAGTGGAATAGACTTGGCGATTCCCCTCACTTGAGCGCATCTAAACAAGTTGAAGCTGGGGCTGCTTTTGTTGATGCTTGTGAGCGTGAGAGTGAAAAGATCACCAAATAATGAGACATAAAAAAAAAAGAAGAACCCTTTGCCGAATGGCATATAATGACGCACAAGCAAGTCACTGCTGCAGCTCTCGGCCACTAAGAGACTACGGCCAAGACCTTGTCATGGATGCTTATTTCTTGCTTGTTCCGTTCCCTGACCTTTTGACTTTCTGCCCCGCCAAGATGAGAATGCCCCTCCATCTGCTCTCTGAAATGCCCCGCATTGAAGTCAGAAATTTGATGGCATGTTTTGTTGAATTCGGCGTTTTATAGCGATATGCAGCTAAATGGCCCCTATCGTTATAGCGCTGTTTTGCCGCAATAGGATCCGCAACACCTTAGATCAACGTCAAAGCATCAACGACCTAGAGCAACTTCCCTTTATTCGACCGCTGCAACCGATTACTCGCGATGTTCATGTCATGAGCCTATGAGAGAACTCTCCATGGATCAATAGAATTTCTCAATCACAAAAGACATCACATAACACCATCAACCTCATCCATCACGATATCATGGAGAACCTATCTATCGCCGATGCCCCTCCACAGGGCCGCGGTGCGCCGCAACCACTCCCCCAGTTGCCGCCGCAGATGTTCACGACTGCAGCGCAGCTCCTGGATCTCACAGACAGTACGACTCCGTCATGGTACCAGTTCATTCCTGTTTCCGGTTCATGAGAAGGGTTGGACTCGATAAAAGCAGGGAGAAGGACGGATCGTGTGCTGACCACTGTATAATTGCAGAGAAGCTCATGGTCGCTTTGCGCGATGGGAGAAAGCTCATCGGCGTGCTAAGAAGCTGGGATCAATTCGGTGGGTCTTAAGGAAATAGAATACTGCAGGGAGACATCCCTTTTCTGACCTCAACCAGCCAATCTCGTCCTCCAATCTACCGTCGAACGTATCTTTGCGCCCTCCCCCGAGTCGGCAGGTAGCGATCGACCAACGGGTCTGTACGCCGATATAAATCACGGCATATTCCTCGTCCGAGGTGAAAACGTGCTCCTCCTTGGTGAAATCGACCTCGACAGGGACGACGACCCGCCTCCTGGCTTTAAGCTCGGAGAGCTAGACGTTGTCAAGAAGCTCGCAGAGGAGAAGAAAGCCGTCGACAAGGCAAGGGAGAAGGCGCGGGTCAAGAAGCTTGCGAAGCAGGGCTTTGAGGGGGAGAATATTGGCGAGATCGTGCTCTAGAGGACGTTTGGATATTGGTATTTATCTCAATTACAAGGCCTGGAAGCAGGTTCAGGTTGCCGGACGCTTTGAAGTGCTCTGGCTGATGGTCGTTTGGGCAGAATATTGTGAAATGCCCATATACCATCAAGGAGATGCCGGCTTGAGAATGGGCTGGCTCTTCAGGAATTAAAAAGCCTCGATACAGTAGGTTAGAGGCGGATAGCGCGTATGAATATATGAGCTTCACGACGCTACATCCAATGTTTACCACCACTAGGCACTTGATGGTTTCTACTATTATAAGCTATCAGTCGCTGGTTGGCAAGCCCAAGACAGCCACTTAAGGGACTCGTGTTAAGATATGAACTTGCGTGAAGCTTCATGAATAGGTTTCTAAGTTTCCCTACAAATTCCACACCGCACGATATCGCATCTTACTCTCCTTATTGTAACTCGTAATAATCACATATATCATGAATGGGCCAGGAGAATTTGTTAAATTACATGAATTGCACAACTCATACTCTGTTCGAATTTGAGGCCCTAACCATGAACAGGCTCCATTGCACAAGATAAACTGTCAAAGAGGGACGATTAATGACATGAATTGTTTGAAGGCAAGGTATTGTCTAAGAATGAGCTTTAGTTGTTAATTTACAAAGCTATACAAAGTCTGAATGTGTGTGGAGTCTCATGGCTCGTTGTTGTACACTGTCTTATGGATAAAGACCCTGCGACCCGAACCAGCATGAAGTCGCTGGTGATGATCAAGATGCAACCGGAAACGCCTCTCATGATGCCATACCCGTCCGTAAACCGCTCTCGTTTTCTAAAAGAACACGCCCCTTGGGGTCATATCATCACTGTCCACCCCACAGTGAGTGTTTAGATGGATCGTCGTCTTCGCACTCGCTCGAACATTGGTATAGGAGTGCCGGGGTTCTTGCAACCTCCGAGGAGCCAGTCAGTCAGACCGACAACCTTTGCGCCAACTCCAGCTTCCCAATCGCCACCTGCTTGTGCCTGCTCAATAGTATGGCTTAGAATTCGACCTTCGGCATCGAAGTCAAAGACAAACAGTCCCGTGAATGCCTTGTCTGGGTCGACTCCCCGACCAAACGGTAGGGACCGGGCAATCACTCCTTTATTAGAAGAACTATCTGAGCCCTTTCGCTTTTCGCACCAGCGGACCACGAGCTGCTCGGGTATCGCACCAGCACGGCGGGGTAAGAATGTGAGGGGCTCCGTCGTCATGCGCTCCGCGAGAACCTCAATACAGACATTGCCGAGAATGGGTACACGGTTCCATGCTATCGGGGAGGTCCAGAGGGCGGCGTTATAGGCGACACGGCCGGAGACGGTTGGTAGGTGAGGGTGCGTTGAAGGGAAAAGATGGAGGGCGATGTTTGGCGCAAGAATGTCGTGAGGAAGAGGATGTAGTAAAAGCGTTGGTAATCGTTCTTGTAAAACTCGCAGAGCTATAGCAAGTTAGCATTGTGATACAAACACGGGAATATCCTCAGTGACGTACTTTTTCCTAGCTTTGCCTTATTGGGGTCCTTTGGTCCGTCATCGCCAGATCCGACCCATCGCACGCCTGTCGCATCGAAATATGTCCTCGACAAGGCACCTCGCCTTAGGTAATCCTCGAGAAGAGTGGCATCGGAAGGCGGTAGAGAAGGCTTAGGTTCTCTAACAGTGACGGGCTGAACCTGGGCCTTTGCCGGGCGAGCATTGGAGAGACTGCGAATTGAGGCAACAGAGGTCCGGCCGGAACGGCTTAGACTGGATCGGATGGGCGCGGCCATTGGGAGGTCACCGCAGCAAAATGGAGAGATTCATGGATCAAGAGTGAAATTTGATAGAAGAAGTCAAGTTGACTTTGTTAAAGAGGGTCTAGAATACTAGAGAATCAAGTTGAGGTGTTGCGAATACCTAGGAGCTTGGATGGTAGGGAACCTCAACGTATGTCCACTTTTGGACTTTTTCTGCGATGGCTTAATGGGTAGACTCGGAAGTATCTGGCAGCAGTAAAGTGTAAGGGAAGAGACATGATTGTGAAATGCTGAACTTGATTGGTTGATGATCAAGACTCCATAGCCACAAATTGACAGCGGAGCGGGATGTGGCGGGGCGGGTCTTTTCCACTGTGATGGGATCTTTGAGTGGGAGAGAAGTGGATGGGAATCTGGAGAAAATGGGAGAATTGAGGCTTGAATGAAGCAGGATCCACTGATAAGGCGTTATCTGATATTTCTTTAAGATCATCTGTTTGCAATAGATGCCCTCTTTCTCACTCTTGAAGAAGAAGGCGGTGAAGTTGATCTAGTATCAACTTGTGACATGCCAAGTCACTTGAATCGTGTGAATGACGGCACAGGCTCCAAGTTTGGCTCATCGACAGCCTCATGATAGTTAAAGAATGAACGGATGCCTACAGTGCATTGCCCGACGACGGAGCAGAGCAGGCAGGCGCTCAAAGTAATGATGCATTTCTCATTCCGATGTTGTTTGTAAATATGCACGATAGAAGCCTTGCTGTTCTTTTGCTATTGGAAGATGGTCCGTTTTGGGAAAGTCTACGTCAACTTGTTGGCTCCTATCGCAAGCGATAGTGTTATATCGGTAAACCGCCCTGTGATATCCTGAAGTATATTGCATGAGACCAAGCAATATCCAGTAGATTACCCTTGCAGGGACAATTAAACCAACGAATATACCTCGCTTGTGACGTACCCTTTGGTTTCATTCATTTCTTCTTTGCTGCACATGCTCTGTCTCTACCCGTTAACTCAGTATCACATTGACTGACTTGTACATACTCTTTGTTCTCTTTGACGGCATCACGTGATCGACGCCTGTCAGCTGCCCCATCCATTCATTCCCTCCCTCCCTCTCCTAGGCGGTGCTGGCGTTGCCTGGCGTTACGTTTCTTCCCTGACGTACCTTACTTGAGCCTCTGCAACCATTCTCAACTTCATCTTTCTCTCCCATCAACTCATCTGCAACTCCTCATTCCATCGCCTCGACAAGTCCGTCTTTTCAGCCTCACCCCTTCACTTTTCGCATCAGACTCTTGTCTTACTGCGATTTAAGGAACAACCGCCAACATGAACCCTGAGTAGTACGCCACTCTCCACCTCCTTTGCGATAACCTCCTGATGGAACTATGCCCCATGCTGACTACTGTTCTAGAGTTGCACCCTGCCATCCTCGACTATTCCTCATGCGATTTCCTTTTGCTACCGCTGTCGAGATGCGACTCTTTGACAATTTTTGGATCTGACACCAACTAGATACGACTATCTCTTCAAGCTCCTCCTCATCGGAGACTCCGGTGTTGGAAAGTCTTGTCTTCTCCTGCGATTCGCCGATGACACCTACACCGAGTCCTACATCTCTACCATCGGTGTCGATTTCGTGCGTTGTTCCCAGCCAGCATTTCCACTTCCCTGGCCTATCGTCTAACACTTGGTCAGAAAATCCGAACAATAGAGCTCGATGGCAAGACCGTCAAGCTTCAGATTGTATGTGGCACCCATCGCGCAGGCTCCGGCCACCTAACCAAATGCTAACTTGTTCTCAAGTGGGATACCGCCGGTCAGGAGCGTTTCCGAACCATCACCTCTTCCTACTACCGTGGTGCCCACGGCATCTGCGTCGTCTACGATGTTACCGACATGGACTCATTCAACAACGTCAAGCAATGGCTCCAGGAAATTGACCGATACGCCACTGAGGGTGTCAACAAGCTGTTGGTCGGCAACAAGAGCGATATGTCAGACAAGAAGGTCGTTGAGTACAGCGTAGCCAAGGTAAGTTTTTTTATTCTGGTACTCTGAATGTCGCAGCCCAGCGGGTCGCTTATCACATGCATCTAAGCGCCTGAACGCTCAAATGCCCCTGTCACCAAAATTTCACCCTCGGCTGCGACACTACCCACAGCAACACGATGACTGACCCAACTCTATAGGAATTCGCCGACAGCCTGGGAATTCCTTTCCTTGAGACTTCGGCCAAGAATGCCAGCAACGTCGAGCAGGCTTTCTTGACCATGGCCCGCCAGATCAAGGAGCGCATGGGCACCACAACAGCCAACAACACCAAGCCCAGCGTGCAAGTCGGCCAAGGCCAGGGCGTCGGATCCTCCTCCAACAACAGCTGCTGCTAAATGCATTAACGCTCTCCTTTCTCTTGGTGAAGCAGGATGATGGAGTACGGCCGGGACAATGAACAACATGCCAGGGACACGATCGGACGAGTTCACTCACGATATTTGCTTTTTCCTTCTACTCTCTCCATTTCTGCGCATAGACCAGATCATGACCACTTGGATTGCCTTTCTTTTCCGCAAGTCACGACTTTATCCCTTTACCGCCTTGGCATCTGGAACAACGGCTCTTTCTATTCGTCTCAACGTCATTCGCGGGCCCTTCCACTGCTATGTCGACGGTAGGAATGGTCAGGGCGGGGAATCGATAGGTTCTGGGGAGGGAGCATGAGGGGAGACGACAGATATGAAGGCAGATTTTGTGTTTTTGGTAGCGGATGGCTTTGGGGGGTTTTGCGCGTGCGCAGGCTGTATTTTCTCTTATCCACCCCATGCTGTGTCTTTGCACTTTTGCGAAATTCAAGTATTGGGAGGCATTCGTCGGTTCTTGTTCTTTTCAGCCCGCCAACCAGTCATTCGCTGGAAATCACATTATCTGCGCACCCCGTTTTCCTCTGGCAATTCGCGATCCTGGCCCTCTGTTCCCCGTAACATCTTGACTCTTTGAGAGCTATGGGGGAGAGTTGCGCTAAGCGTCAATATCTTACTTGGGTTCTGATATCGATGGTCATGTTGTTTCTTCTATTTTACCATCCTGGTTCGCCTATGGTTTTTCGCTGTTTTTGGTACTTGAGATCGATTTTAGTATGCGAGAAAGGGTTATTCTTAATAAAGGTTGAATATTCCTTTTTTTTTTAAACTTGATCCATGACGAATATTGTTGGAGGAGTTCCTTGCTCATATGGCTTCGAATCCCAAATTATGAACCATTGTCGATGTCGTAAAATGGTTTCTCAATTGAGAGAGATTTCTTTGGCCATGGTGAAGCCATGCATAGAACGAACTCATGGCTAAGGCTCTGTGGTAGATCTCATGATCGCCAGCACGTTCTCAAATGTCCATCTGAAGTCCTTGGTCGCATTCTTTATATCTGCTAATTGCAATATAGCCCATCCATCAGACAACTCGAACACAGGCAGCTCTTTCACGCCAACTTTAACCATCATACAACTCAAGCAAACAGTTGAAGACATTGTGTAAACACTTTATGTAAGACACAAAGATAAAGCTCATCTGCTTAATCTACGCTACACACGCATTCATGCACGAAGATCTTCCTCATCGATGATAACCAAGTCGATATACGTCATAGATCAACCACTCTCAGCCTGATGTCATTCTCCAGGCACACTTTCAATATAACAATTTCATTCACAGTAACTCTCTCTTCCCAATATATCTACGCATAATAAAATCATCATACTCAATACCCATCTTGGTCTTTCACAATCTTTCAAAATGGCCAGCGTCGAAAGTCAAGTGTCAAAGCAGTCCGAAACTCCCCTCCAAAACGACAATGAGAACGCAGAGCAACTAGCTACCCTTGCAGAAGGCAAAGTCGCCGATGCAGTAAAGGGAACGAGTAGCAGAGATAAGCCACGCAAGGATGATATCAAGATTGAGGACTATGCTTCTGATCTTGAAAGGTTCGTCTCAATATATAGCTCGTTCCGTATACGGAAGCTAATGTCATGCTAGAAAAAAAGATGAGCAGGCCGAGGCCAGAGAAGAGATCAAGACACAGAGAAAAGCAGGCGTAGATGTTGATGGTAGTCTTGGACAGGGCAGACTGAGCAATGAGGACAACAGCAGTGTCTAAGTATAATTATTTCGTAAAAAACCCTTCAATTACCGACGACTTTACGTAAAGATAATCTACAATTATTATTACATCCCATAACTGCTTAAGTCCTATTCCCAGACCGTAGATGGAATAAAAGTGTTGACAAACATTTCTCTATTCACAACAACATCATGACTTTTATCTTTTTCCAGTCTCCTGGCCATCATCGTAAATCCTCGCCCCAAAAATAACAACAAAAGAAAATGCCACATTGGGCGAGATCATAACATCATTACAGCCATATTTCTCATATGGCCATGTGTATTCGTTCTTTTTGGGATCACGACAGGCCGAGGAACTTGAGTGCCTTGTGGGAGTTGCCTTTTCGCCTCTCGGCCTTATCCTCAAGGAGCGGCATAATCCGTCGGTCTTCTTGATCCCAGTCGCTGTCATCAACATACATAGTTAAGATCGATCGAGCATCAATCGCGGAAGGCTTTCGCTTTGAATAGGATCGACTTTGCTTGCTTCTGGAAGACTTTACTGTCTTAACTGTTTCAGCAATGGAAGGGGCTCGACTCGGAACCGCAGATGACCCTGATAGTGCCGCTCCCAAAGACGCCCCAAGTGCCGGGGACATGGGTGGGCTATGAGTCGCCGATGGCACACGTGGGAAAGGGGAGAAGGTTCCTGTGATAGATGGCGGCTTAGACTTCTTTGGGGACGGCTTCTTGGGAGGCTCGTGAGGGACATAGAAATCAGAAGTCTTGGACAGGATCCTCGAGATGGTCGCAATAAAAGTTGCGATTTCTGCATCAGTTGCAGTTGACGTGATGAGGAAGTTGGCTTTAGAAACTGTAACGTCATAGCCAGAGCCCGAGTTTTGTGGGAAAGTCTTCCCGAAGCGCCCAACAGGTCCTTGTTCTGGGCTGGTGATGGAGTTTCCACGTAGATGAGTGAAGGGAATGCTCTTGCTGCTGGCATCAACGATCTGAGCCACCTTCATCAACTCTACTCCAACGAGCTTTTGAAGAGCCAACACCGTCGCAAGATGCTCAGGCGGATATTCAAGGAGAAGATACCTCACCTCTGCGTGAAGGGCAAGATACGTTTCGAGGTGCGGAATAATGAGGGTCGCGAGTAGGAACGAATTCGCAAAAGGGTTGTCTTTGGCCTGGCTGGCCAAAGGCTGGGTCGTATACGCCTGCATGGCATTGGCAAGAAGGTACCTGCCCAGTGTGAGTTTTAAGCAGCACAAGATGGAACAGAGTCAAGTACATACCTGAAGTCCAGTCGGCCACTTCGGCTCATACCGTTGCATTTTGTTCCTAGCTTCTCAAGCTGTCCTGTGATGGCGCAAGTATAGTCCCTCTTCACACCTCTCTGGGCTCCAATAGCTAGGATCTGGTCGATTCTATGGCAAGATCCACGGCTATCGTTACTCCCAGTCTCCCAAAAGACTGGGTTCCACAACCCTTCAAGCTCTGGCAAAAGGGAAAACTGGAACTGCCGGTAGCCTTGAGTTTCTGGGGGGAAGTGTTCCTGGAGGACAGAACGCAGTGAGTTCTGTACAGTGATGGCTGTTTCTTGACCATTAATTCGAAGGTCGTGAAACTTGCTGTCGACATCCGAAACCAGGGGTGGAGGAGTCCGAACTGGTGTTGGAGGTCGTGCAACCTTAAGCTTGGGCACACTTGGGATAGGCTTCTTGTTGGGCCAGACGGGCTGATTATATGCGAACGGATCATATTCGTCCGAAAGGATGGATTGGTCGGTGACAGCTGACTCCTCGCATTGGCTTTCTGCGCAGCTTACGTCTGTGATAGTGTTGGACTCAGGTGTTCCTGGAACCAGAGCATTGCCGTCGTCTGTTTCGGAAGTAGGTGAATAAATAGCCGCGGGAAATTGACCCATTCTAAGCCCATGAGTGACAGAATTGAGCAAAGGTTCGGGGACCTCCTCCCTGAAGTGCACCACCAGGTCTTCCATGAAGGGCAGTACTGGTTGGAAGCTTTCCTTTGGTCCAGAAATGTGCTCGGCATCAGTACCTCTATCCACGTACGATGCCCGTGCAGGTTTCCGCTTCTTCTCCAAGGGGACCGGAGCCACTTTGATGATTGGGAGATTGGTTCTCACAATAACAGTTTGGGGTCCCTCTATGTAGCTGCGTCTGTTGGAAACGAGCTCCTTGGGGTTTGTGGTTATTGTTTGTGAATGCCGATGGGCTTTCAATAATTCTGGCCCTGGATCACTCTCTAGTTGCCGTGCAAGTCCTGAAGTGGCTGCAGAAACACAAAGATCCCGATACCTGGGACTGGCCGGGTAGATTCTGTCCAGAGATTTGACTCGAGACAGAGTTGGGCTGCGGCCTGGAGACCTCATGTCCACTAATGAAGCTTCCCCGTGCACGACATTATCTGTGGACGGGATGCTCAAAACATCGGATCTTGGGCTCAAGCCTTCGAGGGCAGGGGATACAGGGGCAGCCATCAAGCCGTAGGCTTCGCCAACACAGCTGGGGGATGCAAGGAAAGAAGCCCTTGGTGAAGGGGACTGTAGATTGGAAATATCGTGATAGATGCGACCTGCAGACCGGTCATAATGCCTCGCAGAAAACCTGCAAGCTTGGGGTGAGTAAGAACAGCCCGGAGCTTCATCAGCTGTACTCCCACCTTCATCTTTATTCGCGGCACCAAAAACAAAGAATGGGGCATCATCCCCGAAGTTGTCCTCATAGCCGTAGAGCGGCAAGCTGTTACTTCGCGGACGGGGCGTAAGGGTCAAATCGAGTTCATTGGAGGGTTGAAGTGATGCTGTTTGTCGGTCCAAGGCGTCGGCAGCTCGCATAGCTCGTGTTATGGGATCTTCGAACTCCTGTTCTTGGTCTCCTTTATCCTTCGGTTGATACATGTCCTGCCTTCTCCAGTCTCTAACTGGATTATCCAGGCCCACCACTCCATCCTTAACTAGCTGGTTGAATAACGACTCGGCACGGCAGTAGTCTCCATCTGTTTCGTAGTCCATAATGGCTCTGATGCAAAGTGTTCGGGCACTCGGGGTACCGCCGTTTATAAATACGAGTCGCCTACCACTTGCTGTTGAACCATGAAGGAAAGCTTGAGCAGCTTCGTAACGAGCTACTGTGGCCTCGTGGATTTTCTTGACATAAACTCGAACGTCTGAACGGTTTTTTAAGTCCCTATTGGAGATATAATTTTGAATGCTTGGAAGTATTAAAATATTTGGTGAAGTTGGAAGCAGTCGTAGCTGTGTTGATATCGTGTCTACATGGCCTTCGAAGGCAACGACGCTCCCAAGGAGCTTGTTGTCGGTGGACATGATGAACACTCGAGGCGCCACTGATTCGGACGATCTCTTAGTAGAAAAAAAGAATAGTAAACGGGAAAGGTCGAATTAAAGTAAGGGATTGTGCTGATGGAATGCTTGGTCCGTTCGAGGGTTGGTGAAAGGGAGCAGCCGAGAAACTTTTGGTATGAAACACGCCCAATTACACATAAGAAACTCTATCCGATGATTAGTGAGGTCGACATCGGAATGGATAAAGAAATGATCTTACAAGGGTTTTTCTCCAGTTGAATGATAAAATGCGCTCAGATATGAGACGTGATGAATGTAATTAAAGATCCCGGCCTGGGGAGGAGAGAGGGTGAAGAAAAGAATGCTCATTCAGAAAAGGCAAGAAAGAGGAGTAAGAACTTTGAAGCAAGTGCCATCGAGATGTGAACTGGAAAGAACGACCTGAAAGTTGAAGGCAACTACGACTAATATCTAATTCAAGGCAGGTGCAGGTGCAGGTGGTGCATGCTCTAGGTATAGAAGCTGCAGGTCAGGTCGTCAGTTCTTCTCCACTGTCAACGGATGCCGACTCCTCTAATTCCACTTGAGCTCGTTCATCAGTCTCCATTCTAGGCCCAGGATTTCAGGTCATTGTTGAACCCTGCAAGAATCGGGCTACCGCAGCAAAAACGCAAGCCACTCTAGCGGTTTATTGAGAATCTGTTGGGTCTCCATACATCCACGAAGGAGCCCCGACGAACGAACAGCATAGAGACGCCGAGACCCATCCCGCCAGTTAATCACTCTCATCACTGCAGGGTTGCTTTTGGGCTTGTTTAGCCTCCTGAGCTGGAGCCAAACAGAACAATGCCGATATGAACTGGATAGGAGGTCCAAGCTTCGAGGTCGATATCAATGTCCATTTCCGTGCTGTTTGAATGCCTATCCTATCCCAGCCGGCTGGGTTATCAGGCTAACTGGGACTGGGCTGCTCGCAACTTGGAACCAAGCTATCGGGCACCTGCAGTAAATCTCCCTTACCTCCAACGCATTTGCCAAGTATGCAGTGAGACCACTCAGCATACGTAGCACAAATACAAACACCAATTGCAATACGCAAGGTAGCGAGGTCCTTGCGTGTCGTGCGTCTGGGGCAGAGAAACTGTTTGCTCAAATTACAGGGATTGACAGCACCCATGTCCCATGTTCCATGTTGCAGCTCACGGCCCAGTCCCACAGTGCAAGGGCCCCCGTCAAGGATATTCCATGATCCAGGATCTGGTCTAGGCTCAGCTGAGACGTATCATCCCTTTATGATGTCTTCAACCCAAGTATGGATTTCGGTCGCGTTTCGGTCATGCACAATAGAGCTGACCCCATTCTATAACATATCATATCGCCGACAGCCATTGTCATCTATTCGGTTGTTATTACCCGATTCCTCTTAAGATTCAAGCCCCAAAAAGAAACACTGAGCTAAAACATGAAACACAGAAACCGGAAATAGCTGTCGCATGTTCTAGTTGGCATTGGACACTGCGCGTATTGCAGCCTCTCATGTCATACCAGCCAGCCCATTTTCAGCTTCCACGCAAAACTCCCAAGCCAGTCGGCTTAAACTGGCCTTTTACTGCGGCTACACACGATACAGGGCGAGGAAGCTACCGGCTCGAAGCCTATTTGTCAAGCGTTGCACAGTAAGCGGGATCATTACAATGTTTGCTGTGCTTCAATTACCACAAGGGCTTCGACTCTAACTTGAACTAATCAATGGAAAAGGGAAAATGCAAGGTAAGGAAATAGTATGCTCAAGCCTTGTGGATAGCTTCTGGCATTGTGGGCCATTAAATACACCGTCGATCCCCCCACGTCGATTAACGGGTTTCGAATTCTATTTTGGCCATCATCTTCCGAAAATCCGAAAATCTCAAATGGCGATCGTTGGCCCATACATATTCACAATGCTGATCAGCATGCAAAAGGGGGCGGTTAAACTTTCAATCTAGGGTCTTGGTAATTACCTCATTTACCGTATACAGGTGATGCTCAGCGCAATCCGCGGTATTCAATACAAGACGTAGTAGGTTACCGCAACTATCCAACAGACTTTTAGCGTCGTGGTGATGTCTGAATCAGTCATATGTCTCGCGATCTCACTAGATCCTTTCGACAAGGGTAGCATTGACATCAACCTCGAGACGCTTCGCACCACGCGGCTATTCGACCCCCCACTTACTGTTTGTTTGTTTGTTTGCTTGCTAGTGTGACTTGCCAAGTCCTAGAAAGACAAAGGAAACGACTTCGGAACCACTTGATGGTAGTTTTGGACGCAGCAATACTAGTTATTGATCCTCCTTGGACCATCTACGACTGGACCTAACAACCATCGTTTCGTGACTGTCAGAGGGAGGGTTGGGAGTATGAGCCCGCCTTGCAGCAGCACCTTGCGATCCTGCAGAAGCCAAGCATACAGCGAACTGGTGCTGCTCATGCAGTACACGCTGGTAGAGAGCAATGGGTTCCGACTGTTTGGAGTAGGGCCTGCATGTCTTACCAGATCGAAGTTTGGCAGGCATCGTCATAACGCGTGCCGTGCCTGTGGCTTATGGCTATCGTTTCAATTCAGCATACTAACTTTTCTCATTTACGACAAATCTGTTCAGCAACAACGTGGCTTATGCTCATTTTGATAATGATCACTCACAAATGACGCTGATGCAGGTGAAAAGGGGACGTCATTCCCTTTCCCCGAAAAACATAACACAGCACATGTCGATTATGTTTTTTATGAATTCTGTGAACTAACATGGATACTCGGCTTGACGACAGGTCCACTTTAGGGACACAATTGTCACTGAACAGGGTCCAGGATACTTACGAGGCGGAGAATGAACAGACTACTCCATACGCAAACTTAACAAATTTGCAATCTTGGGGAATGGCCAGGATGTTTGAATATGTCACGTTCGTGAACAAGGGGGCCAGTCTTGGCCGATAGAGATCGGGCGCATTGGATTTACAGTGCATGAAGGAAGCTGACTTTCGGTACAGAGTAGATCAGTTGGAATGGTATGGTGACATTGAAGATTTGGAAAGGATCTTCATTGACCAACTCGGAGCCATTAATGTTGACAATCATCGGGCTTGTGGCTTGTGGTAAACTTTCAAGTTAAAGTTGCTCGGGTAAGCCACGAGAACTTCGAAGCCCAAAACGGGATCCAAGTTTGTTTAATGAATTGTGCAACTTCACGGTTTCACAGGACGAAACTTTGAGTTCAAGTTCGGCAACAATCCCTAACACCACGGCTGAGTGCATCAGTGAGTGCTTAATACACCCGTCGTTGCTCTGTGTTACGTTTGAACAAAACAACATCAATGCGTAAGGGAGGTGTTCTATCTTGCTGTTTTCAGCTATACCACCGATTTGTGCGATTAGGCAAAGCTATATTCGCATCTCTCCTGCAGGATAGACCCCGCAACGCCGGCAGACAATTGCTAGAAAGCAAACTATCAGCGCTGTTTGTTATGGCCAGCGCTTTGCGGCTGAATCAAAAGCAAGCACCACGGACAATTAAAACGTGACGAGTATGTGATGCGCTGGGGATCAGATCCTGTCATTTGTGACAACAGATTTTATCACTTGCCATGTCCCTGTTACCTAGGAATACATTCCTTTTTCTTGACAGATCGTTGTATCCCAGTTCAAGGAATTAGTGGCCAACACGTCAGAGCCATATGAGACATATTCCTCTTTGGTGTAGCCATGGTGCTTCTGGTTGGCCATCGACATTGAGCCTTGTAAATTGGTACAAGGCGGCATACAAGGTTACTTTTTAGTGTTTGTCTCTGCACATGGAAAAGGAGAGGTGCCGTCAATACAGGTCACTGTCTGACAGCACTTGCACACGGAGTCTAAGACACGATCCAAGCTGTCGTGGCTTAGAACAGCGAGTTGAGACCTATGATTACACGACTTGAATGCGGCTTTCCGTCCTATGTTCCGCAGACAAAAGTCGAGCTGAAATTTTGTGGCACGGTACGCAACTCATGGCAAGTGTTTCAGGGGCTTGAGCAACACCAGAGTGACCGTGAGAAAGACGGTCAGAGCCCAACTATTCTGAAAGGTGGGAAAGTTATGTTAGTGTTGCTATTTTGCTGAGGTGGTCTAGTCGTCCATGAGTTCTGCGAGCTCAGCTTCTTCCTCAGCCGTCAACACATTGTCATCCTTCTCTTCTTCTTCCTTTTTGGGTTCCGCAGCCTCCTGGATCTTGACAAGGACCTCGTCAAGCTCAGACTTTCCAAGCGGCCAAGTGCGGACAGTACCGTCGATACCAACACTGCAAACCTTGCGAGGGGTACCGTCGGTGTCCTGGAGCAGAACGAGGTCGGTGACTTCTTCGTAATGGCCAACCAATGTACAGTACAGTTTACCAGATGAGCGATCCCAAACCTTGACATTCTCATCGCGGCCTGCCGTGATGACCCATTGGTCTGTTACGAGAACACCTCGTACATAGTCCCCGTGTGTGAGTGTGTCATCAGCGACAAAGTTCCTTGAACGCGCCAGGCATTTTGCAGTTCCGTCAGCACTGGCAGTCCAGAGGTCTGCATCCTCACTCATTTGGTCAAAGACAAGTCGGTAAACGCTGGTCTCGTGTTCCTGGATGGTAAGTCGCTCAGCATCGGGGCGGTCGGAGAAAGATTCGGGCAGCTGTTCGTAACTGTCCAGAGTGACTTTCCACCGTCGGATGTGCGGGTCGCTGCCTGCGCTGGCAAATACGACAGTGGTAGGATCGCTGAGTACAGGATCGATGGCAAGGTGCTGGACGGCAAGCATTGTCGTGGTGGGATCTTGCAGGGTATGTAGTCGTTTGCCTGACTCTACGTCCCAGACGAAAATCTTCTTGTCGGCACCTCCGCTGATGAGAGTGTGCTTGCCTGAGACTGTAGCACAGATGATGGTCTTTACAAAGTCGGTATGGCCGCTGAACTTGCGGCCAGGTTTGGCGGTCTCAATGTCCCATGACCAGATGTCCTTGTCCCACGAACCTGCAAAAACCGTCTTGTTATCTTGACCTCCTGTTGCAAGGCAAGTTACAGGGGCCTTTGGTCCACGGTAAGTCGTTTTGGTCTCTGAGGTCTATAAATGGTTAGTAGATGTAGTTTCTTTAGAGTATCCAGACATACCTCGAGGTTGATTCGGCGAACAGCGCCAGCAGACTCAGCGATGAACACACAAGTGAGGGGTGCAGCAGGGTCTGGGACAGCTGCAAGAATCTTGGACTTCATAATTACGGGATCGCCATTTTTGTTGCTTGCCTTGGCAGCCTTGCGTTGCCGCGAAGCTTGAACAGCACTGTAGGGTTGGTTAGTTATAGCTTTGTAATAGGAGATGCGGTTGTACATACTCCGTCTCGAAGAAGTGATCCCGGTCTGCAGATTGCATTTTGATGATCAAGATTTATACGTGTTATAGCAACAAGTTCTGATACCGGAACGCAATATTAGCCTAAGTGGTAGATACTGTGCTTGTCGTGAGTCTAACTCGTGATATTATCTCTTGATCCAGGTTAGGTAGGCAGCCATAAAAGAGTTGGAGATCTTTAGGTGGGAGTTGAATTTCAGTGGAGCTCTCCCCTGTAACGGCGCGGGGTCTTTCCGCGACTTTAATTGCGACGCGCTCAGACGCGTCTCCCGACAAACGCCTGTCCCACTTCTAAACCAACCACCACCCATCATCGCCCTTTTTCTATCATAGCAAATATTCCATTGCTCGTTGATCTGAACGACTAAAACAACATCACATCGACGACCATGGACTCGACAATCGCTTCTAAACCACGGCCTCGACCCGCCCACACACAAGGAACTACTCGCTGTGCCTACACTCCCGATGGAAGTCGTCTCGTCACAGTAGGCTCCAACAACACGATTCGTCTCTACAAAACAGGATCTGATGGAGAACCGATCAATATCGATGATTGTCAGGAGCAGAACATGGCTGTTGCCGCTGGAGACGAATTCTTTGTTGTTGGATCCGAGGACGGCACCGTCAGTTTATACTCCCTCGAGACAAATACCTTTGAGCGCTTTCTTACTCGAACTGTGCTGCCGATTCGCGATGTTGCATTGACTAATGATCGTCAATGGTGCGCTGTGGCAAGTGATGAGCTGAGTGTCAAGATTGTGAACACAAAGGACATCACACAGGTCAAGCACCTTCGAGAGCATGCCCGGGCTGTACGAAATGTTAGCTTCGATCCTCAAGGGCGATTGGTTGCACTTTCTGGCACCGATGGAATTGTTTATGTATATTCTCTCACAGCCGAAGAGCCAGAGCTGATTCGAAAGGTGGATGGTATCATTGGCGCTATCGACGGAGACAGCGAGACCTCAACACGCGTTGCATGGCATCCAGACGGTAGAGCATTTGCCGTACCGACACCCGTTCGAGACATCCAGATCATCTCCAAGAATGATTGGGAGAAACAAAGAACTTTCGCCAACGGGCATTTGGCTGATATCACTGCCATCGCCTGGTCGCCCAATGGTGCGATGTTGGCATCAGCGAGCAAAGATGGAAAGGTCCTCATCTGGGAAACCAAGACACAGTCCGTCATTGCAAGATACGACTACTCCAATGTCATCGACATTGTGTGGCACCCTACCAAGAACATTCTCTCCTTCACAACCACTGATGGTGAAGTCTACATCTACCCAGGCTTCCTAACAGACCAGTTCTCGCCTCTGTTAAAACTGGCCACACAACCTGCCCCCTTCATCCACGACCCCCTTGCCGAGTTATCTGCGAACCGAAGACCGCCTCCAGTCAACGGTCAGAAGCAACAAGGTCTGCCAACGAGACCCCGAAGGGAGTCACTTGGAAGTCTCGACTCATTTCTCGAAGGCGGAGATGGATATGGTGACGATGACTTCGTGGAGGACGATGACGGTGCTGGATACACCATTGGGCAAGGCCAGAAACGAGCTCGGGATGGTGATGATGGGTATGGTACCTCAAATAAGCGTCGTCATATGCTTGAGCCGCAATACCATGAAGCATTTCAACCAGGAGCGACTCCCTGGCGAGGGAACCGCAAGTACCTTTGTCTGAACCTGATTGGTTTCGTCTGGACAGTCGATCAGGACTCACACCACACTATTACAGTTGAGTTCTACGATCACGAACTCCATCGAGACTTTCACTTTAGCGATACCTTCCTCTACGACAAGGCCTGCCTGACTGAGCATGGCACACTCTTCTCATGCCCACCCAAAGATGATGCCCCTGCAGTCATATTCTATCGACCGCACGAGACATGGACGCAACGATATGACTGGCGCATTGAATTACCCAAGGACGAAGCTGTGACGGCCATGTCTTTGAGTGAGTCTTTTATCACAGTCACAACTAGTGCCAACTATGTACGAGTATACACCCTATTCGGCATGCCATATCGCGTCTATCGACCCAAGAGCACACCAATGGTGACATGTGCTAGCTGGAGGGATTACGTATTGACTATGGGTAATGGACCCATGGGTGCGGATGGTAACACTCGTCTTTTGTACACCA